AAATATTTTCTCAAAAAAAGTTTATTAACTGACTTCCATAAAAATCCATGAGGTTACAGATAAATTCTTTCTTTATTTGGTGGTGGGATTTCAGATTCTATTTTGAAAATTTCCAAACAAAATAAATCCCGAATACCTTTTCCTTGGGTAACACCCCACTCTTCAGTAAAGCCCAAAGACAAGACACAGCAGTTTTTCTGACTGCACTTGCTATCCTCCCAGCCTTCCAAACACAGTTAGGAATCACCATATCCTTGACCACAGTGACTGCAAAGTCACCAAATCTCTGCTGGGAGTCCAGAGTGCCCGCCGCATTCAGCATCAGCCGGGAGAGCAAGGAGAAAAATTTAAGTCGAATCTCTGGGTCTTTTTCTGGGTTGAGATTGGCAACCATGATTGGGATGACATCTTCTAAAAGCTCTCCTACAACTGGGCCTATAATAATATTGAAATATGTGAGTATATTCACAAACAGACAGATGTCAAATTTTCTTTTGGGTCAGAAGTAGAAAGATGTTACATTAGTTATTTTCTGATGCTGAAGAATTTACAAAAATTGCAAAATTATTGTTAAGTCACAAATTGTTACACTTAAATTATGATGAAAGGTAGTTCCATTGCAAAACAGTTATTAAGAAAATATTTATAACTAAAATAATTGCTGGAATTTGGACATTTTTCTTAAAGATTCAACAACAGAGGCACACCTTTCCATCTAATTTTATTGTGAAACAAAGTACTATACCTGATTCGACCAGCAAAGCATCAAATATTGCTCTCTCCACAGAGAAGTTATTCCACATTGCATAGTTATCTTGGAATGTATCAAGGAGAGGCTTTGTGTACAGGCTGTATAAATCTTGGCCTGATGACAGACCATGGGTTTTTGCAAGGATATCCAAAACAGCTCTCATCTAGGGGAAAGAATCAATATTATCACCAAGATCCAACAAAAAGATCAATGTTTTGCTAATCAAAATTAGAGTAGCAAAATCTCCCTGTTAGATATAACAATGCACTATACAAAAAAAAAATCAACACAAACTTCTTCAAAATCTTTTTGTGACACATTCTGATATGTCTGCTCTGTATACTTCAAATGCATCAACCTAACTACATGTTCATCTTTTTAAACAGTCCATGAAACCATTTAAAAACAAGTTTATTTTAAAAATATTTCTATCCAATTTTCTGTAAATTAAAAATACAGCTGGGGGAAATCAGGAAAAGAATAAAACGGACTTTCTACAGTAAGCAACTGAACCTACCTGAGATCTGATGCTATCATCATTGGTCAAAGCCAACACTGTGACCAGCACTGTAAACAACTGCTGACCATGTGGTGGACAGTCCTCCTGACAAACCTGAGAGATGGACAACACACAGGACAGCAACTGGGACTGGACTTCAGTCTGTGGAAAAAAAAGATAATGTCAGATGATTTAATATACTAATTTTTTCCATCAAAAAATAACTTCATTAAGAGAATTTGGCATCATTGTAAAATTTACTTGCACAAATAGTTATATCCAGTATTCCATTTTCATTATTGATATGTGGTATACCTGTGGTCAAAGATAATACAAGCAAATCAAAATAATTGTTGTAAGTGCTGTAATAATTGTTAAAATCATAAGTAAATAAAATAACACATAATTAATTAAATAGTTAAAGAATATGCTCATGTACAAGTCCCATAAGTGATGCATAACCTGCTAAATTAAGGAAAACAGCACTTTTTTAAGAACACAAGGCAAGGGAGTTTTAACATCTTCCCTTTAAATAAAACCATTACCTGTACAGTTCTACAGGTATCAGGGTGTGACAACACACTGCAGATGTCCTCCAGCTTTGGTTTCAGCAGCTCCCTTTGTGAACCTCTGATAATGTTAGCAAGAACCATCAGTTGACCATAGCCTGGGGAACTCTTGATAGCCCCCAAGACCAGCTTACACCAGACTTCAGGCTCTACAAAGTAACCTACCAACTCAGCAGCCCTACCAACCTGTAGTCAAAATAAAAAAGAACCAATTATAGTAGAATGAAACTGAAAATGGATGTTTAAGTTTTTACGATCAGTTAATAACCTTACCAAACTCCAGCTCTTTCTATTGTTGCATGGAAGCTGGTTTTAATAAAGGTTTCCTTTTATTTGATTATGATAATAATAATAATATTTGTTTATTGAAAAACATGCAATATAACTCATAAACTTGTTTTTGACATGGATAAGTAAATTTATTTATACAAAATCAAAGCATAGTTATTATACAGTAATATGGTAAATTAAAAAATAGCAAAAGCTGAAAATAAATCAACTTTCATATTACTGGTTTTATCTTTCTAGGTATTGAGATTTTAAATTGATAAGGATTGATGGGTTAGACACTGATAAAATTATAAAAACCTCAACATAGAACAAATAAACAAAATTAAAATGACTTACATTCTTCACCACCTCTTTCTCCTCATCAGAACAAGCTTTGTGAAGACCTGGCAGGAGAACTGCCATGTGTTGAGTCATGCAGTCCTCTGCATTCACTATCAGTGTAGTCATCAACTGAGCTGATTTAATCCTTGTGGCAACAACCCAGTCTCCCATATCTCGAATAAGTGCAGGAAGGATCTTTGACAGATGTCTGTAAATTAGTGTTCTGCACCCCAGGTTTGGTCTTTCAACTGAAATTGAAATGAACATTCCTTCTTTTTACTGTCCCCTAACCTGCACTTTAAAAAATTCTTTGGTATGACAATTTTGTAAAATTCAGCATGAATTAAAATTAAAATCCAAGTTGTTTAAAAAGCATTGTGCTCCTTCGTGCTCTTTATACTTCTCACTATCAGAATTCTTAAATTCTAAATAGCAGTACTTTTATTGTAATCAAAATCATTAAAGACCAGTAAACTGTCAACAGATAAGATAGCTTACCACCACTTGGGTAATGTGCTGGATCCGGTTGGGCAAAATCTTCTTTGTCTTTTAATTCTTCTTCATTTTCTTTGTAATATTTTAGACCTAAAATACATGCATATGGACATAATTAGGATATTTTTATATGCATAACAAGATTTTTTAAAAATGAGAGGTTCAAAGATGCAGGAATAAGTGAACCTAATAAGCCCATGCAGATTTAAGTCATTAACCTTCACCAACTATGGACATCTTACCTAGAGGGGATATTTGGTTTATGTTGTCAGAGATGAAGCTCTACATAATGTATCAAAATAAAAACATTACTATATAACACATTATATACACTATTTGCTGTGCAGAAAGCAATCAAACATGTCCATCCCACTGTAACAGCCAAAGTCACTGGGAAATGCTGATAAGGCAATAAGTTAAAGGATTTTTCTATCAAACCCTATTAAAAGATATTCAAACTATACCTATAGTATATCCAAAATGAAATCCACAATCTAATTTATCATTCACTACAATTAAAATTTTAAACATCATTCTTATATATGTGACAGCTTATTCTTTGAGTATACTCAAAATCTTACCTGTATCGTGCCAAAATGAATCAGCCATTTCTCGAATCTCTGGCAACTCATCTGTAACACTGGTCAGAAGGAGGGGAATCAGTTTGGGGAAGAAAGAGTATCGATCTAAAAGGTGCAGACACCAGTTGCCAACAACCAATGTAACTGCTTTCCTTACTTGTGGGGACTGGTCAAACATTCTCTGAGCAAAATGAGAGACCACATCTTCAACTGACTTATTATTGCCGTTTTGGATTACAGCACCTTAAGTTGCAGAAAGAGAAAATAAAAAGAAGCATGAAAAAAAAAATAGTAGTATACACAATTGAAATGCACATTAAAAGTGAGTAGATATTGTTATATACATAAATATCATTTAGTAGTATTTAATTGGGTCAACCTATGGATTACAACACCCAAAATACCTCACAATTTACACTGTACTAACTATGTGACTGGTGAAAAATTCTAAAAAAAAGTACTGTAATCAGCATAGTAATATAATTTCTATACAACTGAGAGGATAATGTATTAATTCTTACCAAATGCATCCTTAGAAAAATTCTTTACTTTTGCTTTAACTTAGATGCTAGTCTTTTTATGACAGCATTTTGTCATTTATCAAATTATCATATTTTTGTACTTACCTATGGCTTCAATGACTGATACTCTAACTTTTGAGTGTTGGTGAATTATATTTTGGAGCAGGGGTTTGATCAAAGATTCAGACTGCATGTGGAAATGTTCAGGAATGGTTTCAGCTAAAATTATTGAACATTTGCAACTTTCCTTCTTTACTTCTGGGTAAGGGTCCATTAAAGTTCTTATCAATATCTTAATCATATCATCCAGGTATGGAGCGATTTTCTTTTTGGATTTTCCAACAAGTAATGTACATATTTCTACCAACTGAAGTCGGATTTCTTCTGATGGTTCGACTATTTCTTGCTGCCCAAGTCGTTGCACAAGTACTGGCATAAAATATGGTAAATTACCTAGTGATCCCTGCACAAAAGAGAAATATTCACGAATCAAACTAATACCAAGCTCTCTACATTTTTCCACTGGGTCCGACACAATTTTTAGTAAATGTTTGAAGGTATCACTGAATACTTCTTCTAAAACGCCATTGTCTAGTTCTGGCTTCCTCCCAAACGTTTCCTTTTGAATACCTTCCAATGCTCTTCTTCTAGTCATTTTACTGTTCTCGGATAGACTGTTTATATGACGAGCAATCGATTGTAAAACTTCACTAGCTTGAGTTTGCACGCCGTCCGCCATCTTTGTTGGTCGCAACGCCTCGATTTGAAAATACAAGAAAATCCCCCTCTATAAAACTAATAGCTTAACATAAAGAAGCAGACTTTATTTCAAACGGAAACTATTGAAGCATTTATGGTAATATCTCATCATCTCTATATACAACACTGTTAAAAATCAAATTGTGAATAGTAAATCTCATAGTCATCATGGCTTATCTTGGACTACCTTACTCTACTTTCCTACCTTTTTTCTTTGACAGTATCCAAACAATGGCCTCGTTATTTTGTTCCATCAACAAGTAAATTAAAATTTAAGACGAGGCTCGGGCGAAGACGATATGCAAGGAACGAGATCAGGTGACGTACGGTTTATTAATTTTGTTCTGTCCAGTGCATAATTTGTGACATAATGTTGTTATTTTGCAAAAAGTCTGTAACGAATACAGAGCAAGTATATGCATGTTTATTTTTATGTATCTGTTTTTCATGCTGGTGCAAGTACTTAACAAGTACCGGTTCATATAATTGACGAGCATAGTATCAGCTTTTGTTTTCTTTTTCATTTTAGTCTTGGGGAGTTGAGTGATACAATAAATGCTAGCATGTAACACTTTGAAATGAAAATCATCTGTACTGAGACTGGGAGGCCAAGAGAAATTACAGTGCTCGGGTCACAAAATAAATAACTGATTTTAAAAAATGTCAATTGAGGAAAACCAGAAAAACCTTAATTTAGCCTTCAAAGGTCTCAAAGAAATGCCAGAAAAGGTGACAAAGCAACATGGACCAGTTGTTGAGATGCTTGATGTGTCTAATAATAAAATATCATATCCTTTAAAGTTTTGAATGAACGAAAAAATGTGAAAACCAACGTATTTGTACATGTACTGTATAACGTTGAAATGTTCTGGTATAAGGAATTAAAGTTACTGTTTTTAATATTTTAAAGCAATATAATTCATGAGTATTAGTATATAATGGTTTCATGGATGAAACTAAATATGAATATTTGAACTGTTGTATTATGAGTTCACAAAATGGAATAGTGTATTGTTTGTTGAGATAAAATCAGTGCTGTTATCGATGGTTCCATTATCTACATCATAATTAAGACTGGCAGTGCATTGCAAAATGTATATTTATTATAGAAAATCCATAAACTTGCTAGTTTAAAGGTTACTGCTTAAAGGGTACTGCTTTTCCTTAATTTTAGCAAAGATTTCAGGTTTCTTTCAAATTTTCCAAACCTACACACGTTGGTGGTAGACCACAATGGGCTGCAGTCTCATGTAAAGTTCCCCACTTCAGAGGGCATCCAAACACTATGGGCCAATCACAACAAGATAGCTAATCTCAGTGAGTATTGCTGTGGCCCAAAAACAATGACCAATTTTTTACTGTTAGAGCTACATATAATGGTGAAATAGGTTGGATTTTTTATTAAGATCCTTAATGATGGCTCGTGATGGAATTGCAAATTTTTGTTCAAGCTATTGTTTAAAGAATATGTTTCTGTCCTTGCTGGGGTGTATAACAATTTATTAGCAGTGTGCAATATGTTATTCTTTTATCTTATGCATAGATTTTGGATTAAGACAGAATTTTAAAAGGAAGTGGTTTTTAATAAGATGTGACTTTATCTATTAAAAATATTAATTTTTTAAAAATTTTTTAGAACCTATATTTTTATTATCATGATGTGTAAGTGTGCACGTTTATAAGGTTTCCTACTTGAGACAGTTGTTTTGGATTTCAACTTAACTTTTAAAACAAATAATGTTCATCCATTTATATTTTCCCTTACAGGTGTTTTTATTGAAACAATTACCAAGAGCTTTCCTGAACTTCGTTTTTTAAGTTTGATGAACAACCCAGCTGCTCCAAGTTACTTCAATGGTGGAACACTTCAGCAGTATATGGATTACAGGTAAGTAACCTTTATCACAAAAGTTAACAAGAAAGAGGCTTGAACTTGAACTGGTCCATAAGATATGCTCTTTGATACGTTGGCACTTATTTTAAATATTGAATATAACTTGAATATAACTTGGCAAAAAAATAAAATAAATAAATAAAAATAATAATAAGATGCAATAATTGTAATTTATGTAAATATTTAAAAAATGTGTGCTTCATAATCTTTTTCAAAGTGACTGTATCTGGGTTCATTTTAGATACTTTGTCATCAGTCATTTTCCGAAGTTGGAATTTCTGGACGACCAACCAGTAACAAAGGAACAAAGAGAAGAAGCCATCAGGATATATGGCTTGCACAATACAGGGCCTGATAAAAAAGCATGTTTTATTTTCTTGTCCATTTTCTGCTCAAAAGCTAATGTATCTGAACAATTTTTTTTTATTCATTTACAGGTCTGATAATTTTTTTTTGTTTAATTAATTTTAGAAGACTTGAAATACCACGTCTTATCACTACTAAAAGTGGATCTTCTTGCAATGTCAAAATTGTTTATGCTAATTTAAAAATGGATGACAAACATAAAATTTCTTTATGCAAAAGACTACAAACAGATTAAGGGCTGGTCCAGGGAACAATTGTTAATTCTCAAAGTATTTTGTTAAACTTCCCTTATGTTTGAAATTGAAAATTAACAAATGACCCCTGATAAAATTATTTAAGGATTGGGAAAACTGAAACCATTGGCCTGATGCTATTAACTGCTTAGCAAAGTCAAATTTACTCACAATTAATTTACTATATGAGTTCATGTTTTTTTCTCCATTGAGATGTGGGTGTTGTCATTTCTAACCTCTCCACCCCCACACACATTACTATTCAATAAAATCTAGCATGTTAATTATTTAATAAAGAGGGAGGGATGATATTTAGGATGGCTGAAGCAAATATATTAGTTTCACCAACAGTTTTGCGGGAATGATGATACCATGGTTGCATTCATTCTTTTTTCTTTTCAGGCAAACAAGGCCAAGAGAAAATCATCTAAACCAAAACTACAGGAATCCACATGATATGAATTACATTAATATTGAGATGAGCACCACATTTACTGCATTTTTACTTGGCATTTTAATTGTACTGTGTAAAAAATAGTAATTTATATGTTCATAATACTTATACATTAAAAAATTCCAGATCAAAATAAGTTATAAACATTTTAAATTGTAACATTGGTGCTCTAAACATTTTCAAATTCATCAGGTTTTTGTAATATTTTATGATACTCTTGAGGCAAATGTTTTACTAATGGCAAAAAGCCATGGGGTATTTGTGATAATGACAAACATAAGAGATGCAGGTTCATTTGTGCCTCTGGCTCACTATATTTGATAGTTCAGTCATGATTTTTTTATGTAAAAAAGATCTGTTTAAATTAAATGATCATTTATGTGAGTGTGATCTCATATGATTATCATTCATTTTTCTTACACTTAACTGTGTATTGATGTAGCTGCCACATTAATTGTGAACTTTTGAAAGTTCTTCAGGTTTATTAAATTATTAGGTTTATAAAAAAAAATCTCACCATTTATAACTCTAATGCTTCAATCTCGTATAACTTAATGTGCTTATGGAAAAGAAAAAATGTATTTATGTAAAATATTTATTTTAGATACATTAATTTCATTTCACAGTGTAGACCTTTACTATTTACAAAGCTGTTTGTACATAAATTAGGTCTAATTATAACTATTTCACAATGAAATAAAAAGCAAGTATACATTCAATGGCCAAACAAATTGGTCATGTAGAAAGAAAGTAGTTGTTTCGTCCCAAATTCTCAATAAAACATTTGTTTACAAATCGGGCATCCAGTTTGTTGCATAGTTATTTCTGGTCAACGATGTGAATGTTTATTGAGATTTCACATTCTGATGACAAGCTTTTGCTTGCTTTACTTTACATTATTAAATATATAGTGTGTGAAGAGGACCCATCATAACATTAGGATTATGTCTGGTGTCAAATGTCAGTTTATCTTGAAATGTCTGGTGTCATCTAGTTCTATGTAATCACATGGGGATTTCATAGACGTGCACAGCTTTGTCATCAGACACTGATACTATTCTGGTTCCAGCATTGTTGTACTTTGCACACCACACCTGAAATAAAAAATAATTTAAAAAGAAATCAATAAATTAGCGTCAACAAACTTTTCCTAGCTTCACCATCTGGAGCCAAGAAAAAAATTGTAGGAACTAAACTATTTAAGAAATAAATCTTCCATCTTTTCAAAATGTTATCACCTAAGACTTGCAGAAATTTAACAGTCCAATGTGTTTTCAATATAAGATCAAAGACAATTTTTTATCATGTGAATAACAAAAATAATCACACCCACCTGTTCTAGATGGTCGTAATATGTGTGTGTACACTGCCTTTGAGCTGTGTCCCAAACTTTAACAGTCTTATCTGATGAACTAAAAATGTGCCAACAATCATTATTATGAATGGATGCAATCTGTATTAAAACAAAGGCATTTACTGGATCACTGTAATCAGCTTTGCAATGGACAATAACTTTAATAGCACTTAATTTTTGCCTAAGCATACAGATACAGATGCACTTAAATCTTGGTAAAAAATAATGTAACAAATTGTTTTTCCTACCGATTTGATTTTATACTGACAGAATCACGCTTTAAACTATTCCTTCAATTTTTAATACGCACCATGAGACAAAGTGGCAGTTGTCCGGAGAAAATGCTACATTAAGAACCCAAGATCCATGCCCTGATAATGTGCCTGCTAAGTTTGCATGCTGACTGAAAATGAAATTAAAGGTATATAAAAGATGCTGGTGAAAAAACAAAAATAGACCAAACTCAATTTAAACTACTCAATTTTAAGTGTTTGTATACCAAGGTGTCTTGGCAGGTGTTAATCTTTATAATCAAAATATTATGATATGATATTATTAAACAATATAGGTCTATTCATTCCCCTCCCATTATTTATTGTGGAGGGCAGTGCACTTGACACGTTTAATTGATTTATCTCATTGATGACAGCAAACTGTTCAATCACCTTAGTATAGTGGTCTATGAATTCAATCATACAAATTTTATTTTCATAGTCGATATCAAGAGCTGTCAAACTTACACATCATATATTTTTATGTGACTGTCATCTGAAGCAGTCACCAACAGTTGAGAATCTGGTGAGAAGCACAGGGACCTTATAGGCATAGCATGACCTGCAAATATTAACTTGGGTTAAATCTATATCTTTAGAAAAGCAAAACATAATGAAGCTTAATCTGGCCCAATTTATCTTTTGTAGTTTTTATCAAATTTAAAATAAAAATATGCTAAGCTAATAAAATTAAATGCACCCAGTAACCTTGTTGTAAGCATATACTTATGTAAATACTATTAATCAAAACAACATTCTTATTAGACACTTTCTGCTGATGTTAACTCTTTTAATTGACAAAGCAATGTGTTACTTTACCTTCTAATGTGTGAATAAGTTTTCCTGATTTGACATCAAAAATATTTACAATACCATCTATGCTACCACTTGCAATGAATTTTCCATCTGGACTCTACAAAGGAAGGAAATCAATTGCGAATAAGGTTTACCTTCACATTATGATAAATTAAATTTTGGTAAAAGTATAATATCAATTTTACTGATCTCAATAAATCAGTGCTATGGCAAATGAAAGTGTTTACACACACCACGTCATTAAGAAAAGCTATTTTATGTTAAAATAAAAACCAATTCATTCTTTACTCCATACAGCAAACAACCACTTACATATGCTACACTAAATGTGAATTTTCCTCTTGTATCCAGGCTCCCTTCTTTGATCCCACTTTCTACACCAAATATGTTAATTTTCCCTGTGTGACTACCTGAGGCAAGGTATTTGGAGTCGGGAGAGAAACAAATGGTCCAGGCATCCACTAAAATGAAGTTTAATACCGTTTGTGAAAGTGGATTAAATAATTTATTAAAAAGATGAGTAAAAAATATGATAAACTTTGCATTAATTAGGATTTAGGATTGTGATAAAACATAATGCTGTTTGAAGTTTAACATCAAAAGGGAATTTTAGAAATGGACACATTAAAGAGACAAATTTGTTGGGGCATTTGTACACATGACAATATAGTTCAATCAATCTTTGTCAGATGTTGGGCAAATAAAGTATACAATCAAACATTTTCCCCACATACCTGGCCCAGCATCTACAGATTTAAGTAATTTTCCAGATTCAATATCCCACAGCTTGAGATGACTGTCCAAGCTACTTGATGCACCAACTGAACACCAGTCAAGGAATGTGTACATAAATAAATCATGCTGATTTTGACAGAAATTAACCAGTATTTCATTATTTAATTCTTACATACAACCAAATACCACAAAGAGGAGATACCACAGTAGGGAAGGCTGTAAATGCAATGTAACAAAAGCACAATTATTATGACCAACTTTTTCCAAAACTAAGGACAACTAATCATGTAAAAAAAAAGTACTTGTAAAGGATACTTGTACCAGAAGCATTCAAATCTACAGACACCACTCCCAACTGGTGCCCCTCTAATTCATGCCTTAGTTCTAATTTGTCACCAGTCCTGCAATGCAAATGTATACATATACCACAGTGATGTGTCACATTGTCACTATTCACCATACTGTTTATGCTGTGCATAACTTTTAAGATAAAAAGACTGCATATCATTATGTTAATGTACTTTAAAAATAAATAACTTACTAATTCTGTATGCATATTCTAGATACAATTTTACATTTTCATTCATTCAAACACTGTATTCAATCTTTTTTATTTTGTTCATACCTTGCAAAATTCACTTATTGATGACTCTGCTTCTCTCCATATCTATTTACTTCTATACCAAAACTTCAAACCACAATGTTTTCGTTACAAGTTACAACTTATGCATCAAGACTGTTTTGTCTGTTTGCTACTTATATCAGTTTGTCTGTATTAAGATATATGTCTTACCATGTCCATACTTTAACTTGGTCATCAACTGAGCCAGTGATGATGTTATCTGAAGAATCCTGGTCACTTCTTGCCCATGCACAGCTCCAAATACTGTCTTCATGAGCTGGAAAATTGGATATAAATAAATTAATAGCTTCAGTGAAAAAAAAAATAAACAGAAAAGCACTGCTCTGTTTACAAGAAGATTGTTTTCTTTTCCAGTAATGATATAGCAATAACTAATATAGTTTGGGATTTAATTATGGAAAAAAATCCATGATGTCTACATATCTCCATTATCCAGTTACAATTAGTCTCAGTTTACAATTAGTTAGACTGAATGGCAGCACAAAAATGTAAGAAATATATATATAAAATAGATATGCATTGCTCAAACAGCAAATATGCACCTACCATTCTCCTGCTTGAACATTAACGAATACTGAAAAGATAAATATACCCATTGATACAAAATTATTTTAAAAGCATGTAAAGCATCACATAATTATACCAATATAAATCACTGTTTCATTTTAAGGCATACATTCAATATGCACATATACTGTTTTAAATCTCTGTGTGAATTCAAAAGGTACAAATTGAAATTGAAATTTAAATCAATTTTGCTGGGTATGCAATCTTGTAATAAATCTGCCCTAGAACCCTGACCTTATTTTAAAAAACAGTCACTTATTGAGTAATGACTAAAAGGAAAGGTCTACTGCCCCTCAATACCCCAAACGTAATTGCAGACAACTCTGTAGACAGTACACGGTTGTTTTAACCGGCAAGTACTCAAACAAAATTAAGTAAAAGTCTCACACTGATGATCATTTTTACTTCAACTTCAAATATACCCAGCAGTTCTTTAAATTACAGACAGAAGCTTCCATCGATAAGATATTACTTTAGTCCAAAGAGTATAGATAAGCAGAAACGAAAGCTTGCATGGATACTCACCATGTTGAATGTTCTTTTGATCTCGTTTAAGTCTCGCGTACAACAGATATAAACAGAGGGATTAAATTGGAGGAAATATTACAATCCTTATAATTTAGGTATCTTAAAATATACATGAATATCGTTTGAATTGATAATTGTCTATATATGATGGGAAGAAAAACTATAAATCAAAATAAATCACTTACTTGTGCATGATGGGAACAAGTGTTTAAACATGGAGGACGGTGGATGTCAACAAACCAATATTACCGAATTTTTGTGTCTTTTATAACGCTGTCAGATAACTGAAGTGTGTTTTCTGTGACTGTTATTTATCTGGAGTTGATTACTTTAATTTTGCATACTTTTTACTCAATGGATTTTAGTTAAAATACGAGTATGGCGACTTTTTAATTTAAAAAATCCATATTTGCCTTGGATACAGTGTACAAATCCTGTTTGTCACTAGTGGCTACGAGTTCTCTTAGACATTACATCAACCAGACAATAAGATGGATGCAGATAATGTGTTAATGCCAATAGTCGAAGTTCCGAGTGAATCCAGTTTTGGCCGCCCAGATAGTGCCAATACACAGAATGATGAGTTATCTTCATACAGAAGTGATGAAGAGTACAAGTAAGTTAATAAATCAGATCTGATAGTATTCATTAAAATCACAAGTAAGTAGAGTAATTATTTAACTAAATGCTTGTTCATTGTTAGGTGTTGCAATTGTTATCATAAATAAAAATGTACTAACCCCTTTCCCTCGCCCCTTCCAAACAACTAATTTAGAGCCTGTTCATATAATAATAGAGCCTGTCCATGTTTATTATTATTATTATAGATCTATTAAATATTTATTTTAAAATCTGAGACACACAGTTGCATCATATGTTTGACATTTGCTTGTTGCTGATGCTTTAAAGACCCAGTTGACAAGCTGGCTAAAAAAATCAGAGATAACTGATGCATGTACTAGTCTGATACCGATTCACGTCACACTATACTAGTATTTTAACTCTTTACTAGGCTCCAAAGGTAGAGTAACTGTGTATATTATTTGTTTTTTTTTTCTTTTTAAGAGTAAATCTTTTATTTTCCCCTTATTTTTTTGTGTTGCAGCACTGAAGAAGAATATGATGACGATAATGCTGGTACACCAACACCAAGGAGTAGTAGTGGGAAGAAAACAAAGAGACGGAGAACTAGAAGTAAGAAAAATGGAATAGACATGACTCCACCAGAAAAACTATTGAGAAGGTCTGAAAAGAAGGCTAAGAAATACAAGGAAGAGAAAAAGGTGAGATAAAAAATAGGGATTAAATTTTGTTTCAGATGTTGATGTATAAGAATTGCAGGTACTAGTATGTGATTTTGGATCTACAAAAAATTGGCATTGTAATATGTATTGATTTTGTTTTAGCTTATATATAGAATCATAAAGTATTTGTAGATAATACAGAGCCCTCCTTGTACTGTAACTCCTTGTATTTGTAGCTATGGAGGGTCATGCTTTTAAATGATACGGAATTTGTTTAAGACCTCTTATGAGGATTGAACTGATATAGAAAAGTTGTACAACCTCAAACTCCACCAGCCTTTGGTTTCAATTTCATGAAACAAAAACAGGTACTGAGCTCATCACTTTCACATAATTATTTGTATAAAAAGCACATGAACAAAGTGAAGTTTAGGCCTGAATCATTTTTTCACTACTAATCAAATCAAAAATTATGTCAAATCTTTTGCAGGAATATGTAACACACACACACACACACACACACACACACACATTAAAAAAATGTACAGATGCAGACAAAAACATGGTTGTACATCAGGTCTTTTACAGATATTTTGTCTTTCGTAGGCTGATAAAGCTATCAAAGAGTTGATAAAGTGCACAGCTTTAGCTAGAATTGTACATGGGGACTCTCACTGGAAATATGCAGAAGCATACACAAACCTTGCTGAAGGATATTTTGAATTAAAAGGTGGGATATATTGGGTAAAAGTGATTAAGATATTTTGGTATGATTTTTATATGAATTACCATTGTCAGAATCATTTGTTATTAATTTTTAATGGATGTGTCGTTTGAAATCAATTTGAATTTAAGTAATACATAAAAATAATAATACCAATAATTGAAAATGATTCCTTTATGCATTTACAAACGTGAAATTAAGTCTTTCTTTCTTTTAATTGTTTGAAATAACAATCAAAGTATTTCCCATAGTTTAGGGCTGACTAAATTATGTCTTAAATTACTTGTAAAAACTAAAAATAAGTATACAAGTATAACATTATATATCTAAATGTATTACAGGTTACACAGCCCAGGCACACTACCATTCAGAAAATGCCAAGAACATCATGCTGAGTGGAGTTCAGATGCCAAGCTCTCAGCGAGATAAAGCAAAGATCATGGAAGTCCTAGTTAAAACATACTACACCATGGGTCGTGCACTTACAAAACTGAAAAAATATCCTTGATAAAACATGTTTTTTAAAGGATGATATTAACCTTATAAGGATATGGTGTTTTACAGAATTGTGTTTTGTTTGATATGATTTATGTGTTACTTATCTTATAGGCTATTAGAACCCAATTATATGATTTTCCTATCCCATCTCCTAGTAACAAGTGTAGAATGAAATGGCTTTATTTGAATGGTAGTACGAGTAGTTATATGATTTTCCTATCCCATCTCCTAGTAACAAGTGTAGAATGAAATGGCTTTATTTGAATGGTAGTACGAGTAGTTTTCCAAACCATGCGACTTTGAAAATTAGTGAAAAAAAGAGACCATAGTGTGTAAAGATGCTGTTATACTATTTATGTGATATCAGAATAATTCCCTTAACATTTCATACATACACAGAAGCAGACCAAGCTCTACAGAGAGCAGAAAAAATAGCCCAAGAAAGAAGTAGGCTTCCAAATGTTAATTCTGATGACTGTGATGAAATGGATATCAAAATTTCTATTGCTCTTGGAAGGTATTATTCAGTAATAAAGTGTTTACATAAGGTTATACCAAGGGTTTAGCCAGCTAGCTACCTTGTCACCATTTAGACCTCCTGTTTGAGCAGGCTGGCTGGACAACTTGTTAAAATTTCCGGTAGTATATTAAATTTAAAAAAAAGGGTTTAAATGAGTGAACCTCATTTTGCTCAAAGAATAATGTCACTAGGTGTTAATATATTGTTTATTTAATTTTAGATAGATTGATAGATTGATTGATTTTATTGACAGAGTTAGTTAGATAAGATTTTTAGATTTCACCAGATTGTGTGTGACATATTTATTTCATTACACTTATTTTATATAGGCTGAATGGTGCTCAAGAGAAGGCAGCATCTGCAACCTCCTACTTTGACAAGGCTATTGAACTGATAGAAAAACAGCATGGTAATGATAGCATCAGGTTAATACCAGTGTATCAGGACATAGGGAGGGTAAGTTCCTGAAGGTATTATTCATGTCAATTGTATAATCATAACATTACCGAGTAATTAGGCATTTTGTTAAGATTACCATGTAAAAACAATTATAAAATTAGACATTGGTTTGGCTATTAGAAAATTAATTCAGGTATTGCATAATTTATTCAGTGATTAATATGCAATCTTAAAATGACACTGATGCAGGAACTGATTTGTATTTTATTTGGATGAACATTTTTTAACCCTTTGCAAAATTGAAAATGATTTACATGACACATGTTTGAAAAACAGAAATTTTAAGTGTAATATATCCTGATCATGAGCACTGTTGATAAAATCATCTTTGTTGCTATGAGACATTCAACAATGAGCACTTTTTTTATAGGTGGAGCAAAATAAGGGCAAACATGCCAACCATGACCGTGCCATTGAAATGTATTTGCAAGCACACTCCATTGCTGGGGCCAAGTAAGGATGATCCAGATAGATTCTAATGATTTGTATTTAATATTATAAAACTAAAGAGTAAAGTTTTACTGAGGGATTCTAGTACACTAATAAATATGGGGATTAGGTTAAAACATTTTTTTCTACGTCACTTGAGTGAGAAGCAGAAATGAATATTTATTAGTAATTGATTCATAGATTTATTGGTGGAGAAAATGATTTCACAATTATAGTATTTAATCTCTGTGATCTCAAATTACTCATTGTTAGCAGTTAGTATATAATTATAGATATTGGTATGATATAAGTCAAATTTTGAATACAACCTAAGGATTTAACAAGTAGAATACCAACTTCTTTTTTTACTTTGATTTACTTGCTGTTCTCTTATTATGTAAATGTAATTCACAGTTATAGTGAAGGCACCCCAGAGCTGGCAGAGACTGCCAAAGCACTAGCTATGGCATATTCTAACACAGGAGACCCTGATGCTGAAAGTGAGTATGGAAGCTCTCACACCCAAACATGCACACAAACCCACATGCAAACTTGCTTCACAGAAACGTAGTGTGTCAACTTTACAACCAAGCACGCTGAATAATTGCCCTATCCTACATGGGTCCAAGCCCCAAGAAAAAAAAAATTCACATTGGAGACACACCTTCCATTATGAAACCCTGATTAGTTACCTATTGCAATAAACCTCTTCATTTTGTAGGTGTACATTGAACATGTCATGTTATGAAACATATTGATATGATTAACCTTAAAATTAAGTCCTTCATATATTTTCATCTAAAACCAAAAGTTTAGCTTTCCAGTTTGACATATGGGAAATTTAAAGTTAGTTAACAATGTTTTAAAGTCTTTTTATGAAGCAAATATTTTAGAAGACATTAAATATAAAAAGAGAAAGACCTCTGATGCAAACAATTATCAGATCATAGCTATTTTTTGTTTTTCTTTTTTAAAGAAAATTTTATTCCTCCTTTTCAGCCTCAGCAGAGAGTTACTTGAATGAAAGCCTAGCAGCCTACCAGTCCATGTACGGACCAGAACATGTTCAGACCCTGGCAGTACAAGATGATTTGGCAAGACTCATGATAAGAACTGAGAGAGAAGATGTTAGTATCATTACAAATACAGCAAAAAGCCTAGCAATCATAATCAGTAGATTTCTTCGGTCCTTGTTCAATAGAGTTGTAATAGATATATTTAATTAAACTATTTTAAGACATGTTTTCCAATTTAGTGTATAATTTATCAACACAACAATTAACAAAACATTTAGTGGATTAGAAGTGGCCTAAAAATATTATGTAAAAGTTTGAACATAAAAAGAATACCTTACAGATATGGATGCAGCATTAGTATAATGGTAGAAAAAACTGCTAAACAAAACAAAAGAAATACTTTAGCAGATAAGTTTAGAATCAAATTGCAAAATGATAATTGAGGAGTTTATAATTAAATAGTGGGAAAGAACTTAAAGCTGGGCATGACTGAAATAACCTTGCTTATTCAGTTTAATAAAAGTATGTGACTTGAACGTTTTTGAAAGACATTTATCATAATCACTGTGTTGATCTTGTAAAAGAAATAAATAAATTACATTGAAAATGCATCTATATAAATTAGCTATGATAGATAAAAAGCACCTGAGAGCTCAGCTTGTGTGCCTTCTTCAGGGGCTAAAATAAGAATCTTTCTTATTCAGATGTTTACAGTTTTTATATCCTAAGCATTTAGGAAAAGTTTACTTGTACATTATTAAAGAACAATTCCAGGAATGCTAGCTCTACTCATATTTGTTTAGATATTTGATACTGTTTTATTTAGGAAGCACTGTCTGTGCTCAGATCGACACTTTCATCCAAGACAGAGGTGTATGGAGAGTTTTCTGATGAGGTGGCGGATACTTACAAGTTAATTGGCTCAGTGCATCTCTCACGTGGAGATATGGAGAAGGCTTTGAAATCTCTTTCTAAGGTATTTTAATATTATTAAACTTATTAAAATAAGTTAGTGTTAAAAAACTGAGGAAGTCTCAAGTTTAACTTTGCACTTTTTTTAAAAAATGAAAAAAATACAATAACTACATCTTTCTTGGTGAATTTTCATTTAAAAAAATTGAAGATTATTGAAACTTTCTTTTTTATCTCCCTCTGGCATTTCACCATATCAGCAAACATTCATTTTAAATCTTAAATGTTACTTATTAATAGATAAAGAAATATTGTTCATTTCTTGAAAATGTCCATGATAGATTTGATAATGAAATACATGTACACTGTCGTTGTTCGAGACAATTCATATTTATGTATATTCATGTTGAATTAAAAGATCATATATTTTGTATTTTTGTATTTTTAGTGCCATACTATAGAAACAGCAGCCCATGGATCTAATCACAAGAGACCCAAAGAGACACAGAAAACAATAGATGTTCTGATGTCGTAAGTTTTTCATTATAACTCTTGATGCAGTTTCTGTAAAAGATAAAAAGAACTAGATTAAATATTTCATGTACACTTGACAAAAAAGTGGCAATAATAATCAGTAGATTTGACATGTAAAATAATTGTTACTTTTATAGATAAGTCCTCAGTCAACAGAATTATTTATATTTATTTAAGTATTTATTAACCATTTTAAGGCATGTTTGCCAATTTTATTGTATAGTTTATCAACAAAGCAGTAGAAAAACATTTGTTATGATGAAAAGTGTTTAGATAAAAATGTTCTTGTCCTGACACAATATTTATAATTCTTGCAAAATTTTATTCCTTGAATTTCTGCCTTTTTTAAACAGGAATCCATCACTGGCATCCAAAATGCCAAAGAGCAAAAGGGAGGAGCTGCAGCAAAGACCCAGGTTTAATAGTATAGTCAACAGAAGCTCTGCAGCCAAGAATCCTCTAGCAAATACTTTCTGACAACACTGAAATATTTATGAATAGAAATTGGAACATATGTCTTACAGAAAAGGATATATAAAAATGACTGGTGTCTAAGGGTGCATCTTCATTTAAACATGAGTGAATGTGTATTTTCTAAAATATACTAATCCTCACTGAGGATTCATCAAGAGAGACATACTCGTTCATATTTTTTTAATGAAGATGTATTAACACCGGGGTATATAAACATTGTAAGATGTCAAATTATCGAAACATATTTATATATTTTGTGAAAGGTCAATAAATGTACTAGTACTAGTCTTTTTCTTAAAATCTGTTTTTCTTGATAACCACCACACATTCAACATTTATTGTATAAGTTTATAAATAAACATGATACTGATAGTCCGTTTTTTTTCTATCGCTGTGTTAGTTGAGGCTGTCTGATGCATTCGTTACAATCAGTTTACTTCTCCCATGGTTTTGTATTGGATGTTGTGCTAGCTGAACTTGTTGTATCAGTTTTAAACAACTTATATCTTTTTTAAAATGTTGTTGGATAACATTAATGAAGTTTGGAATCGGGTGATGGAAAACTTTTCAAAAATTCCATGGGATTAATAAAATTGGGACTGAAATGTAGAATGTATACCGATGCCTCAAGCAGGAATGCGTACAGTAGAAAAAAGAAAAAAATGTTCATTTTTGTGTAAGCACCACAATATATTATTTTTTCATTACGTTTTTTGTTATGTCTGATGTTACATATAAGACCCCATGTCCTAGACCACAAGACAGTCACTGTAAATTAATATTTGCAATACAAATGAACTGAATTTCCAAAGTCATCTGGAAACAGTCCACCCCACTTCATCTTTAAACGGACCAGTGCTCTCAGCATTGCCAGATTTTTCTTGAGACCGCGACACGATGCAAGATGCCTCAACCGAATTCATGAATTACTATCATCTATTCACAGGAGTCTTTATATATATCTGGATACCGCATATAATTTTTAAAAAAATCTAAGAGGTTATCTATAATTCCGATAATTCATCCATCTTGTGGATTATTTTCACTCCCCCAACCCAACTTCACTCCCCATGCCGCGTAGTAATGGTCGGCTAGTATTAAGCTGAAGAAGTATATAGAATTATGGGAATATCTTTAGACAATGGTTCATTAAAAGATCTAGGCAAAATAAGTATAATTTTATCAAAGACATGAAACTGATAATAAACCAGTGATTTTTTTCGAAATGCAGCAGTTGACGATAAAAAAAATGATTTGATTTCGTATCAAGACCACGAGCAACCTAGCTGTCAGGCAAGCACGGTAACTTATGGTACTCAACCAGATAGGGACATGCATATATGCCTGCGCGCACGTGCAAGTGTGCGTGTTTGAAGTGTGTGTTGGAAAGGCGTGTTAAAAAGTTTTTTTTGTAAACAATTGATTGAACGAGTAGCGGGTTCATTGAGTGATGCCACGCAAACCAAGGGCGGGCACTGGTATTGTCTATTTATCACGCTAATGTGTGCTTACTCCGTCGAAAGATCTTGCTACATTTCTACAGGCGATACTTCTTGTGATTAACGATCTTTGGGAATAGTTAATCTTGCCAATCAGTCGTCGTGCGCATGTCCCAAAGGTTTGGCTATTTTCTACCTGGCCTAATTCTCTGATAATCCCCCATTATTATTATTATTATTATTATTATTATTATTATTATTATTATTATTATTATTATTATTATTAATGACCTACGATAAACATTGTTCACCACCAACTTATTTTAGCCTCCCCCCCCCCGTTCTCTTTCTTCCCACCCCTTCCCCACTCCCCATCTCAAGACAATGTCCAGAGTAATATTAGAAATGATCTTTGCTTTGTCTTCATAAGTCTATTAGATAAATCCCTCGTAGATTTACAAAGGACCCGGAATCCAACAGAATCAACATGTGGTAGGTTAGTCTAGACGTCATTTGAACGCGTCACGTAAATATATTTAGAATCTCTGACGTACCTGTGAATATGAAGAAGGCACAACTGAAGTATAGGCTGCTGTATATATAGGCAAAAGCCCTTCAATTGTGTGAAGAATATATCTCTGCTTGATATGAGAAAAGGGAGTGAAAACTGCATTAAAAAATCCTGGTGGAATTAAGATATAGAATCTAAGAAGAGTTTTTTTTATCAGAATGTCAATACTGGTATTTCAAAATATTGGAACAAAATGAAATATGTATACATGTATATGAGGTTAAAAGCTGGTGGAACTTAATAATGAACTGTTAGATGATAAATACTGGAAATACATGTTGGCTATCATCTCATTTTAGTTTCACTCTGAGAAAATAACGCTAATTACGCCTATGTATCGACCAACTGAATGTTACACCCCATTTCCATAGATTTTTAGATCGATCTATCCCTGTGGGGAGTCTCACTAGATTACTGTCAGCTTGGCCGGCTTAAGCGTCTGTCCCGCCTACTAAAAGCTGTAAGGGGGTAATAAACTATGGTGTCCGCTCGGCTGACTGCAATTTAGCCTGAACCCCCAGGGAGTTAGGTCGATCTAAAACTTAATCCCTGGATCGATCTAAATCTCTGTGAATACACCCTTTGACTCATTCCAGTATTCTGTATTCAGAGTGCTTTATCTTGGTACCCTAAATTGTTGTGTTTATCAAGGGAAATTTTTTTTCACTTTTCGCGTTTTACTTGGTATGGTTGAAAATAGTGGTACCTTCAATGTCACAATCTTACTGATTCTAAGGCGCGGACTATTCTCCAGTCAGTCAACCTTTCAAATGCAAAGTACGCTGAAAAAGACATTAACTGATACGATTTTTCCATTCCAACTGCAAATTGACAATTAGTTCTGCCAGATATGAGAGATTCATTAGCTTCTTCTAATCTCATAGTAAGTACAATAATGGCATAGTTTCTACATCATTAAATCTGACCGCTCTATTTTCATTTCTTATAAACTAATTCCATTCATCACGAAAGTGATCCATACATTGCGATATTTGATTTATACGGCCAGTTATATGGTCGTCATAAATAGCAGAAATATTTATGTGAGAAATCAGGAAATGCTCCCCTTTACGTCAAACAAAAAATCAATTCCAGGAATCTTCTTTCTATTAAGGGCTGCTGGGTGGAGCTGTGAATTCTCCGGGAAATTGACTTCATGACCCTTGTGCGTCAAGTTATAATCTATAAGATGTGGCGAGCATTCAAGCGCTCCATGTACAAGCACCACAAGGTGTTTTTAAATGGAGGTACATTTCGCCGCACAAGTTCACAACCAGAAGAACTCGCAATTAATTATCACACTGATGATTAACCTTAACGTACAGTGATGACAATGTGGGTACTATTCACGAAAGGAATGCATGCATAAGAATTTATCAAAGGGCTATGTAACAGTAATAAATATTAAAAAGAATTCGCCTACACCCATTGTTAAAATTTTAGTAATAGGGAGTTAAACAATAGATATCTCCGCTTTCCATATCAATAACAAAACAAAAAACGAGAAGAGAAAATAAAAATGAAACAAAAAATTGATTAATTGTAAAGGGCACATTTTTGTTTCTCGTTTCTTTTCCCAGAAAATCTCCATCTTCTGGCAGAAGTCACTGGCTTAAAGCTCTTTCCCTACTCCCTCCGACCCCCACCCCCTTTCTCTCTCATGCAGTGTTCGTTCAACAAAACTTCCTTGCACTTGCCCAACAGTCCTCACTCCCTCTGTTCTATCTTCACTGATCCCTTTTCTCTCCTCCTTCCTTTCCTCCCTCCCTCCCTCACCCTATCATATTACATCTTCTTTCTCTCTCTCCATTAAACACGTACAGTGATTCTCCCCAGTAGCCAAGTTCACATATCTTCAACGAGGCAACTGCAGGTGCGGTTTCACTAACGGCGACGCAGTTATTAAAACCGACTCATTTACTGAATAAGTTATGGCCTGGGCACCGCAGTCAGGTGGGACCGAAGCTGTGTACCTGCCTAACTGACGGCTACTTGCTATTTATCTTATTTATTTATGCGGTGCATGGGGACTTAAAACCACTACACCTCTCGAAAGAATGTGCCGACTATAGACCCTATATATAAACAACGCGGTAATTCATTAAATTATAAATGCGCAATTCAGTAATTTTACGGGATTATGAACATCCTTTTTTTAATCTTGTCATATTTCCATTAAACAAATAAGGAAGTAGTATAGTAATGTTAGCGACGTCTTTATCTTCGGATATGGGTATAAAACGGTTAGAAAATGTGGGATGTACTGATCGGATTCATAGACTAAGCATAAGATCCACAAAACCCGCACAAAAACAACACTTCGGTCATTTGTTATCGGAAGTCTAGTCCGCTGATGTTACCCCACCGATTGCACCATGGCTAATTTTATCAACATTTAATTTATCGCACGTAACCCCTGCTCGTTGATACGCATATCAAATTACTCAGTCAACACCAAAAAACCGGCACGCCCTTGGAGCACCCTGAGTTCCGTGTACAGGTCACACTCGTAATCTATTCCAGCACGCGCTATCAAATATGCTCTGAAACTCGGGGTACGGGCACCAATCGCACCAATATCGATCAACTGGATTAAAGAAACGGACTAAACGCACACTGAATCAAACAAGAAAGTGGTGTAGCCACGAAGATAACACATGAGCTGCCGACGTCGTGGGGCCGGCGGCTTTCGCAATTTACGATAAAAATTGGATTGCTCAACTCCGTTAACTATTGACTCACTTTCTTCTTTTCTAATCAAAAAGTGATAAAGAGGTTTGATAAGAAGCGCGACAGAAAAAGAAAATTCGTTGTTCATAGGTCCTGCATTGCACAACGCTATGATTAAGAACTCAAATAACATACTGAACAAATTAAAACGTGATTTTAAACAATCTATGTATAATCTAAAAAAAGACGACAATAATACAGATGTTAAAGTTTTAATTCATATCAATACAAATACACCCGACAAGGTCAATATAATTAACAAAACAACAAACGACCAGAAAAACTGACTGACTAGAACTTCCTTTTTACACACATTCAGGAGTAACAAAGAACAAGGGTAGTGCAGCTGACCACCACTGAAAGAAGGTATAATGGTGTGATTCTCTTTAATTATGCTCGTTTTAATCTCTGTCCCATAACACAGAACGTTGAAACCAGCCAAACCTCCTCTTTTACTACATCTCAGCTAGAGCCCATCAAATATTGTTTGTTGGATCAAAGATCTTAGTTGGAAGATGGCATATTCACACTATTCAATAATCAAAAGAATAGCATGCTGGCTCAAACAAAATAATTGCTGTTGACCCAACCTTCATCGATTCTCGGAAAAGCTAACAGTGCATTTTTTTTCTCTTATTTTTCAGATAATCATAACTGGAATACTGTATCTTATCTAGCAGGAAGTTTGGCTGACCTATTTCAACAAAATACTAATTTCATTTATTGATTTTCACATTCTAGACTTATTTGCAGAAGTCAAAGTGTTTGTGACTTAAAATGTACACCAAGCTCAAATGAATCAACATGTTTTAAGCAATTCACACTTTTCTTCTAATGCCTATTATTTGTGGCCTGATGAAAAATACTTTCAGTGTTGTCAGTTAAGAATACACCCTATAAAATTACACCATTCCTTGCTCAATCCAGTAAGCAAAGTGTAAACAGCCATACTGATAACAGCTAATAACAGTTTGTGAAAATCCCCCTACTGTTGCTCAGTTCTAAACGGGTGTGTCCATTTCTGCACACACAAGTGCTTCAGCTCAATTTCCCATAAATATTATAGGGTGCAAACTAATGCACAGCAATTGCCTTGTTTTTATGGGATGTTTATAAAATTCCAATAGATCATCAAAACCAGACATAAGTCATGCTTTCAAAAACTCCAGGTTGTACGTCCCAAAGGCCCTAAAATTATGGTCGAGAAAAACTAGAATTATTTCCAAGGCCTCGTATGTGACAAGCCAGCGCTGTACAGAAGCTATTTGGTTGACAGAAACATCTCACCCCTGTCAACCCCGCCCTGATTCATGATGGGTTAGCTCCAGGTGCAATGACACAACAACCAATTACCTACAAACACAAACTGTACTTTATGTCAACATGAAAAAGAATAACTGTTGCCAGTCAATTACTGTAATTTTCTAAATAGGGCAGTTCATCATGTGCCCCGTCTCAAATTGGGTCCCATGGTGCATGCAAAAAACATGAAACCCTGCACTTTCACATACATATTTACAATACGATATACAAGCCCATTTGCTGTAGAATATATACAAATATTGTAGCACCACATACACATAACTTTAAAAGATGCTGAATAACCTCAACTTTTACAGTGTAAAGAAAAGTAATGATAAATATATCTGATGTAAATATTGTTGCACTTTTTATGACACCGATCTTGTTTGTGAAAGGGATGAGATAAATTCACCAAATCACTTTTCAAATACTGAATAACACAAAAAACAAAGATGTACCAGAACAAGAAGCACCATATCACCTTGCACAGTGTGGCACAAAATGCTATAATTAAAAAATATTGATCTGCCACTTACCAAGCTTATCTAAAAATTAAAAATAATATTTTAACAAATCACAATTCCCTTGTCACAACAATTTAACAATTAAAAACAATTTACAAGTTACCATGTCTGGGATGTGGAATATCTTAATGTAGTTTAGCTTTGACACTGAAATATTTTCTATTATCTAGTCATTTTCACATGGGATCTACGAAAGTAGGTGGCTGTTGACTTGACATTAAAAACCTTTTGCTTTCATTAGCAATACCAATGCCAATTTGAGAACAAAATTTGCTTCATCTTTTGTCACATCTTGTCATTGTAATGCATGGTTGATGGTCCATGACTTCATAAAAAGACAGTAAATATATTCCATTCTATAAGTGAGCCCATGTAAAAAACACTGCATGTGTTAACTCCTCTTCTTAATGTATATAACATTCACTGGTTCACTGCTTCATACTATGTTGCTCCACTATGAATGGGCATACTTACTGGTTATGAAAGAGAAGCTTGCCTCTTGTGGGTTTCACAGGACTTGGTTGTCTGTTTTGGATACATGTCAAAAATTGAGCTATGCACATTGCATACATGTATATTGTAGAATGCTTTATCCAAAAACTATTCCTATAGGGGATAATTTCACAACTTTCAGAGGAAGCAACATCTATTGTATAACATTCACCAATGCCCAAGACTACAAAACAAGATGACTGACTGTATCTTTACAATATTACGACTCACAAACATGGGTGCTTATGGTTAAGTCTTGAATAAGTTTAACAAACCATAAAAGGCACTGCTCAATGTTTAAAAGCACAAGGGAGCACAAGTTCAACTTGGACTTAATATTAAGCCAATGAACAAATGTATACAAAACCCGTCAACCTAAAAAACTGTTAACACAAAAAAGTGATTCTATCTACTGAATAGTTTTATAAATAATGTGACCAATAATGAGTTAAATGGATTGTAATACTGTTGAACCATTTTGCAAGATTTGCATTAGCAATTTTTACAATTTAAAAAGCTATAAAAAACAGACTACAAAGATTTACCACCCCAAGGATAGTAATATCTTATACACTCTGTAAATCTTTCCTCATAAAAATGATTAAGAACAATCATTCATCGTATTTGTCTGTGTTTCACTGATTTTGTACCAGCAAGGCTATCCATGCTGAATTATAACATGGATCCACAATCACTACAGGTACTCCATTCCAGAAGATTGAAAACACACCCAGAAAGATGAGAATAACTTATCTGGTGAGATCAACGGTTATAGCACAATTCTGGACGCCATTGTTCTCACCTTAACTGTCCCAATATCTCGCACTGAAACACGACAATTATTTAAAATCAGCTCTATTCAAAGATTCTCTGCTTTCACTGTAGTTTCCTCCCTCGTTCTGGTATCTCTGCAAAGAGGTGCAAGTCTGCAACTTTATACTTGGAAGTATTTACAATTGTGTTAGGACAGAGCACTGTCATTTGCTGTGCTACCTTCCTTTGGTCTCTCCTTTGCCATTCTTGTGTACGTGACACTGGATTAATACTGTGGTCAGTTGCTGACATGCTCTTGATACAGACTCCATGCAGGCTGGAATCTTACTGCGACTAACCTCGTTAGTGTTGTCGTAGGCTAACTGCTTGATTGCCTTGCATAGCTGGATACAAGATGAGGTTATATTCATGCAAGTACCTGTAAAAACAATTAGAATGTTAATGTTGATTTTGTGTATAGAATAAGATCAAATTTATATGTAATTTTTTTTTTGCAAAATTCTTGTTATATTTTTCTATAGAAAAAAAATTGACCCATGGGTTTGATTCTGATTTTCCTTAACAGTTTAAGCTATTGGGTTAAATGCTTTTGAAAGTGATCCCAACCAGGTTCGCCTTATAGTACTATAAACTATCATTCCAAAGTGCCTGAGTGTGTGTTATAACTAGATACAGAGCAAAGACTAGGAATTTATGAGACAACAATATTAAATTTGAGTTAACATTTGACATTAATGATCGTTTTAGCATCTTAATCCATAATATAATTTAGTTTCAGAGTTATCTACCAGGTAGACAATATTCTGTGGCTAGGGATAGTAGGGCTCGTGTAATATACCACATTCCAACACATACTCAAATACATGCGGGATTATTCTATCCATATATTTTTACCAGTATAAAAGTGAGCTGAAACATGTACAGAGTTTTTACTAGTATGTGAGAAAAAGATAGCTATAGAAAATAAAAAGAGAGACTCAAATGGTTTATGGAAAACTACAAAACATGAATATGAATAATTAAGATTATCTAGAATAAACAAGGAAAAGGGTTCCTTCATATTCTCTCCACACAACATAGCACTCATGATATTATAAATGAACCACTTCTCCCCTTGATGGACTTGGAAGAGGAGAAATTACCCTCCATTAGGCAATATACCCAACATTAAAAACCCGATCAACAAATAATACTTCCCATCCCCTGAGCCCTAATTTACAACCAATCCAGAATATGGCCACTGAGTCTGTTATTTATTTCCCAGCACGAATGCTTACAAAACATTAACAAACAATGTGTGTTGGGCAATAAACAACCGAGTTAGAAAGTCAAATTCCCAGCTGGACCATCCTTTCCCTGGCAACCTCAGTTAAGTATGTGTACATTGAATAACCCACAGTTTATCTTCTATGGAGAACTTTTTGCTTATTTATCTTCATTCAAGATGATTTTATGACTCTTAGTCAACCCTGTGATGACTGCAGGTAAACAGGCACCCACCCAGTTGACGTTCTAATCAGAGATTATCATCAAATATTGGTCATCATATCTGAACTGAAAATGCACTGTTGCATTACTAGTAAGTGCTTTATTTGAAATGGTTCCCTCTCGAACGAATTGCCAAGAGTGTTTTTTTTGCCGTACGTAATTATGCAAAAGAGCTAACAAAACTGTAAAAAAAGACTGTTGTCATTTAAATCATCTACCTTACTCGTTAGGTCAAAATTTTATTCCAAATGAAAAAATTAAAAATAATATAAAACTCTGCCTTAGAAATATATACCTCTGCCTTCAAAAATATATACATCTAGCCCTAGCCTACATCATCGGAACATAGTTGTACAATTCTTATGGAAAAAAAAAATACGACAAAACCTTCTTTGTCATCTTTTCATGTCTAGGTTAAAAGTCTCCATCAAAATGACAATCTTATCTCTGTCTATTCACATTAATTGAACTAAAGCCTATCAACGAACAGCACACACCCTAGCCTCCAGTACTGAAGAGTGATTAGATCACACAATCACATTACACTTTCATAAAAGGCTTAAAATAACACAGAATGACCAAAAAATGACAGTTATCACTTGTGAACTTGTCATTGCTTACATCTAAAAGATGGATTTCACCATTTTTTTTAAATTTGTCTAAATGAAAAAAATTCTACTTAAGCCCTGAATCTTGGGATATTTCATGTTGACCACGTTAAAAATTCTATTCAAAACCTTAAATTTTGGGATATGCCATGTTGACTAAATTAAACCACTCCTGCAACAACTTCAACTGCCATCAGTTCAGTTGTAATACTAATCACCATCTCAGCAGTTGGCCACCTCTGTAACTTTACTAACGAACCAACTAAGCCTGATATCAGAAACCAAGAGTGAAATAACTGCATATTTTAGCATTTTAAAACATTCATGCATTGCAGCTTGTTGTTGCACAATTTTTCTCACATGTATAGGTAATGAAATATCTTGAACAATCTTAAAATAGATATATTACAACAGTGAAGTTGAGTTGTTCCAATATATACAGATACCACTTGTGTAGAATCTGCTGATAGTGTTATGTCCACTTATCATGGGGGAGAGCAAAAGTCAACACTAACTTTTATCTGTGATGTATCATATTTGGGGACATGCACTACTTGAAAAGGATTAGCCAGGCTATGTAACAGTGCAGCTTAACTCGCATTTCAACTATTCCATGAACGTCCTCTTTCCTGTTTTTGTTCTTGTAATAAATTAACTCAGACTATATAAATTATGGGATTTTTTTCAAAGTCAACCATCTACTCCACTATCACTAATCTAAATCCATTAGTCTTGACAATACCTTACAATTTAAAGTTTCTTTCTATCATTTGTGAATTCTTTCAACTGAAGACAAGTGGAAGCAACAGTTTTAAATGTATGTTTAAACTATGGTTCTTATACAGCAGTGTGTCATTTACCTGTGTTTACAAAAATAAAATATAAAATGCAAACACACACAATGGTGTCTGCATTTTTGTGACGCAACACCTAATAATAATATTAATAAGGACTAATGCTTTAAGCTATTTTAATTTTTTCCAAAGTGACATAAAGGGCAATTCAATTGTCAGAGAGCATGTAAATGCAATTATACAAGAGTGTTTGTTTTGTCTTTTGAGTTCAATCCCATGATTACGATCAATAAACTAAATGCCACGAGTCATCCTTCATCCTTCATCCAACCCAACCCACCAAAATTGTGCCTAGACATAACATGAACTGTGTAGACCATTTTGTCTGCTTTCATCCCATCCATATCAATCTACTATCTTTAATTGCTCTGGAGAAGAATCAATAAAACTAATATGCCACACCCAGAGTAATAGAGCAAATGTGCAGGAAAACCTCTTGGGTTGAGGCTGAAAGTGGAGATGGACAAAAGGCTTGAGTAAGCTCTTCACTTTCCAACTAATCAATTTTGCATAAGAGCTTTTGCTTAAGGAACAGACAACACAGCCAATATTATCTTACTGGCATTTACTGCCTATCATTTGACTGTGAAAGAAGAAATACAATACAATACAAACTGCCTCGCGGAGAAAGACAATCTTGGTGCAAGAAAGAGTCTTGCTAGTGGATCAATCAAGTGTCCATGAGCTATCCACCTAAAAGCACAGTTAATGACAAGTAATGACCATAAATATCAGCGATGCTGAGCTTGAGTTGAGAGCTTATTCCTTTGGGGATGTTAGTCATATGTAGAAATTGGACTTACACATCTTTATTAAAAAGAAACAGTATTGTATGTTAGGCATTCAATAATCTTAAAATTGCACCAATAAAACTGATATTCTTTTTAAAATTAGAATCCCAGTGTTATGAATTTCAGATTATCAGCCTTATCTACGTCAATATCAGCAACAAGTGAGTAAAAAAAGAAGCTAACTCACACCAGGAAGTCAGCATGCAATGCAGGAGAGGGAAAAAAACTACATCTCAGTCTTCTTGCAGATGTAAACACTTGAAGGAGGGCGTTAACTAGTGCCCATGTCAGCTTTACATAATTATGTATAATTTCTTTTACCTCCACTGAGCTTCACATACCACCGTAACCAAAATAAGCCTACTCCCTTCCCAAAGGCCAATCCAAGGTTCCAACCTTGGTGTGCACCTGGTTACTTCTCAGCTATAACTGCCTCAAGACCAGTAGAACACCTGGGCCTCAGCCAAATTTACCAACCATCACCGGAAAGGTGTATCCTTTAATCTGTATTTAAAGTCACCTCAGTGAAAAACATTAAAATTCTGAACCACTGGCAAACCACATTAATGACTTCCAAATTAGTTACTGTCTTGGGTAATTCATTATGGGTTCTAACATTTTTTTTTACTGTTTTGTTTCGGTGCTTTGCATTATTTTAACCATTCTTTGGCAGAGCTGAATGATGCTTAGCAGGGAGTGTACAATAATTAATAATTGTGGGAGGATAAGGAAGAGGGTTGTGAAAATTTGGAAGAAATGGCAGAAGTGACTGCAGCTTGCTATAAATCTTGTGCATACAAAATGTTCTCTAACTTTGTCTGACTGTGAAAAAAAATTATTGCTGTTATAAATTCTCATTTGCCGAAAGCCTATACTAGTACCTAAAAATGGCGTATTGTGTTTCACATGTCTATAGTTAGTAAATATCTGATCACTTTTTATTTCAAAACTGTTTACACCTACTTATTTACTTAAATTATCGGTGCAATTAGTATGGTAACAACAAAGCAGTGTGTAAAGTATTCCACTCAGATATAAGCATTTACACAATATACTGATATCACTGTTTAGAGAGGTTCATAATGATAAGAGGCCTGTTACCGTTATTTTCTAAACTTCAACTTGTAACTCGGCCAAGCATTACTTTGAACTGTAATCAAAAAGATTTTTGTCTTAATTAAACCCAATAAGTATGCTGATTAGACTTGGAAAAAAATTACAACATTCATGTATCTAAAGAGTGATAAACATTTCATCTCAAGAAAAAAATCTTGTCAATAACAGAAAGGGTAGTAAACTGAAGGAAAGGGGGACATCTAAAGTATATGTTAAATTTATAAATATGACAACAGGATCTGTCCAGAGTAAAAAAAAAAACTACACAGCCTAAATCTAATTCATAACAGTGTGGAGGAAAATCAAATTCAAAAGTTCTATGATGCTGTTATTGATAAAATAAAAGAATCATTGCCAGCATAAACTTTTTGTAATGCTGCTAGTGCATCATAAATAATGTACATCTTTCAGCATTATGTGGTCTTAAATTAAACTTCAGAAATATGCCAACACACTACACACTTTTAATTGAGAAGTGAGTTGGAGAATTATATTTAAAAGCACCTTGTATGGTATACTGGGTCATAATTTGCATACATGGTACCTTCAAATTCATCAATCACATTCAGGGGCGGATTGAGACCGTCTTCTGGGTCTTCCAGAAGACAGTCGGATTTTAAAGTTTATATTGACGGGTATCTATTTTTTTTCTGTTGGAAGACCATCAAAAATGGAGGATGGATCAACAAAGATAATTTGGAATACTGTCAGAAAATATCTCTGGATCCGCTCCTGCACATTGGAATTTTTGCAATTGTAAATTATCTGCCATGGAATGAAAGAAGATCTCTTGTGGTGGGATAATGATTGAACAATTGAAATGTATACCTAATACTACTTCCTGGACTTCTTTGACGCCCTGAGAGATCATGGCTGGCAGTCCTGTAAACTCCAACTCGGTGGAAAACTTCACTAGAGCATTCACTGATGCTAGGAGTGGATCACAGAAAAAACTACATCTGTAATGTAAGCTTTCACTGGGCCTCTGCTTGAATGCCTTGATACTGGCCACCAATACCCCAGCACAAGCTGTAGCACTTTTTATACACAGTTTAAACTGATCTTGGGTAAAAGGGTCTGTGGCCATTTCACTGGCAACTCGACAGCATTCTGTGAGTTTTGTCAAATGTTTTGATATGTCAGTACAGTTATCAATGAGAACCTGAGGTGTCAGATCTTCAACCTGTGCTGTGCGAAGTTTTACACAAGTTATCTCCAAGTCTAATTTGGCACAAGCTATTTCATATTTATCGACTATTCCCTTTTGCGCCGGCTCAAATTCCTCTTGGCTGCTTGCAAGTAAATATGCTGAATGGCTACAGCATTCCATAAGTTGTACCACAACAAGGCACATGTCTTGGATCAGTTTACTGATGTCCTGCCATCGCGTTGTCACATCATATAACTGTCTGGTGAGAGAAGACAGTATGGCATGCAGGCCTTCTGTCTGTGCTAGTATCACATCTCTACAGTCAGAGAATGAGCTCCCAAACATTACCAGATTGTCAGATTTGACTGGGCGCACATCGCTCGTTAAAAGAAGCATTTCTGCAACACCCTGCATCTTAAGCTGACAACAGTCACTAGTCATTGCCACTTCCCTAGTTTGGGGTGTTGACATGCCAGAATCCTCGAAGCACAAACACACCATAACAAGACAGTGATACACAACGCAACCTTTTCTCAAATAAGGCGTGTTACCCTTTTCTTACTTTGCATACTGGACTGAAATCCCTCCACCTTATATTGTGGCTGATTCACTGCAGTTACAAAGCCTGACTTGGATAAGTCACCGATGTCCACTGATAAGACAGTTTCACTAGCTAACGGTTATGCAGCTACTGTACATTTTGCATTGCAAGCCCTTTTCTCCACATCATGGCTGTGCCACACTCTATATCTGTTGATCCACATTCTTCTGATCAATGACTTAACGCTGAAAAAAGCTTGGGCCAAGTGCATTTCATTTCAATAACATCGTGTGCTCTTCCCTTGACCAAGTATCGCTAAACTGCACGAGAGATCGCGTTAATAACGATCAATTTGCGTTGATATGCTTGTTCAACAAAAAGTAACACTGCATCACTTGTAAATTAAATGAAGAAATATGCATTTTGGTGAAATGAATAAGCACGATTAGTTAAATATACAAATTTTACTAATAAAATAAAAGGTTATGAATTGATAAAATGATATAAATCATGCGCGCACTGATAAAAGAAGTGCCACATAACCAGGTGATCTGCCTAGCACATGCTTCCGGAATAGGGAATAACAAGGAGACTTCCGGCGGAACTTCTTTTCTGCTCAACGTCTTGTGTGTCTTTTCTGCTCGCAGAAGAAGAATATGGCTTCAGTAATAAGCACTTTTAGTAAAGTAAGTATTCCTTAAAGTATTAACCATATTTCTCAGGGTATGCCTATCCTGTTCGTGTCCAATTATCTGTTTTTTTCGGGTGACCACATGCAACTTCCGTTCTGACCAGTGAAAGATGGCGGTTGTTTTGTTGTCATTTGCCGCTGACGCTAGTAATGTTGCGAACGCGGCGATATCCGTTGGTAAAATCAAAGATAAATGCTCAGGTAGAAGTACCCCCTTTTTGTTCAAAGTGCTGTTTCTGGTACCTAAATAATCACCTCGGTTCTTTTGATGTTATGCATTTGTTGTGAAATGTTGCACCCCAGCGCTAAGCTGAGGGGCAATGAGTATTTGCTTTTCGAGTTTTTACTACATCAAGTATGTGGTGATTTTGATCAGTGCCTCTGGTTTTTAGGTTAAATAGTTTGGCAAGTTACTAAATGGTTTTTCTGGCTCCATCCATGAATTGACATCAGCTCCAGATTATTATACTTGAATGAGTTTTGAAGCAAGTATTTGGTTTTTAAGAAATTTTGTTCAAGTGGAAGTGATAAATGTTTATTCATTGTTGAAGCTTATCACTAAATGGTATGCTTTATTCACAGAACACAATGCTGTTGAAGAGGTAAGCTGTTTTTGGTAAAGACATCTTGCTGCTGTAGTGATCCACTGCAAAGGAACAAATAGAACTAAAAGAAAAAAAATACCAGAGAAAAAATTGCATATCTAACACAGAGACACATATCCCAATTTGACTGAACAACAGCTAACATGTCTCTGGTTGATCTTGGCAAGAGACTGCTTGATGCAGCAAAAAAAGGAGACACAGAAGATGTCCGCATGTTGATGACAAATGGAGCACCTTTCACAACTGATTGGGTAAGTGATGCTTGATGTATTTGCAAACTGATCTATGTTTTTTAATTGATTGAGGAATATGTGTAAATAGTCTTGCCTTCAGCTGTGTTACATTAGATTCCAAGTTTGTACTTGGCATGGATCTTACTGGGACATTTTTATTGTGTCACTTTGTGAACATTACAGATGCATAGGCTATATTGGCATTTGATACAGCCATAAATCTGAATTGTATAAATATGTATTTTTTTCTGTTGAATTCTTCTTCAAAGTTGCCTTAGGAGAAATGCTAACTTGCTTGACAACTTTTGTTTTTAGTTGGGCACATCACCGCTACATTTTGCCTCCATGTATGGACATGAAGCTACAGCTGAGGTTTTGTTAAGAGCAGGAATCAGCAGAGATGCTAGGACCAAAGTAGACAGGACTCCTCTACATGTGGCAGCGCAGAATGGGCACACAAACATTGTAGAACTTCTGATTAAGAACCAGGCTGATGTGGAAGCCAAAGATATGGTTAGACATTCAGTAAACCCAAAAAAGAATAAAAAAAAATGATTAAATGAAGTAAATAATTGTAATGTGGTTAATGAAAGTCATTTATTTTAAACAAAAAGTAGAAAGATAATAATAATAATAATAATAATTGAGGATCCCTTGACGGGATCAGTTATTTTTCTCCACAAACCAAATGCTAAATGTGGGTAGAAAAGCCATGTACTATGACGTGGTGAGATGATTTTTACTCCCCAGGTTATAAAATATTGCTGTAGCGTAGGTTACTGCCCATTAACCATTAGGCAGATCAGCTTCACATATGGCAGCTGTGTTAGGTTTTTGTCCCATGTTAGTGACAAATTGAAAATCGTGCTATGGTCATAACTGATTATTACTTTTTAATATATATATATATTTAATGTAGAATTTTTTCTTCTAGTTAAAAATGACCCCACTGCACTGGGCTGTTGAAAAGGGTCATGTTCCAGTGATAGAAATCTTGTTGAAGCATGGAGCTGATGTACACTGTGAAAACAAGGTAATGTCAAAGTTGAGAAGGTTGAACAAACTTCAAGAAAGAGATAAAATCAGTTTTCAAATTTTTTGTTAGTCTATTAATTGAATTTCTCACACTGGAATATTCCAGTACTCAATTGGAATTTTGACAAAAGCAATTTTTACTTTCTTTCAATTTATTTTTTTTTTACTTTGTCGCACAGGTATTTTCTGCTAAGCAAAAACATGGTTATAAGCAAAATAAAAGGTCAACTTTTTGAAACTTATGGATATTTATTTTAGTTTGACAAGTCCCCAATAGATGTAGCAGTGTGGAATGGAAGATATGACATAAGCCAGCTATTGCAGACAAAACAGGTAGGTTTTGCTTCCATTAATATTACTTTTTTTTTTTTTTCGTTTCATAGTTCATATGAATGGTGTTAATATTGGTTATCTATTTCTGTCACTTTATTTTTGAAGAATTGTAGAGTTTAAAAGCTATTGTAAAAATTGTGCTTTGCCAAATGAAAAGAATCAACAGTATTATGTTTTATGTGTGTAGATGGAGAATGAGGGTGCCTCTACATCTGGTGCTAGCCGTGGCATCACGGTATCCGAGTCTGATGCAGCTGCTGCAGAGTTGACAGTGTCCGAGGATGCCATTCCCACCTCGGCCCTTGTTGAACTAGTCACAAATCATAACACAGGTTTGTCTGATAAACATTAAGCCAACTTCTTTTCATGAGGTTTCAAACTTATTAACAATGTAAAGAAATTATAAAAGTAAGCTATCTGACAAGCCTTGATGGTCCATAGTAAGTCTTATGTGAAGGGCAGATGGTTGTCTAGAGCTAGGTCAATGTTTTACTTGGGATAAAACCATATCCAGGTAAAGCGATTTTCTTTTATTTAAGATCCAAGATAAGAAGTGATGTAACATATTAACTTTGATGTAAGGTTTAACCATAGATCACTACACAGAATGTAAGTCGTGTTTCCAGATAATATTTGAACTAATTGCTCTCTTCTATAGGCACTGTACCCAAGACTAGCGTATCCTCCGACCAGAGCAGCACCTCTGTGTTAGCCACCCTGGCAGCTCTGGCAGAAGCCACTGCTCCTCTCAGTGCATCTGCAGCAGGTTAGTAGATGAATTGGAGCAAGCTTGTAAATAAGTTTATGCAGGTTTGTCAGTTAAATCATTTCAAAACTATAAGTCTGTTTTATGGTTTGCTCCAGATTTTTGCGGTGTTGTTGTGTGTGTGTGTGTGTGTTTGTTTGCATTTGGAAGAGAAATAAAATGGACAAAACAATGGATTGAATTGACATCAAAATAAATTTTTGCTCTTAACTTTAATCATACTAGAGGACAAATTGCAATAGTTCAATATGATATTTTAGGCACCAGTGCAGCAGAAGCATTGAACTGGTTGGAGACACATGGTATAACCACAGTAGCCAATGATCAGCCATCAGTAGTGACAGCTATAGAAGGAGGACAGGGATTTGCCCTCACAGGTATTATTATTATTATTATTATTATTATTGTTATTGGTGGTGGAAAGGTGGCACTTCAATTTGCATTGTCGGCAAAACGTCATAAAATAGCGTGCGTACACAAAAATTAGTTCAGTGCAGGAAATCTTGTATTTAGTGTATTGTACAGTTTTATTGTACCACCAGCGTTAGCGCTGGCGGTACACATGGTTTCGGTCCCGTCCGGATCGTTCCGCCGGCTCCGCCGGCTCCGCCGGATGGCTACCGTTACCGCTTCTCCTCCTAGACGGTAAGGGCCCCCGTACCCATCTCATGGATTTAGGTCACCTATAATCTCAACTCGTTCCACGTAAAATTTGGGCTTTGTCGGTATTGGGNCTAGTTGTTCGCATGTGTACGTATTCAATTTCAGAAGCGGGCAAATTGGCCTTAAAATTCGTAAAACAAGGAAGCCAAGGTGGATCGGATGATGAGCAGGGGGACAAACAAATGGTAAATATACAGGCTAGGTTGAGTTTGTGTATTGTGTGAAATTAAACTTCAAAAGATTTGAACTTAGCTTGATGTTTATAGACTAAATAAATGCTTTACTTCAATTCATTTTTCAGAAAGTTATCACCATAGTAACAGAACAGGACGGAACAACACAGGAGAGCCAAGTAGTTGTGATGAGAGAGGAATCCACAGGTATGGGATAATCATACAGATAGTCCTTATTGATCTCAATTTTGGACATTTTTTGCAGAAATGTTTATGCCAAAATAGTAAATATGTATGGTTGTCATTAGGTATTTTTACATGTTCAGTAGTTTCAAGAATACATTTTATAATGTAAAATGGTTGTCTGACGTAACACCTTACAATTTTTTCATAGCTTGTGACATAATGAGAATCTTTTATGTTCTTCTAAAACTGTTTACAGAGTTGATGAAACTGTTCTCTAACATTACATTTCATAATGGTAAAAGTTCATTTTTTAAAGACCAAAGAGTATGTTTTAGCATGTTGTCATTTTCTGCTTCTCTAGGCAATGGCGATGGTTCAGATGGAGAGCCTTTAGCTAAGAAAAGTCGCTCATCTGGAGACAGTGTGGATGGTGAACATGATGCCATAGCTAGATGGTTACAGGTGAATTTTTCCTTTTGTTTGTTAAACTCTTATTATTCTTTTGACTTTTCACTCAACAATATCATCTAGTTTAATTGCTTTTAGTGAGTCCATCATTTGTCTTCAAATGGAAGCAGTGGTGCTATTTATTCTTTGAATTATGAATGGTCAAATTGAATTACTTTGGTCATGAATTATTATTTGAAAAATGTTTTGTAGGGGAAACAAAGTTTTGAAACATTGGACCAAAATGATCTCAGAAAACAGTTGGAAGAAGTGCAGAAACAAGCTGAGGCATATAAGCTGCAGCTGAAGCAGAAAGAGGAAGAAGCAGAAGTGTATAAGAAACAGCTGAATGAAATAGCGAGCAAGACCCCACCATCTTCATGATGTCTTCAATTTGTAGTTATGTGTACAAAGTTTTAATTGTCATGGAAGTGCTCCAACTTATCTTATAACTTCGATTAAAATGGACTGATGATATCTGTTTACATTGTACAACCAAAGGTTTTGACATTTGGTGTGCTGAAAACTAGTTTTGAAGATAAGTAAATCGTTTATTGTGTATTTTTTTAACTAGGGCTAGTGAGGATGTTGGAGAATTCCACTCAGTATATAGTGAGGATGTTGGAGAATTCCACTCAATATATAGTAACTGTAGTGGAACTATATATGATAGCAGTTTTTTACTCACTCCTTTATGAATGGTCCTGTGATCAGGAAAAACTTGACTGAAAATTTTGTTTATAAGAAAGACCTGTATGTGGCATTATCGATTGGTTCAAGATTAACTGTGCCAGACTTTGACTTGATTTGAGATGATGAGTGAGAATGGACCATGATTTTTTTATAGATTATATTGGCATAAAATGTGATGTTGCTTTGTATAGAGTATTGTAAATATTAAATTTTGCTGTACACCTAGGCTTAGAATATAATGAAATATTTATATCAATTGTGAATAAGGTATATTTATGGCTGTTCGGGTTACAGTCACTGTCAGAAAAGTCAAGGAAGTGTTCATCTTTCCATTTTGTGTTTATCTTCATTATTTTCACGATGAGCTTGTACCATCTTTATTGATTGTACCAATTGTGCCATTTTTCATGGGCATGTATAACACTTGGGTGCAAATGAAGGTAAATTTTGAAAAGAAAAGCAAATTCAACACTCTCATTTGTTAAAATTGTGCTTTTCACATTATAATACTGTAAATATCTGGTATGCTGGTCCATTCAAAAGGCATTTGTTTCAAATGATGGAGCTTTGCTAGTATTGTAAATCTGGAAGTCTGAATGATCATTTAAGCAATTTGGAATGTGTATACATTTCAAGTAGCTATATAGTTGTTCTATACTTGTTCCCATTATGTCATGTTGCATGTAGATTCAATGTACAATTGTAGCGTCATGAGATGAATAATAAATAAAATGTTACATGCCTTTTTGTAAACCATTACAGATTTGTTTTAAGAGTTGCCAAAATGTTGATCATTATCCTAATGGAAATCGTCATTTTTGTCACTTAAAAGTACATATACCACTTACTTATATCAGGACAAGTAATACTTGTTTTAACAGGTTAATGCCATGAATTGATGTCACCAAAAACAATCTAGTTTACCACCACCTGTCAAATCTTGATACAGTTTTGAATCGTGCAACCCTGACGTCGGTGCTCAAAGTGATGGGTTATTTTTAAAAAAAGTGTTAGCAGTGGTTAAGGGCTTCATAATTTTCCCAGAATGTTATTGTGAGTGTGAGGAAAGGAGGATGGAAGGTTGTTTAGTTGGAGAAATTACCGTTTACCCCAGGAAAAAGTTTTGCTGGTGCTGGGCACCTTTAAATATTATGTTATCCATTCTGACTTGAAATTTGTTGATATATGGTATGAAGAAAATGCCACAGAAAAATGATTTTTTAAAAATTTCTTCCCCCACCCACAACCCCTGGAAACTCGAATTTAATTATGATAAAATTAAGATATTTCAGCAATTTGCTTATAACCCCATAAGCATATTTATTACAATTTGGTTATACATTCCATACCATTTTAGCAGCAAACAACAACAACATTAAAGCTCTAATATAAGTGATAAGAAATTATTGCACACTTACTAATCAAAAACCTTTTATAATTTACAAACTACCCCAGTTCTACCTAATATAATTCCTAATAAACTTCTTGCCTTTATTAAAGACTGAAATAGAAATCACACAAAACATACTGCAAAAAAAAAAAAAAAAAAAAAAAACTTGTGCTCCACTCAAAATGTATGTCAAAACATGAACTTCGAATAATATCAATCATGTAAGATTCATTATTAAGTGCAATAAATCTGAGGTCATTTTTTATGTCTTGCATAACTATTCGGTTAAAAGGCCTTATCTTGATCAATTCTTAACATCTTAACTTTTTTAACCACAACTAAACAGCACCACAGGCATGAAACAATTGGTCAAACCAAGGACGTATATTCAATATACATCCTTGGCCAAACTAACCTTACATAAATATAAGCTTTAAGCTCAAATTTAAAGTGCTTCAGCTAGTGCAGACAGCCAAAGCACCACCTACAACACTGATTATGCTTCTTAAATAACTCTACCAATAAGTTGCAGTAATATGGCAAGCAATCTCAATAACCAGAGCTCTGGTAATTCTTGGTAAAGACATTATCTTAACTTGATTGAAAAATGAGGCCTCTAGTTCCAAGGCATAAAATTTGAGTAGACATCTCTTTAGATATGAGTTAATATTATACAACTTAACCACATGAAGATCAAATTGTATACTCATTGAAACTTCAGTCACAATTAAATCAAATTGATTGCTGTTTTCCATTATTTAGTAGCATTGAAAATGTTGCATATACACATATTTTATAAACATAGAAAGTATCAAATTTTGAAAATATCTCTTCTTTGACAATAGTAAATAGCAGAAGCAGCTTTCAAATGGCAGTCAAAAGATATCCTATACATGCTGTATAAGAACAGTACTGAAAAAGAAAATGTATAGACTTCCTGTTTATGCTTAAGCAGCATAACGTAAGTGAAGGTTACACATATATTTGTAAGTATTTTAAGTGTTCATATAATCAATATATTATTGTTGATTTTTCTCAATGTTTCTTTGACAAGGTTTATGCTGTCAAATCATATTCCACAATGTCTGCCAGTAAATCTTCTCTTTCTTGAATGGAGGACTACTTCTGTCTTGCCATGCAATCTCTCATGTGTCCAACAATTTTCTGAAATAAAAAGGCAAACTGTTGGTAGATTTCTGCCACAGATGTGGATCTACATTATGATTATTGGAAGTCTTTGTGATATTTAGAAAATCTGTTTCAAATTGACTTCTCACCAGGAATGCTATAACTTTATTTATCTATTTATTTATTTATTTATTTATTTATTTATTTATTTATTTTTTTGCGATGGGTGGTAAAGAAGCAGATATACAGCTATATAAAATTAAATATTTATTACAAAGACTGAGGAAATAAGTCTTTTTTGGTTTTGTGCCACCGTTTAAAAGACATTATTTCAATATCAAAAATCCTCAATAACACAACACAAAATGTAATAGTGCAACCCAATTCTGTTGTTTTATTCAGTATTTTTTAGTCTTTCATTCTTCTTTTAATCTTTCAATTTTATCTATTGATTTCTTAATTTTACTTAGTGCACACAATGTTCATACCTGAGCAAGTTTTGAATCTTGTATTGGAACAACTTTTTCAGTTTTGCTGCTGCCTAATGAAAATGGGAACGTCTTCTTCTCTTTCTCCTGAAGGTAAAATAAAAATCCATTTTTTTCCAAGTATCCACCTCACATACTCAGTTACATTATTTAAGTTAAAAAATTACATATTACATAAATTTAAAATAAGTATTTGAACATAAGTTTACATATAAATGAAAAAAAAAAAACACACCTACTCCAAGACAGCTGCTGATTATATAATATAAAGAACTTGAATAACTAGATTCGGTTTCAAAATTTCAAATATGGCTTATGTATGACAGCTGTGATTACCTTGAGTAGTATTGAGATTCCCTTGGAAGTGACAGTTGGAGCATCCTTCAACTCGGCCCACTGATAGTTCCAACTGCAGTCCCACTGCCCAAAGATCTCCCCCCTGTTCACCATCATTACACGTCTGAAGGAAAAAAAAAACATCTTGTTTACTACAGGATGCACATGTGGATGCTCTGTTTAAAAAATATTTTGAAATTTCGTGGCTCTTTGCTTGATGTTATATTAATGAAATGCATATCTACTACTAAAAGATTTGTATCTAAATTAATTTATGGCACATTAAAGACCTATTTTGAAATAAGTAAATACTTTGTTAAGCAAGAGGAACTTTTATCAGACAGCTAATGTTCATGTAACTTTGTGAATCATATGATAATCATTTAACACAAGTTGGATAGACTTTTCATACCACTAACTTGCGGCCAAACTGGATGAAGGCCTTTCATCAGACAGACTCAAGTTATAACTCACTGACCACAAGCTAACAATATGGAAAATTTTTCAGTTTCTGTTAAATAACCATCACATGTGATCCAAGTACCAAGCTAATGAACATTTTTGCTAATTTTTTGTGAATGTTTTTAAAAAGGGGTCTCTACACTTCAAGTAAATATCTACCTGTCAGTCACCAGGAGGATATGTTTTCCATCTTTAGTTACCACGGCGTGAGCTACATAAACATCGGATTTGGCATACTTTCCTTTCTCCATGTCCTAGAGATGGGCAAAAAATTTATTTGGCACAGCATCTTTTTGATTACGTATAATTCATCAATTCTATTAACGCTATTAAATACAGAAATCTTCAAGACTAAAACAACAAAAAAGCAATCGCTACAGCAATTTAAAAAGTACAAAAATGTATAAAAGTTGTCTGAAAATCCACTAAGCACAGAACAACAATATAAACAATATGACACCAAACAGTAATCCAGATTGAATCTTCTTTGTCTAGGCCATTCCAACAAGTAAATCTCATACAACATGATTATTATTATTATTATTTCTTCCATGATTCTCAGTCAACCATTTTGATTATATTTTTTACCTGCAAAATTCCATTGCCCTCTGCCTCTTTCAGAACAAAAGGTCGTACTATGCCATCTTTCTGAAGATATCTTGGAGGTCGTAGTCTGCGGATTTCCACTACATTTTCTGCAAGTCTAAATGCAAAAGGTAACAGTAGATATGAGTTCACTCATTGCTAACAGAAAACTGATGCACTTTGCAAACACTCACATTATAAAAAGATGGATATTAAAATTACACTCTTAAGCCACATTAACTAGATTTGATTTTTTAACATAGTATATGTAAAGTAGAAACATAAAAGTACAAAGAGCCAAATAAAAGTGCCTTTGATTGAACTACTAAATGAGACACAGAAGTGCATGGTGCACATATGACACAAAGTGCATGGTGCATATGTGTCAGCTTACCTCTGAACTCCTTCAAATGAGCTGCTAGCAAAGTCAATGACACCACTAGTTGGTCTGGTCACAACACCAACAAGACCTTTGCCAAGGCCTGGACACAACAAAAAACAACACGTGAAAGCCCAAATAAACAGTTATGAGAAGATTTTCTTTCATGATCCATGAAAAAAGTATAACATCAAATTTATGTACATTTATAGATATCATGCAGTGGGAACAAGGATAAATGCACTTCTCATTCATCTCAAAATCTTTCTAAAAGTGTAAAATTTTGGATATTTAATCTAACGATCTTTTAATTCCTTCAGCTAATTGTATAATTAGAACAAAAATGACAACTCTGATAAAGCTTAAGCCACGGTACCTTTAAAAAAGCCCTCTACTCCTTCCTGTTTTGCCCCTTCCACTGGTTTCCTCACTATGCCAGTTACACCATCAAAAACACCCTGGAACAGAGAACTTCATGTACTAACCATACAACAACAGCAAAAATGCTTGTTCTAGCTGCATCATGTAAACTTATTGTTTCTTAAATAACCTAAATAAAATTGCTCTAGAAAACAAACACTTCCACTTGATTATTCTGAACTAAAACCAGAAATTTCAACAATTGCAAACCAATAGCAGACCAAAGAGCATACCATGACAAGGCCCTTCCCTCCCCTGGCTAGTCCTTCCTTGAAATCTGCAGGCCTTTGGTTCATGGCTTCTCTGCGTTTCTTCTGATAGTCATCGTCAAACGTCAGGGCAGCAAGCCCTTTACCTAGAGTGCCTGTGATTTTGGAAACTGCTCCTGCAGCGCCACCTGGAATTTGAGATCTTGGTTTTAAAAATTTTGTTAAAATAAACTGTCCTGACATAAGTCAACTATGTTCCAATTTATAGTGTTTCTATCTGTTTTGTTTGTCTAAATTTTAGTTTGTGGGTGCGCATGGGTATTCATGAATAAGAGATTGTTTATCATGCTTGTTTAATTCAACAGACAACACAAATAAAGAGACAACCAAAAATATGTTGTTTCTGAAAAGTATGCCGTTTGACATAAATAACCCTGTGGAATCATTAAAAGGGACACAAATTCCTAATATGTACATACCTACTGCATGTCCAAACAAACTTCTGACTCCCAGGGCTAGACCTTCAGCAAACTCCTCAGGACCCTGGATGGCACCCTGTAAAATGGATATATGTTTTAACTTAAAAGTTACTTCATCACTTGTTCGTTAAATTCAATAAAGAAAACAAGCTACTTTGATATACTGGTATATGGTTCTTTATAACTGAGCCCTTTTCCTAAATGATGCACTGATACAAAAAAAGTGTCTCACCTGATATGGTTCATAGAAAAGATCCTCAATTCCAGTGGCAAGCCCTCGAATCACACCAAATGGATTTCCAAGAACATCAAGACCCAACACCAAGACATACATTTGCTTGATTGCCTGCAATATTCATATCAGAATTACTCTTGCATGGATGCAGTTTTGATTAAATGATTCAAATAAGACAATGTCACTGATGCATATGTATCACATATATCATCTTATTTTCATCATTAAAGAAAAATATAAACTCCCCAGTTTGCATCATAAATAAATCCCCCCCCCCAAAAAAGGGTTAAAGGGTAATGAAAATGTCATACACTAACAAAAAAAAAAGAAAGAAAGCGCAAGAAACATCTGTGATGTACAATTTAAAAACGGCACGAAGTAAATAACTCAATTTAATACTGTTTTGTGTGTACCGACCCAACCATCCATCTAAACACACACACAAATAAAAATGTCATGAAAACTGTAACTTCTTGTATGCTGCAGACTACTCACCTGTTGTGTGTAATGGCGAGCAAACTCATTGTTCAGCTGGGCCTGGCTGTAAAGTTTGTAGTTCCTCTCGAAATAAGCTAACCTGAGGAATAAGAAGGGATGGCACTGTTTTTTTTTTTCAACTGAAACATTTAACAAAATACTCACTTTTATATGTCAAAGTATATTTCATTTGTTGCCATATATGAAAGTCAAATAAATAACTCCCCATGTTTCAATTTAAAGTTACAGAAATTATTAACAGAATATTCTTTGTCAATTTTAAGAAGTGATAGAATTTGAATATTGCATTTTGCATACATGAAGCACCCCCCCCCCACAAAAAAAATAAATAAAATACAAAATAAATAAATAAATAAATAAATAAATAATAAAATACTCAAAAAATGATTTTCATATCAGTCACATTTCTCCTAAATCTCTTGCAAAAATCAGTATCTTTTCAACTCACTTGAAGACAACATCTTGGACATCTGTCAACACAATGCCAACACTCTGCAGGAAGAGGTTAACAACATTAGATTTGAGACCAGTGGGTTTGTCTCCACTGGCTTGAAGGCTAAAGCTGATTTGGATCTGTGAAAAAAAGAATTCTTTAATTTGACAATATGACCTCATGAAACACAGTAAATATGGCAAACAAACATGCTAAAATAAACATATAGTTTTCCAAAGCCTTTGAAACCACAAAAGATTATCTCATCATTAAACATAAGCATCATAACACTAACAATATTAAACTTAGGGCACACTCACAACCAAAATTGAATCACAGACTAACAGATCTATGGATCAAATATGGCCAACCCACCTGAAAGCATACCAAATAATCCTCACAGGGAATTATTCAGTGTTTCTTAGTGATTATGACGAAAGCTTTCAAGCGGGTTGGCCATATTTGATCCATGGGTCTGTTAATTTGCAGATCCCAACGTGTTCTGAATGCCCCCTTATTTAATACAAGCATGTTAGTGTGTATGGGTGTGTGTTAACATGACTGTGGTGTTTGTATGCATGCAGATACAAGCTACCATACCTTAATGGGAGAGAAGTGCAGTATGTCATAGTAGTTCTTGCTGCCCCCTCCTGCACTGGCCTGGCAGATGTCCATGTCCAGCAACTTCTGGTCTATAGGCTTCAGGTCCAGCAGAAATTGTTCAAGCTGGGACAAGACCACAATATATGCATAAAATGTCTTGTACTAGTTACAAACATCATAAATTTAGCAAGATACATACTCAACATTAAATGTTGAATGCTGGCAATCCAATTAAATATTTGAACCATGGAGACCTACTTTGAAAAAAAAATGATCAATGATATTTCAAGCTTTTGTAATGTTGATTGTCTTGAGAAAACAATGAATACAGTTATCATTATAATACCTAAGCAGCATTTTAAATTCAAACACATATTGCAATATCAATCTTCTAAATTTTTGTCAAATGAGAATTAAGTTCAATAAAACCAGTTAAATAAAAGCCAGGAAATTATTTCAATTCCTCCCTACCTCTTGTTCCTTCCACTTCTCTGTCTCTGGGGAAAACAACTCTATCATGGCATTCAAGAAGCTCTGGTCCACTTTTAATGACATTGCCTGGATCAATACTTTGAAGTACCTGTAAGGATGAGCCAGTGTTGTCATTACACAAAGGCTGTTTTTATTGCCTGAACTCTCAGGAAAGTTACCATAGGGTGTTTATATCAACCAAAATAGAGCTATTTAACTAAAATGTGCAATTTGTTTTTAATCATTGAAAAAGAGACAGCCAATTACAATAAATGGACAGAATTGAACAAAAATGACCTCATCAAATAAACAAAAATCTTTAAGGCGTGGTCAAACCTTTGAACACTTAAATACAATACTCTAATCAACAAAAAGTAATTAAAAGTGGGTAAAGACATCCATACTTGATCTGTTGTACTGTGGTGTTCTCATGTTTCCTAACCATCATACTGACTTCAGTGAAAGGTTTGGGTACTGAAAGTCATAAAACAAAGATATGTTGCAAATGTGCAATATATAATTTGCCAACAATAAAATTTCTTTAAGACACAACATTTCCTGAAATAACTTTCCACAAATCACATCAAAACCAAATTAGAAGCAAAACCTTGTGCAAAATTCATTAATAATATGATCTTATGCCTTTCACTTCTCATACGTGAGTCCAGGGATGAGAGTGCCATTTAGTCAATAAGTTAGAAAATATGGCATGGGTCCGGGGTCTTCCTATACCAATGTTATTTTTGGCTCCTGAAAAGTCTGAAATATACCAATAGTCGGAAAAATCTCATCTGTGAATAGTACTCAAAACTTACCACTATCTGCAGCCACTGATTTGGGTGGTGGAATTGGAGCCAACACAGTGGGGAATACACAGGCAGGCACCTGGTTGTCTAGCTGGAATATCACAATTAAATAAATAATAACAAAAGTGTCATTTTTAATGGGGAGGGTACTCCCACTATTAATTATAATAAATACTCTATTTGGTGATCAGGGATGAGGCTGTCATTCAGTGACAAAGTCTGAAAATATGGCCTGGGGTCCAGACGGGCAGCTAGGCCAATGTTATTTTTGGCTCAAAAAAGTCTGATATCCACCAATACTCAAAAAAATCTCATTCCTGTCTGATATACTGACAGCACACAAACCCCAACTATAGGATCTTTAACTGTGGAGGATGGGAGGAAGATTAATTGACTACCACTTTCTTGGATAGTAGGGTCTACCAAGGTGGGGTGGATGTGCATGTGAGAGCTTACCTGGACTCTGTTGATCTTAGCATGGAGCTGCAGCTGGTGTGGGGAAGTTTTGTACTGTAGCCAGATGCCCTCCTGGTAACTGCGTCTGATGGGACGTTTATTGGGCTTCAGCATCTGCATGGTCCCATCCACCTCATTCACTGTGAAATCAACCTGGGAAAATGACAGGGATATGTTCTGTATAACAATAAAATCACTTAGAATATCTTTTTCAGCTTGGATATATGGGGTAAAATATATAGAAAATTATTTTATGATGGTATACTTTGTGTTAAATATATATAAGAACTATTTGTCAGTTTGGTAAAATACTTTGATCATAACATAATGATTTAATTCAGGTTTCTTTATCATTATCCAAAACACTGCCATGTTCACACTATTTATTTAAGTGACATATAATGAATTATTTATTTATTTATACACAATTTAATTTCTAATCATTCATGTGTCCTCACCTCCATTTTGTCCAGGGACTGCAGTGGGTGTGCTTTCTTCCCCACCACCAGGTCGTTCTGGTATTTCTGGAACGCTGTCTCCAGTGCCGCACACTGCTTGCCTGTCAATGCCTTGTACCGCCTCCTCTTCTTCTCCTCCCAGATGATTCCAGAGCTAAAAAAAATAACAGTGTATATTGCATGGGCACTAATAATTTATTATTTGCAACTTCTTGGAATGTATTGAACAGTCATAATTTATCCTAGTTTTGTATGGGGAAATAACTTTTCCATTCTTAGATTGTCGATCCACATGTACATTGTCTGAATAAAAACTGGTTTTCATATTTCATTCTTCATTCCATCATGCACCAAGACCATCATTTTAATATCAAATTTGTAAAAAAAAAAAAAAAAAAAAAAAAAATATTCCTGTCCACTATTTGCTGTCCTCTATTTACTTGGTTACTCCACTGTTAGGCACAAGTTTAACTCCTTTTCAATAATGCATAATAATTTATTTAGTCATACACTCCATTTTTTTTCTCTTAAGCCTATAATTCAATTACTTTGTATGAAACATTGAGTTAGACAAACTGTGTAATCCTGTCACCATACCTAGTAACTCCCAGGTATGCCACCTCTTGTCTCTTATAATTATTCACCAGTGACAAACCAACACCTTGGATAGACAGAGTGATCTCCTGCTCTATTCTCTCCAGTTCCCCTGCCTGGTAAATAATAATTGAAAAGAAAAATAGATAAATAAATTAAAACCTTTAAGATGATTTATATCCTGAAAGAGTGCAATGAAATCATTTCAACCTTTCAGTTAGATTTTTAAAAATTCCCCTTCTTTGGACAGACACTCATAGTATCAGTTAATGTCAAGATTAAATATTGTCGAAAAAAATATACTATAACAATAAATATAATCTTAAGTATCAGGACTAAAATATTCTCAGAAAAAATTTATTTAAACAGTAAGTATTGTGTGAGTAATAAAACTGCTATACACCCACCTCTTGTGCAAAAGTAGCCAGCAACAGGTCTTGTGTGAATAATAAAACTCTCTGTTCACCACTTAGGAAGGAGACCCAGTACATTTTGGTATCCGAGTTGGCAAAGAACTCCCCTATGCCATCCTAAATAAGAAATGAAAATGCTACTTTCAAAGTCAGGATCTCTGTCATTCAACTATACAATATCTTGAAAACCTTGCTCTTAAAGCAGCATCTTTTGTTGTAATATTAAAATCTTGCCGTGTCTAGAAAAATTCTCAAAATACAAAATAACTCTACCTTCATCAAATCATCTTTTTGGTTTTTCTTTTCTCCACAAGTCCACAGAATCTCCCTCTTCCCTGCTGGGTCCTGCCACGTGTAGAGTACAACCTTGTGTGGAGGCAGGGTCAGGCTGTCCTTGAGATCCCTGGGGAAGGGAAAATTGGACAGAAAATAAGTCAATCCTAAACTAATTTAGATAAAACCAAGACTGATGAATTTTGAAGTGACAATATTTGATTATGTGTATGTGGTAATTACTAATCTTTTCAATGAGGAAAATTGTGAATTTTACTGATACTGTATTTTTAAGTCATACTTTCTTAAAATTAGAATGTTTCTATTGAGTGGTAGCAACAAAGTTAAAAAACAGGTTACTCTCTAGTTCTATTCTATGCATTAAAAGCACCTCAAATGCTATAAAGAAATATAATTTTTGTGATTATAAAATCATGTATCTGATAGTTTGATAACTTTTGTCCATTGAAAAGATCGAGTCATTACCGTATATTGTTTTCACTTAAAATTTAGTATTTCTATTGAAATAAATATGGCTAATTTTTCCTATTCTAGCTTAGACTACAGTGTCTTAAAATTTTGAAAAAAATATTATGGCTAGACTAGTAAACTGCGAAACTCTTGAATGAAATTTAACATCTGTTTACTTTTTCCAGATTTAAGTGAATAATGAAAGAGCAGTCTGCCCTTTGGTTTGTTCCTCATAAAAGCACTTTTATAAGCTATTAGTAAGCTGTGAATCAACTTAAGAACAATGTCCAAATTTGACCAGTTTCAAAATAATACAAAGGAACATAAAACAACAGTGCATTGCCACATCTGATGATGTTACAAATGGATAAAATGAATAAATAAAAAAATCAAAAATTGCCCAATATCATATGTACATTGTCTTGAAACTCTCATCTCCAGGATGACTGCCTGGGTAATTGTAATAACTGACAGTTAAAAAATAGAAATATAATGCTACGTGAAATAAAAATGCCTTTCCCCCTCCCACAAAAAAAAAAAAAAAAACATTCAAAAAAGTAAAAGATAATACAGTCAAGGCTAGGATTCTGAATAACTGAGAAAACAAAAAATCCTCTAAAAATTGGATGCATTTATCTCTTTCACTTTGTTATAAATAAGTTGTCTCTCATTAATCACACAAGACAAATCACAAAGCTTAAACAAAATTATGTCAGTGCTTTTTCTTTTTCTTTCTTTTTTTTTTTTTGGTTAAAATAGCAGAGCTTCCGTGTGACAGCTAAAATCCAAGAAATGATAACAATTTATCATGTAAATGCCAACCTGCAGGTAAAAAATGTGATAAGTAGGTGACAAGCAAGTAAAAAAAGGCTGATATTGATAAGACACTTCAAAATTAGGTGGAATTATGTGAAAAATCTGTGACCCACTAACCCTGATTTCTTGGACCTACAAGACAAAGATTAAAATAGTGAATGTGGTTCATTTTCCACAGAATTTCAATAGCACATATTTGTAGGTGTACATTCAACTGTATTATATCTTTTGAATCTATCAGAGGCAAATCACTACAAAAACACATTTATGAAATGCCAAGCAGATTTCTTTAATATACTTCATCTTAAATTTGGTAAATACACAACCAATTCTACAAAAACCCTGACCTTTGAACAATGTCAATGTTCATTTCACAATGGTTGACAATCAGAGCAGACGCCATTCCTGGCTTGTAGCTTTCAAAAGTCACCACCACTGCTGACTCTGTCACTTGACAGCCAACATTAATTCCACCCACCTGGAATGAGGAAAAAATCTGTGAAAAAAAATATTCTATGGCAAAGCTGACCAATATAAAATACCAAATTTACAAACTAAAACATATTCCTCTATCGAGTTAAAAATATCTTTAAAAGAATTTTAAATTATAAAGTTTCAATGGGTAGATAATATCTACGGACATGTAGATTCACAGCTAATTTTTGTAACATTAACAAAAAAGGGAATTGAAAACCTGCTGAATAGTGGCAAATAAGCAGACCATAACTATAATCAAGCAAAAATTGAACAGAATTTACAAATCTGTACTTTCTGTGCTATTAAAAGGATATGATGATGTCATGATATAAATTTATCTGTGCAATTTTTTTTTGGACTCACAGGGTAATCCATCTTTAATAGAGTTGTATGCTCTTCACTGAACAGGAAGTTGGCAGTCTCCTGTTCACCGTTGGCCATCTTAGCTTTCATCATGAACTTCTTCCCTCCCTGCTTTGGCCAGAATGGCTTGCACTGAAAGAGAGGAAATAAAACCACTCGGAATGTGTTGAAGTTTACATTGTCCTATCTATATGTTAAAAAACTATATAAAGACATATTAACCAGGTTGTTTTAATCATGTAACTTGCATCAGGTTTAAATAAACATAAAATGATACGTTAGACAGGAAATATAACCCATCCATCCAATACAGTGTACTTGTCTCTCCCCACTGAGCTCCTTCTGTATCCCCCCCACCCCCACCCCCCCAATACATAACACTGGCATCACCTGTCCAGCTGGGACATCTACCCACTGAGCCCCCTCCACGGCCTCAGAGACTTGGATATTGTCCCGTGATCTGTTGACCAGCATGTAGAATGGTGTGAAGACCACTATCTTGGTCAGCCCAGAGGAAGCCAGGCTAATGCCCACACCAACCTGAGAATAATATTAATCAATAATAGAAGAATTCAATTTCAAAAATGCATACTGAAAATGATGAAAGGTGTCAAATTTGGTGTGTTTACCTTTCACTAAAGCATGCAAAACTTTTTGTTAAAGTGCCATCCTACCATTCAACAATTACATCAAAATCAATATAATGAAACCTTGGGTAATTTATCCACCTAGCTTTATCTGGGATCTACAAATTTTAGTGACAAGAAGTCAAATGAATTCACCTACCAGTTCCAAGACAGGTAAAATATGTCCTTAAAGCCAACCTGTTCAATTACACACAGGAAAAATGACAGTTCCTGAATTAACTTCAACAACACTGAGCCTCTCAGGGAAAAAAAGCTATACTGTTATATCAGTATATAATTAAAATCAAATTATGGATAGTAAGTCTCCACCACTTACCTCATATGTCTGTGTTTTGGCTTTGCAGGTTACTGTTCCACTGCTTCCTACTGTGTCCAGCGAGAACTTATCTGAGAAGTCAGAGTCACACACCTTAAGAGAAGCCTACAAAATACATTAGAATAGAAATAAATCAGTTTTAACTATTTTTAGCAAAAGAGCAGAGACATACCCTAGAAAGTTACTCAAGGTTGGAGTGAAAAAAGAAACATCTTATGAACATCAAACATGGGAATATTTGTGGAGAAAATAAAATAATTTATCATATCATGGCCAACCATATATTAATGTTATACTTGTAAAAAAAACTTTGAGGTTAAGTACTGATAGCTGCTGCAAATAGCAGGATAATTTATAAGTCTTCTTGAAAAACCAAGTAATCTCCATATGAAAATTTGCCAAATGTCATTAAAAATAAAACCAGCCATTTCATATTTAAAAAGTATCTTAAAAAAAGTGACACACTTTGAAAAAGAGAAAAACTTCCAAAACCCATCCTAACTGGTACAGTGATATTGGATTTTAACACAACCCAATATTAATACAATAAATAAATAAAACACACTGAGAATAAGAGCAATAATTCATTTAATGCAAAATTGTCAAATAATATGGTTTCTTCGGGTAAAAAAATTAATCAAAAATAATACCAAATGTTAATTTAAAAGAGGGGGAGCCGTGAAACTTTCTGGCACATTTATCTTAGAATGAAACCTTGAAGTCATGAAGAGGCTCTGGTTGTACACTAAATGTTCAAATGCCAATCGTATTTAGTTCTGAACAACCTTAATCTCCTCATGTATTTTTACGAAGTATCAATTTTAAGAAGTATCAAATGGCATGTATGCTTATAAAATGGTACGTGTCCTGTACTGTGTTTATATTTATTAGTGGCAGTCAGTGCAGACAATTATAGACTCTACTACAGTAACTGCCATAACTGAAGCATTCCCTTCTGGACAACGTTAAGCATATTTTTTTTATCTGTGGTAAGACAGACTTCTTGTCAGTCAAATCAATGTTGAACTTTGTAAAAAATAATGAAAAAAAAAAAAAAAAAAACCCTTCACTTAATTAAATGATTGTGATGTTATACACTGGAAAAAAGTATATGCTAGCATGGGTCTTGAAAAACTAAATAAATGCATTAAACGTATCCACAAATGTGCAACATATACATATCTACATGCAACAAATGTTAATTTTTTGCATAACAGCACACACAGAAAACAAAACCTTAAGTTATTCAAATTCTTGAAACAAAAACATCTACGAAACTAACAAAAATGAAACACTGTTACACAATACCATACCGTACCCTATTCTACTGGCAATGCAACATTATGTTTGTAATAACAAATAAAAAAAACTATCTACATTAACAAGAGTACTACAAATATATATCTTAAAAAGTATAAGAGCAAGTACAGCGTAAATATCATTTGTGGTCAGTGTTTCTGTCCCTTTGCCTCTGAAGACAATTTGCTTCATCACCATAACACTTTACTATGGCTTGTTAATGATAAATAAATGGGGTTTCCAAAGGAAAGGACTGCACTGCCCAGCACATCTATGTACCATATTCATAGCAATATTTATTTCTGCAATCTAATAAAAAAAATATCTGCAGCAACTGAAACTACGTATTAATCAAAAATCCATAAGTATAATTAAAATTGGTCCAAAATTAATCCAACACCTCATGCATGCAACATATAGCCCCTTTCAACCCCGCATGCCCCAATTCTAAGCCATGGTATCTTGGTTACTGAAAAATTGAACTTAAACCTTTCCATGAGTTTACCTTTCCTCTCTTTTGGTTAGCAGGGTACGAACATCACACACAACTTAGAACAGCTGCATTTAACATATGGCATTATGGGTATCTTTTGGCCAAAAAGCCATCCAAAGCAACATTTTTGGGGACACACTTTTGGACTATAAACTCTCACATAAGGGTTGTAACTTGAAAGACAATTGGTGACAGATATTTGTGGTTATAGCAAGAAATTTCACAGTTTTCTACAGGTTAGATGTAAGATCAAGCCAAACTCCGAAGAATAAGTAAATGGAAGAAAGTTGTGCATTAACAATCAGTATAGCAATTCAAAAATCTTCAACAAAGATTATTTTGAGAAAGAAAGTGAAAGGACTTACTGGGGAAAGACACTCAAAGTGGCTCTAAGTTGTGTGTGGCAGGGGAGGCTACTTACTTTTCCATTTTTCTTCCAAGGTTGTTTTTGTGTGCCAGACTTCTCTTTAGAAGTGGCACTTTTATCTTTAGCGGGGGAATCCTTTTCCTTCTTTGACTGATACATTGTAGGTGAGAGCAAAATAAAATAACTTTAAACACAAAATCTTATGTAGTATAAACAAGGGAAAAATGAAGAGGTAACTTATTTTGTCTCTGGAGTATTTGTAGCTATACTTTACTTGCAGTCACAAAGTGTTTCAATTATTTAACAATTAATTGTTTGTAGAAAAAATGACCAACAAATCAAAAGGATCATATCACATTATAGTAATATTTCAAAAGATGTGAATCAGATTTACTAATCATAATTTTAAAAATTTAAAGTAGAGTACAGCTACTAAATACTTAAGTTGGCTTGCATTGAGTCTACTGGGATAAAATCAATTGAGTATTTCCCTTTTAATACAACATAATATGCTAAAAATACTAAGGAAGCAGCTCTATGCCTTACTGTTCATTTTACAAACAACGTAATATGCTATAATCCGACTGATAACAACGTACAGTATATGCTATAATCTGACTCTATTCAAAATATCACTGAAAAATACACTACACAATAATTTTGATTATTGGAAGAGGAGATACTTAAATGTAATGAGCTTTCAACAGAGGATCATGCATGAAACATTCCAACATTACACTGGATGGAAGGCAAAAGAGGAAAGATAATAGCAAAACACTTCTCGGCAATTATACAAATGTTCTTTAAAAACAATGAACATCTTTCTACATGATACTGTGAAACTACACTGCTGAGGTCCTTGAAGTATTTATTAGAGAAACGTGTAAACTGATGCCATCTCGCCGTAAATAGATTTTTCTGTAACAAGATAATCCTTAACTCTTTCAAAACACATTGTACGTTGTAAGTACATATAAACTTAACACTGGCTCTGATGTCTCAAACTAAACAGACAAAAGAGAAATTTTTCAAAATAAGTTATAAGTATATAAACTATAAATTATGTTTAAAAAAGGATGCATGTAATGGTTTGGGAACTATCAATCATAAACCTTTTAATAAATGAAAAATGAAAAAATCCCAGAACATTTTGAAATGAAAAAAATGAACTGAAACAATTGTGGTATGAAAAGAAATTTGTAATTAATTTATTCTAAATACATGTCAAACTTGTTAATATATAACATGATATATGCAGGATAACCATGCATGGCTTATATGTCCTCTATGCTCACATTTAGCAAACATGCACCTAGGCCCCAGTTTCACACACACACACAAAAAAAAACTTTGGTCAGTTCCATGGCCTACTTGACTAGCATTTCCATGACAGTGCTGTTACACTGCTCCTGATAAGGTAAGATATGCCCATGTGACCATGTAACCTTGGTAATAAAGTTCTTAGTCAGGGAAGCTGACGTAAGTTTTTTTTGTGAAACCGGGGCCAGATTGGGCTAAAAATTGCAGCATGCAGAGAACTGTTCTCTTATAAATCTATAAATAAAATAATTATATCAACCTTTCATCTCCACATAGGTAATAAGACAGACAGCAAAATGTCTTATTGCTGGACTTTGTGAGAAAAGCTTCTGCACAGTTAGACTCCCCTCCACTTGAAGTATCAATTATTTAATCAATAATGTTTGATGCAACATTAAACCCCAAAAAGTTGTCTCCTGAACACTTGTTCCTTTTCACAAAACCATGTGACACAGAAGTTTACATAGCAAAATTCTTTGTTAAGATTAAAAATGTGATATGATATTATTTTTACAACAATTTTTTTTTCAGGTTTTTACCAGAACTGCATGTGGTGTTTATTTGATATGCAGATAAGATGTGCTAGTATTAAGTAAAAGATAGCAAAGTTACAGTTTATATATCGTTTTTATCTTAAGGATGCTTTTGCCATTTGTAAAGTTATTTTACAGAAAGATAGAGAAAAAAAAACAAAGATGAAGTCTTGAAAATGTCCAGTAAATATGGCAGGTAAACCACTTGCCATCACATCCTGTAGTTTTAAGCTCATGAATACTAAATCCATAATTGCACAAGGAAGACAATCATTGCTCTGCTTCGATTCCCACTTCCACACACAAATATTATTTCCAAATCACCTTCAAATTTCATTTTTCTTAAACCTGTTTTCTAATTTCCTATAACATGTTTCTAAACAAGTAAATAAGTTATTATACTGATGCATCTATGAAGATCTAGTATAAAGATGTAATATCTAATCCCACACAGAGGCCTGAAAGCTTGGATTATACATTGCATCTTTATAGTAGATCTTCTTCAGTATATTAACTTATTTACTTCTGAAAGATCTATACTATGATTTGATATGTTTCTAAACAGTTATGTATAATGCATCACAACATTTAAAAACTAAATTCAACAGAAACCATAGGATAAGCTTTTTTTTTCAAAGCAACAATGGAATGATACCCAAATATGTTATTATAATAATAATAAGTTAAATACAGCAAGGATTTGAAAAAGAACACTGTTATACAGTTGAATGCGAAAATATAGGAATTTGAAAATGTGCAAATCAGTGGGGAAAAGTAAAACATTAAAATTGAAAACATTTCAGAAGAAATATACAAATAAAATGGGATATGTAAGTTGTAGCTGGGTTTACCATATCCAGTTTCAAGTCAAAGCAGTTGAAAATCAACATACTTAATATGAATAAAAACAACAGCATGACTATTAAGAAAGCAAGAGCTAACATATCATAAGAAATTCTGAGGGGGAAAAAACATGAACTTTTCACTGGGACAAGGAAACATTGATCTTACATGTGAACATCTTTTGAAAAACTTACCTTCTTTTTCTGCAGAAGGGACCTAGGTTTGAAAGAGAAGAGCACTGCATCCTGGAGATCTGCTGGATGCTCAATGGTGACATCTCCATCAGACCCCTAAAATATGCAGGATATGAAGTGTCATTTTTCTTACTCAATATTACAATTAACCACAGCAATTCTTGTCAAAATGGGTGTTTTTGTAATACATTGGTTGCTGGCATCCCTTTTTTCTCCCTGGAACTTGATGTGGGTTTATTGTTCCAGTTTCCATTCTAGCCTGCAATCAATAGGTCTTATGCAGCAAAATGACTAGATGTTGACTTCTTTTGTTTACTGATATATGAAGAGCGCTCTCCAGCATTATTTTGTTTATTGGAGAGCAAGCTCTTTAGTAAACAAAAGTCAGCATCCAGCCTTCTAGCTGCAAAAGGCCTATTTACCTTAAATATTGAGCTAGTAACTTTTTTGTTTTAACAATTCACTCCGAATACTAACAAACTAGACAAAAGGAAACATTTAAAAAATAACAGATCCACCATGAAGTTAATAATATTTGTGTTACATAGCTAAACAATGTGATACTAAGTTAACATAGTTATGCAGAGATGGTTTATAAATTACAAATTATTAAATAATAATAAATTTCTTGATAATAAATGCTACAACACTAAATTCAATATCTAACGGCTTAAGAGTAAACTGAGTCATTAAAATACAAATAAAAAATTTACTAAAGGTTAAGTTTTGTAAGAGCAAGTAATTACCTCATCATTCATATCTTGTAACAAATACAAGAAAAAAATTAAAATAGGTGAAATATGTTGCGAGAGAAAAAAAAGCAAGTTTGCCAACTAAAAAACTTACAGGTAACTGTTAAAATAATAATAATAATAAAAATAAAAATAATAATAAAGAAAACTCAAATAATTGATGACAGCAAAAAAGTTTTTTTAAAATTTGAATCACCATATACAATATTGTAAATTTATATTCACCTCTATAATTTCACATCTAACAAAACTAACTGCTTGATAAAATAAAGATAAAATGTTCCAGATAAATGTAGAGCAAAAATATCTGTATTGACAAATGCAGTTGAGGCAGTGAACGCCTTCAGCTCACAAAACAAAATTCATAAAAGCACAGTAGATGATCTTGCACATTCTTGGCAGTAATACATGAAGAAGATGAAGAAGAAGATATCAATGGAAGAAATAGATAATAAAATGAACCCAGATAAAGAATGGATTCTTCTCCAATACCTCAGTATGGTCTGACTGCCCTGTTCCGTGTCCATGGTGTCCCTATGTAAGTCACAGTTTATTCACGTTTGTATTATCTACACAGAGATATATAAATACGCAGTACATCTTAATGAGATATACTTATGAAATGACTTGAAGAGAAAACAACTTTTATCTACGGGGGAGGTTTAATATGACCACTCTTGCTTAATTATTATATTTTTCATTAAACTAACAACGAAATTATCCTAGTATAGCCAGCACAACTTGAGTACTGCTATCCAAAATAATCATATTATGAAAAAAAAAAATTAGAAAAAATGCAAACATTTTTATATGCATTATATCATACTCAAATTATTGTACATTATGGCTATATAAATGATCAATATTAATTTTTCTCTTTTTGGCAAACCAGAGTCAAACTGGTAAAATATATGTTATTTTTCTCTCCTTGTGTATAAATATAGGCCAAAAAAGAACACCACATTTATCCAGCAACAAAAGAACCCATTTAGCTGCAGTTTCCAGATTTTTTAAAATCTGCCAGGAAAAGCCCATTGACAAATTTCATTTTTGACCAAAGCAATGCTTATCAATGGAAAGCCCACATATTTACTTATAGACACTGAGAAAAACCTGACATTTTAGCTTTGTCTGGTGCCTCACCTTATATGAGAGGGGCAGACCAGTCTTGTTAATCAGCCAATATGGTGAGAACAGAGACAGACCCAGGTGACCATCAGTGAAAATTGTGTGAAGTCCAAGCTCCTGGAATTCCAAAAGATAGTTGCATAAATCAACACTTTCAATAATAATACATTCAGTGAAATGGTTACAAGAAATTGCTGGTGGAGATTTTAAATGTTCATTTTAATATTTTTACAAAAAAAATTTCATCTATGAAAGCTACCCCCAAAAACGACACTGAACCTATGGCATTCAGCTGTATTCCTTCGTGAAGTAAAAGTATAAATCACAGTTGGAGCCAAGGCTTTCCCAGCAAACTGTTTAGCTGTAATTTGGACAGCTGCCGTCATCACCTGATGGCAAATATTTTCAAAAATGGCTGGACAGCTTATGAATTTTTTTAAAAAATGATGATTTGGACTCCCTGAAATTACAGGTGATAATTTTGGACTGCCTGCACCCCAATCCTGGGAAATGCCCTGGTGGGAGCACAAGAGGAAGTAGGAATATCCATACCAGTGTGTGTTTGTTGGCTCCTTCGTATCCTTCAAAAGTCCAGCTGTTGAGGCTGTCAGCATAGGAGTCCACACTTCTCCTGGCAAACCAGTCCTTGCCCAGGTAGGAAGGCAACTAGAATATTGAAATACTTTCTGATTTGACTTTATAATTTTGAAAAGTAGATTATCATTGCTAGCCAGTTACACCTTCACAAAAATGTTTAAATGTTAACAAAAATTAGTTTAATACAATTATACACAACTTTACATTTTATTCAATAAATAATATTTTCACAATTAACTCTATTATTTTTTTATTAATTAATTAATTAATTATTTTTTATAATTTCCACTAACCTTGACCTCAATAACAGTTTGTCCCACCAGGGCATTGAGAAGAGCAGCATGGTCACCCTTTGGTATCTTGATGCTGCTGTCTGTACCCTGAAATATTCACAATCCCTTAATAATAAATTTACTCATTTTATATCAGGTAAGGTAATGGTTATATTGACCCAAAACAATTAAAAAGGAAAAAATGAGCCATGCAGCCATTAAAAAAAAAATAAAATAAATAAATAAATTTTTCAAGAAAAATATTTAGATCTAATTTACAAAACTCACATCTAGTGTTTTCTTTGACAGATGTCTGATTTATCATATGAAAACGAATTGCATGCTGTAATTGATGTATAAAAAAGAACATTAAAGCATTCATTTACAATGAAAATGTGAAAAATCAGATCAGAATATTAATTGAAACACAATTGAACAAAACTATCTGTTCATGTCGTAAAATATAATAGTTAGTACAGAGGGTAATCTAAACCTCATTCATATAAAATAGGGTGACAAACAAATTTTATCAAAAGACACACAGTGCATTTTACCTTGAACATGTCATCAACCTGGTAAAGGTCAAGATGTCAAAGGTCAAAAGAGGTCAAAATTCAAGTTTGAAGATAAAGAAAAAATGAAAAAATTGTAAAAAAAATTTGCATTCTCACATAACCTTCAAATGAATAGCAGGGAATTTGTATTAATGATATTTCAGCAGAGGAACATCATTGAATGAAAAAGGAAGGAAAAGGTTAATGCATTTCCACAAGCAAAAAAAAAAGTCCTGAAAGACAGATCTGTGTTCACTGGATTAAGCCATATGCTTTTTATATATTTATATTTCAAAGAATATAAGAGTGATAAAAGAGACTGTACAGGGCAAAAAATCAGGGGGTATGGACTCAATTTACATGGTTCAGAAAAAATGTAATGACACTGCAAAAACTCCAATGAAAAACTAATCTTAGATATAAACATGGCATAGCATAAATCCTTTACCTCGAGAGTGACCTCCACATCATGCGGCAGCAGATTATGTAACACCACAGTGGGATAAAGATGGAAGGTGTATGACTTGGGACTGGTGTCTGTGGTGTCCTCATAGAAGACTTTCTCAATCTCCGGAACAACCTAAAAAGCAGGAATGTCTTTTTAGAATGTCTTTGCCATTTAAAAATGCTAAAAAATGTTAATATGAAAGAAGGTTAACATTTCATTAGTATGTAATATAAACTGATATTTTCTAATCAATATTTACACCCCATTTCCATAGATTAGATCGACCTACTTTAGATCGACCTAACTCCCTAGGGGTTCACGCTAAATAGCTGTCAGCTGGGCGGACACGAAAGTTAATTACCCCCTTCCAGCTTGTAGTAGGCGGGACGGACATTTAAGTCGGATTATCTGAAAGTAATCTAGTGAGACTCCCCGCGGGGATAGATCGATCTAAAATCTATGGGAATAGAGCCTTAGTGATAAGACTGCCATTTAGTGAAAAAAGCCAGAAAATGTGGGGTCTAGGGGGGCCCGAGACCAATGATAATTTTTGTCTACAATAAAGTAGGAAATCCACGATAGTTGAAAAAAATCTCATTCTTGTATATTGTAGTGCAAAAATTGAGACNGAGCCTTAGTGATAAGACTGCCATTTAGTGAAAAAAGCCAGAAAATGTGGGGTCTAGGGGGGCCCGAGACCAATGATAATTTTTGTCTACAATAAAGTAGGAAATCCACGATAGTTGAAAAAAATCTCATTCTTGTATATTGTAGTGCAAAAATTGAGACAAAGGTCTTCAGTGATTTTAACTAGATGTTATTCATAAACCACTTACATTCATGCAGAAGTCTTGGTGCCCAGCCTCAGCAGCCTCACAGGTGATGATATTCAGCTTCTGGTGCTGAGCAGTTTTCCAGGAAAGAGAACCCCTGGAGGTCTTGTAGCTGACAAACATAACAACAATGATGGAAATATTATAGGATGTCACTATTCTCATGCTGTTCACTTCCATCCAATTATTACTTAAACTGCTTTTTTTTTTTCTTGCTTAATCCTAGGTCCCAACTACGTTTTGGACACATGGTTTTTAGGTTCCTTGCATCTGGCTAGGATGTAGCTAGATCACAGGGAAGGAATCAAGCCATTGGTGAAAAGTTTCTATGTGCTGTTTGTGTCCTCCAAAAGTCGCATGATGGACGTGCTCCTCATGCACTAACTCCCAGGTTTTCCCCATTTTTTGGGCCCTAGACGTAGCAGCCCATATGCTCGGTTGGGACCTAGGCTGTACTTATGCTGAGGCTCTAAGTAAGTTAGTTTTATCATCTTTAATATCACGAATATATCTGAATAATAATAATAATAATATTAATAATTATAATAACAATTTTAAAAACTCAAATGACTTTACTGAACAATGACAAAAGTAATAGGGTCGGTTGGGTTTTAAAGGAAAAATAAAAGAACGAGAACAACAAAACCTACCTCTCTCCAGCAGGTTTAAAGAACAAGCCGTTTGGTTCCCCGTACACATAGTCTAGTGGGACACAGAAGGTGGCGTGAGGTGCCAGGTCGCCAATCTTCTCCATGTGGTCCTGGCTCTCTGGGTCGGAGTCGATCTCCTGGCACCATACCTGTATGTTCTGGTCAAAGTGGTTGGTCACCTATGTGGAATGGCACATTTAGGAAGACAGTAGATGTCAAATCCCTCATGTACTGTATTTATTTATTTATTTATTTATTTAATTATTTATTTATTTATTTTATAAACGCTCTGGTATGGAGTTGCAGCCCCTACTAGACTTTTGGAATAAAGATTCTCACACAAAATGTACATTTGTGAAATATGAAAAGTCAAACATATGCGTTTAGTGAGTAGTCATCATTTGGGACTTAAATGACTGTATGCACTGCAGTACCATATAAAGTAATAGCTTAGATGTAGTCTAGTAATTATTAGTGAACTCAGAAGGTTATGAATAAATAGGCCTTTACAACATCAGTTTTTAAAATACATGTATGTTATTGTAGCCAATACATCAAATCACTTTTTCCTCTTACTAATCTAAAAAAGATTGTACATCACACTAAAAAAAACAGATAATCATAATGACATATGTCCAAATATTTAATTCTTGACTACAATTACAGCCTTGTCTTACCTTGATCATGGACCTGAATAAAATGGTCTTGCAGCCAATGTCTGCTTGTGTCTCTGCCACCAGTGCCCAGATGTCACCAGGGTAGCTCACCTGGTTGATGTCAAATGATCTCTTCTCAGCCTTGGTGACAGTCAACTGTCTGGTGGCATTGAATTCCTCTACCTGAAAATTGATGTAAGGACACAATATAGAGCTACACAGGGGAGGGTCAAGAGATATTTTCTGACAGTCTCCCAAATTATCTTTGTTGATCCATCCTCCATTTTGACCATCTTCCAACAGAAAACATTAGACACTCGTCAATGTATACGTGAAAATCCGACTGTCTTCCGGTAGACCCAGAAGGCCTAAATCAACCCCTGCTATAAAATGTGGCAAATGCAGTTATCAGAATGTGGAAAGTGAAAAGGCATCAGGGTGATAATCACAGAGAGCAATTTAAAGTCATATACTCTTTCCAAATGACTTGAAAATGTGTAATTTTTCACAAATTTTTTTTTTTTTTTGTAAACCACTTTCCGATCTTTGGTAAATGTGAGGACCTTTACTTAAAATGAGATGTGACTTGTCATAAATCTGCTACAAAAACTATTGGTTCAAGCCCTTTGATGGATTAACATCTATATACATACTGAAAATATCATTCAGGCATTTAGGCCAAAAAGAATATGTGAAACAAACTAGGCACAGCTACTCACAGTGAATACAAAGTTCTTCTCATCAGTGAGCTGTGTCTTACTAATCACAGATGTTTTCTTATTCAGCTTTTTCTGCTTGGCCACCGTGAGCTGTACAACTTCTCCAGATGGCATCTTCACCATGCCATTCTCAGCATTGGGTGGAACCTGTAGGTAGAATATTAAGATACATTGTGATAGAAATATTGGTATGAGAGAGAGAGAGAGAGAGAGAGAGAGAGAGAGAGAGAGAGAGAGAATTGTACAAATCGGCATAATACTTATAGCAAACTTCATACCGATGTTTATGGTGTAGGCAAATTATGATTTTTCCTCACTGTGACAGTAAGCATACCTCAATTGAAGGGTCCAGTTTCATAGAGATAGAAAGACCACTTTCATTCTTGAAGATAAATGGTGCAGCCATTTCATGTTTGTGAGACTGGTCTACCAGGTTGTAGGCATCACTGAAAGCCTATGTGAAGGAAATTCAGATTTAAGCATGCTTGCATGTGATCTTACAGATCTTAATAAATGCACTTAGTTTTTTTAAAAAACATTTCATAAAAAATATTTTTCAACAAAAAAAGGTTTGGTCCAATCTTTAAAACAATCGTATTTTTCTTACTTCATCCAAGAGCAACAACAAATTATAGCATTCAAGACATTTCCCCTGTTCTTCTTCGAGGCATGACGAACATGACTAAGGAACTGTAGAGCACTATGACAAAAAAATCCAATAAATAAAAGTAATAATCATAAATATGCATCAGCTGTACCTTGCCCAGGTTAGCCAGCACTTCCAGGCATGTCTTGGTGATGGTACACTGCAGTGCATCATTGGAGGCAATACCAATGGACATTTTAGGTGGAGGCAGCCTGACTGTCTCTTCCTCCTCCTCTGGGGTGGCAGCATCCAGCAGGATATCATCATTTTGATCCACCTTGAACAAAAACCAAGCAAGCAAGTATATATTTTGTTTAATAGGCCCAATACCTAATTGATGACAAAATCAGTGTGAAACTGCTGAAAAATTATATGTAACAGTCACAATAAGCAAGGGTGTAACAGTAATTCAAGTCCTCCAAAAACTGCGCTCCTACAGTTCCTAGTAATGGTTGTTCATAGGACTACCATTACTTGGGAATAGTAGTCCTACTGGGACTTTAAGTTCCTGGCTCATAATTATAGTAGGTAGAATTTGTATTACTAGCAAACTTTTATTCCTGTTACACTCATGACAGTAATATTATCTAAGTCTGTCCATTTGAAAGTCTTATCCTTATGCAATAATACCCTTAAATGTTACAAGTATAAATGTATAGGGAAATCATTCTGGTAAGATATATGTATGACAAATGATGGAGAGATCACGTGTCCAGCACATCTGTGTAGTGGTTTGCATGCATGCCCTAAGGTAAGTGTTTATGAATGTGACTATTACTTCCTTAGGTTTGAGTCCTACTGCTGACATAATATTGCCCCCTCCTTCACTGTACCACTCATTTTATTTATCTATTTATTTATTTTTGCTATGTATACCTATATATATAATGTTCAAGATAGACAACTCCTAAGAATCATTAAGGAAAGACAAATAAAGTTCACCAGTCATGTCATCAGAAAGGCCAACTTGAGGACCTCATCCTGGCTGGAAAGATTCCTGGGAAGAAAACTAGAGACAGACAAGGGTTTCCTGTTTCTAAACCAACTAAAGAAAAACACAGGAATGAACACACAAAGAAAAATATGGGGCACAGCAAGAAATCGGATGCTGAAACTGGCATCATAAGTTGCCGAGGGTCGAATCGACCACAGCACCAGACAGACAGACAGATGTATACCTCTAGTAAAGGTTAAGGTCATTTCTTTGATTTTTGACAAGTCAGTTTAGTGACATGTCAGTTTGTTCATGCACATCTTTTGGAGAGAATATAAAACAACATGGCATTCAACCACAGTCCCACCCATTGAAAACATAAAAGTAGCAGGAAAGAGACGTTCCAAGCCTGACATACAGAAAATTTTCACCTATCTCCCGAGAAAAAGTTTCCACCAGAAGCCACACTAAAAGAAAAATGGGTCATAAGAAGAGCAAGTAAGGACAACTACAAGATAAATCATTTTGTTAATTTTTTGTAAGCTTGAAAGTTTTATTACTGTAAAGTTGTATTCCTCAAAGAGACTTTTATTACTAGGACAGCATGTCCGTGGAGTTTTATTACTAGAACAACATGTCCAAGTGACTTTTATTACCAAGAAAGCATGTCTGAGGGACTTTTATCACTAGAAATTTTAGTACTAGAAAATACTAGGACCGTACATCCAGAAAACCATTTTTACTTCAAATCCACATCAGCTGCCAACAAATAGTAAGAAGCATGCCTTAGCAAATATTATCAATAGCAGATGTATACTTTCAGTACACATATTATTTGCTGCAGCAAAATGCGTATTGGTGTTTTTAATGCCTGATATGTATTTGAAATTCTGTGATCATTACACTTACAAATTACTTTGTATTTGTAAGCTTGAAAGAGGAGAATTGTATATAAAAGCAGAAAAAACTAAACAAAATGTTGACACCAATGAGGAATCTGGGGGGAGAAGGGACTTCTTCAATGACAAACAGAACATCATGGAGGACATTAATAAGCAACCAGGAACAGATACAGGAAATAATGACATGTTGTTCTCATGGCCTGTATGTACATATGTGTATTATAATTTTATGATGTTATCATGAATGTTATGGTCATATTTTGTTCTCATTACTAACTGCATGTTGGTTTACAGAGAGCCTAATCTTCCCACTGAAATAAACGAGGAAGATGATCAGAAACACCGTGATCCAACAGAAGAATATGAGGAGGGAATTACTAGGAGGGTAACCAGAATGAGAACATCTATTGATAATGAGGTTCTGAAAAACATCCAAAAGGCACAGGAGAGACAAAAAATGAATTACAACGCGTGTCATAAAACAGAAAAGGTATGCCCTCAGTAAGAAAGAACATTAAGCAATATGTAGTATACATTAATTATTCCTTAGTTTTTCACTATGGAAAATAATTTGTTTTTAAACCATGTTATAATTTTACAAATAACCATAGCAATTAATTTTTTAAGTGATCAACTTCCATTTTTTTAAAAATATTTCTTATTTATCATTAGGAAATACCTATAGGCACCAAAGTCCTTAAGAGAAATCTTAGACGACAAGATTGTAAAGGAGAAACAGAAGAGATGCCTTAGCTGGGACTTTATATTGTTAAAAAATATATCGCACAAAAAAGGCTCATCCATATTGTGCACTGAGGGGTGGGGGAAATACTCCCAAAGAGGGGGGGGGGAAATACTCCCAAAGAATGCGTTAACACACGTAACTTTAAAATTTACATTGAGTAGAAAAAACATACATAGTATATAAATCCCACCTCTTAAACTAGTAAATATCTATATATTCATATCATTTTCTGTGTGAACTATATAGGACATGCGTAACTAAAATTTAAGGAATGTTTGTCCCATTAGGATGTGCATTACTATACATACATGTAAGTCTTGCATTACTTGGGAGCCTTCGTCCTATGGACATTGAATCCTAGTAATGTATGCTCTTGGACTTCCATTCCTAGCAATGCATGCTTTAGGACTTGCATTCCCAGGACTTTAGAGTCCGGTTGGATTTGTGTTACTAGGACATGTGCCCTTGCCACAAGGGTAATAACTTTTTATCACCAGTATGTTATCAAATATAAATTATTGATATCATTCAGATAGTTGTTTAACATATCTTCAGCATAAAGTTAATGTGTTTCATTCTTTTATCATTATGTTGCTTACCGTCATGTTGATCTCCCATGGTCTATGTTTACCCTGAGACTCCACAGGTTCTATCAGAGGCTCCCACACAGCAAGTCTCTCATTGTAATAAGCCACCTCCAGACACAGGGTGCTCTCAACATGAAGCTGATTAAGTAAAAACAAGGTACAGAGTAATATTCATTATGCGTGAATAATGTAATTTACAGTAAGGTTACGCTCTTTTTAATACATGAACCACATTTACTGAGAATATGACTAATATTTAAAAATTGGTTGTAATTAGCATTAAAGTTTATGAAAATGATATATGTTCAATTAACCAGAGTTTTAAAAAAGTATCCATTCATATCAGTTATCCATTCATATCATAATAACAAATATTTATGATCATGATTAAACCTTTGTGCTCCAGTCTCTGACTTCTCCAGTGAAAGCTGACTCTGCAATAAGAAGTGGGACAGTCCTCTTCCCAACTCCACCTTCTATCTTCACTATGATGCTGGGCACAGATAGCATCAGCTGAAACACAGAATTAAGTCCAACTTGATACTTTGGGAAACAGAGTAAACTTAATTTCAAGAATTTGTGATGATAATGATGATGATGATAATAATAATGATGATGATGATGATGATAATAATAATAATAATAACAATAATAATAATAATAATAATAATAATAATGGACATACACACCCCTGTCAATAGTTTACATAATTTCTTATTACGCTACATTAAATACTGAATCTAGATGTATACCTGCTCTCCTCTTGGCTCCACTGCTTCAACCACCACATCTTCCTCCTCAATTATTTCATCAACATCCGAGCCTTCATCTGAATCAAAACGCAAAAATGTTATATATATCTGATATAGAAACATCTTTATTGCAATTAAGAAATTAATCTACTTCTCATTCTTAAGTGTTACTGTGATACTTACCAATTTCCAAGAATCTCAGTTTGCAATCCTGAATCTTCTTGATCTCCCACAGGTCTCTAGGAACTGGTTCAAGTTTTTCTTCTTCAGACTGGAAGTTTAAAGAAATGATTATAACTCCTCTACACGAAGGCAAGAACAGAACTTAAATATAACAGTCTTGACAGGGTCAAACATTTCTCTCTTAGGAGCATTTCAGGGTACATTACTTTCCATACAAATTCAATAATTATACACTGCACCTGTGTACAAAGATTGAGAGGCCAGCATGCACAAACAGGGGCGGACAGAGGTCATCTTCTGGGTCTTCCCACAAGATGGTCAGAATTTTTCAAATTACATTGATGGACATTTAATTTTTTCTTTTGGAAGACGGTCAAAAATGAAGGATGGATCAACAAAGATAATTTGGAAGAATGTCAGAAAATATCTCTGGATATGCCCCTGACAAACATCCTCTCACTCACCTGTTGAGGTGTCAAGCCTGCAGCTACAGCTGAGAGTATCCTGACAGTTGCTGGGGAGATGTTGAATACAACATCTGTCACCATGACATCTATGTGATGACCCTTACCAAAGGGAGCTTTGCCATGTAAGGCCACGTCCATAGGACTCAAGATCTAAAATAACACAAAAATATTTATGTGAAAAATGTTTGTCACCCTATTTAACAATAAGTGCAATTATCTAAAAGTCCTCACATCATCACAAAATTAAAATGTATCAAATGTCCCAAAATTTATATTTGACAAACTGTAACGTAGCAAAAAAATATTTATAATCACTTCAGACATTTTGCAGCATTTTACTATACAAAAAAATTAACCTAGGATCCTAAGGAAACAAGATGAATTTTATACAGTATTAGGTTATCTACATACAGGGATGAGGCTGCCATTTAATGAAAAAGTATGAATATATGGTGAGCGGTCTAGCAGGCCACCTGGGCCAATGAAATTTATGGTTTCCAAAGAGTCGGAAATCCACAGATAGTCAGAAAAATCTCATCCCTGTAAATTGGCTCTGCTAGATAGCCTAGCTGAGAGTAGGGGCTGGAAGGGGAGGGGGGGGGGGAGAAGATGGCCCACCTGCTGCTTAGTGGAGGCTCTGAGCTCTTCAGCAAACTTGCACCTAAACAACTGCAGGCTCTTCACTGTTCCTTTCATCTGCTGCATCTCCGGATCTATCTGCATGCTGAACTCCACTTGGGTCTAGAAAATAATCAGATAAACTTATTAGGGCTCCACCTAGACTCGCATAATAGTAACCATGTTAAACCAGGTAAAAGGTCCATATACAAAATCATGATAAATCATAACCCAAGCCCATTAGAAGCAGCATCTTTGGAAAGAAATCTCCTGTATCCTCTTGAGATTTTGAACAAAATGTCTTCATTCATTATTTTTTCATTGCAAGATATTAGAATGACTGGAAAAAATGTACATGGACAGATAATAATTTCTTTCAATATAGAAAGCCTTACAGTTTAAGCCTAGGCTATGAAATATTTAATAATAATAATACAAAAAGATGAAGATGTGGTAGGGAGGGAAGGAACTTATCTCACCCGAGCCTGTATTCAAATTGTATACTGTACTGCCATTGATACCCAAAATGTTTGTATCTGATTGGACCGATGTTTTTAATGGTTTTGATTTTTTTTTTCAAAGTGCTTTTGATTTTCCACCTACAAAACATCAAAGGTTATTCAAAATGTCATAATAGAAGTAGGCAACTCCATGGTTTTTATCAGATACAAGCATTTTTCTTTAAAATAGTTTGCTGCTTATAATTAAGGAGGGAGGGAGAATAATAAGTCTCAAATTTTGGACTGCAATGCTTTTTTTTCAATCAATCATTCTTGGCATGTGGAGAAGCTCCTATTTTTCACTAATCCAAACCAAAGCTGTGGAAAAATGTTTTGGGGTTAGATTAGAAATGATTTAGTTAATTTTTCTATGCAATTCAGAATCAGATCCTTTAGCTGATCTAAATACTCTTGCTTCATTAAAAAATTATTCTTGTTTGATTTAAGATTTTTCTGCATCATTATCAATTGTAGTAGTAGTGCAAATGGATTAAGGTGGTATTCAGTGACAATAAGTCTTGAAAACAAAAGCAACACCTGCATATAAATCAAGTGACAAATATTAGTTACTGTATCTCTTATAAAAAATCCTATATTTACAACATCATTTGTTAATACTTAGACAACACAATCATTCTAATTATTTTTTCACAGCAAGATCACCACTGCTGTTTACCTCATCCTTAATCTGTAAAACAAATGAAAGGAAAACTAATTAAAATTTCTGACACGATGCCCAGGTCTAGCTATACCTTGTGTGTTATGTTACATAAATTCAGCATATTATCATTAGTTCATAGAAAATATCAGATAAAGATCTAGAACAGAGCATAACTAGAACAGAGCATAAATATGATATAGATATGTTATACAATTTTAGGAATGACAAAGAGAGTGTATAGAGAGCTTTGTCAGAAATTCACAATAATCTTTTAACAAAAGTGGGGCACTTTTTCAGCAAGGACAGTAAATCATTTCAATTCATTTGATACATACATCTGGTAAGAAAAACTGATTTTTATATCTAACTTGTTCTTCTTGGTTAATGGTAAGTAAGGAAGGACAGATAAGCTACGGTAACCACTATTCTACCAGTGATTTGTCATACCTTCATGATGAGAGCATTGGTGTTGCTGTCCGAGGCATCTTCCACCAGGACAATCTCTGGGTTGTCCACTGTCATGGAGATGTTCATCTTACCCACTGGGGGCTGCTCCTGTACTGCCGGGGCTATTTACAAATTTCAATTTCAAAATTTTGGTTCAACTTTGATTCATTGAATAAAAACAAAATCAATACAGGGGTTTAACTTTACTTCACTGATTCAAATTTTGAGACATGTCTCTACTGGTTATAAATGATAAATTTAATCAATTTGTGTGTGCATATATGTACCATATAACATGTACTTTCAATGGTGGCTAAAGTTGACTGTTCATACATTGAGTCTGTTTGTTTGAACCTGTATACCTGTATGCTTCAAACTAACCACAGCACACATTTACCAAGGCTGAGACTACCAAATATGGCATGGGGTCCAGGGGGCCACTTGTTGGCCAAGGTTTTTTTTTTTTTTTTGCTCCCAAAAAGCGGGAAATCCACTAGTAATCAGAAAAATCTCATCCCTGGCCCCAGTTTCACAAAAAAGCTTAAGTCAGTTCCCTGGCTTAGTTGACTAGGATTTCCATGAGAGTCCTGTTACACTGCTCCTGACAGGGTACGATGTGCCCATGTGACCATGTAACCTTGGTAATTAAGTGCTTAGCCAGGGAATCTGACTTAAGTTTGTTTGTGAAACCAGGACCTGATTTACCTTTTGGAGCCTCTCTACGAGCTGAGCCTGGTTTGGCTGGGGGTGCATCAGGAGTCTGCGGTAAACCTTTGACAAAGAAGTCTGCCAAAGACGATAAGTATTCCACACACAGGCACACATGCAAGTTGTTTAGACGTAGGTCCACTGAAAGTAACAGAATATAAATGAAAAAAATAAGAATTTTTTTTTTTTTTTTTTGTGAAAAAGAAATTCTGATTGCAACCTGTAGGCATCTTAATGGATCTGAAAGACTATCCTCCTGTTTACATGATCTCTTTATAAAAAGTTTTTGAAATGAAAAGGAAATATAGTCAAAATCCTTCTAATTAATAAGAATGAACTAATTCCAATCTGTCAGCAAACCCTGTCTATACCAGTATGTACTTACAGTTCTTGTTCTCACTGGCATCCTGAGAGAAGGTCATATCTATCAAGTGACCGGAGTCCACTGGGCCAGTGCTGGCCACGCGCTGGATCATCCTAAAATAGAGATCGTGCTTATAATTAGATTTTTATCAAAAAAGATAAGCATCATTTCAGTTTAAATGAGAAATTAATACATTTTAAACTATATAACTGTATCTGGTTCAGTTATCTTTACTTGGTGGCTAACTTTGCACATTATGTATATGAAGTTTTAGATTTAGTATAAATCCACTAGTTTACTTGTTCAAAACTAGTAATTCAAATGTTGGCCTTTCTTAACAGCCTACAAACTCACTCCCTTAATTCAATTTTAAGGTTGCCAAAAACTTTAAAAACCACAATTTAAATGTACATGTTATCAAATTAAGACACCAAAAGGACTAGATTTTTTCAAACTAGAAAATTTTGACCCCATTCAAGTCATAATATCAGACCTTGTTATAGCAGACTCTTTCTTAATCTCTCTCGTATCCTCCAGTACAATGTCTGCCAGGATGACACTGGCTGTCATGGAGTTATCCGTCATCATGTCTCCTTTCACTGCTATCGTCTGCAGCTCAAACCTCCCAAGAGCTGTGCTGGGTTGCCTCTTGCTTTCTCCATTTGACTACAAGGTAAAATTGATCAAATTTCAAATAATAGTTCCTTATTAGTGCATTTATCATACAGCCTTACTGGTACGTATCCTGGTGCCTTTTAGTTTGTCCAATTTTAGTCTGTTTGACTGATGAATCTACAGGTATAATACTCGTATAGCTGATAAAAATCTGCAAGGCTGTTCTTTCTTAATACTCCTGCCAAAGCTTGACTGGGCAATTTAGAAGACACCAATTTAGTTAACTGGCTACATCAATTTAGTGCACACCTTAATTAAAGCATTATGTAGGTGACTTTTGTTGCATCAAAAGCTGTTATGATCTATAATTATACCTACCAGACTGCTATCCCCTGTGTAGAGAGAGGCACATATGCTCTTCACTTCAAAGCCAAATTTGACCCTGGGTGTAACACTGGTTGCTGGTGTTCCTGGTACTGCAGCTGTTGTTGTTCCTGATGATGGTGCTTTTAAGGTAAAAAAAAACAGCTTATGTTTATTAAGACTATATTCAGATAAAGTACAAATACTGTTAATGCAGATTATAATTATAGGCTAATTGTGATAAGTAATTGAAGGTTGGTAAACAAAGTATTTACGTTAATTAAGAAGGCTGACCTCTTTAAATTTACATAAGAAATAATTTACTGCAATTGCTCTGTAAAACTAATTTCTATTTAAATTACTTTAAAAATTGAACAGTATTTACATATAGATTACATCAAAATGATTATCCATAGTGTGAAACAATTACTAAACACAAAGTGTAACAATTAACCTGCTTCCACTGCTTGAGCAGATGACTTTTCAATGGATTCTTCTTTGACTCCACCTCCGCCAGATGTCTGAGGGGAACCCTCTCCCAAGTTCTCTGTCAGCATACACATCACTACAGTGAAGTCTCCCTGGCTCATTCCAACCTGAAAGAATAACCCAGGTGAGGAAATATGGAAAACAACAAAATAAGGAACACCTCAAAAATGCAACTGTGTATAAAAATGTAAAGGAGTAATTCATTATATTAATTAATCATACTTTTTATTTACAAAATAACCTAGTAAAGATCCCATACTTATTAAAGTTTTATTTGGCACTTTTTATATGACTTGTGGTGAAAACTTCCAAAAATGTATAAAATTGTTACTCATCAGTTATTCTGCATGTGGCCTATAGAAATATACTGACCTATACAAATAAACCAATATTTACTGAACATTAAAACATATATATATATAATCAATTCTGTGAAACAAAGGCCTGAATGATCAATCCTTACACAGACAGCGTCCATCTGCCCCTGTATGGCCACCTCGGGAACGTCCTTGTACCAGGCAGGGGCCAAGTTCCTAGTTATGTCCAAGGCAATGGTCATTGGCTCCAGCATCAGGCACTCGGCCACCACATTCTCATCCTTCATGATAACTCTGGGAATGGTATATGGCGCATATATAGCATTGTCTAATAGACAAATGTTCAAAAACTGATGAACAAATATCTCATTTGGTAGATATCCAAAAAATCATCTCAGATGTAAATTTTAAATCTATGAAAGGAAGCCACTGGTATCTGTGTTCTGTTTTCAAGCAAGGTAAAGGGAAGTATGTGAAGAGACATACCAGTACATCTATAGTAAATAAAATATTACGGTGATATCTTTAAAATGCTTACTTTTCATTTTAAAACGAACACATTTGAGTATTGTAGTACAGTAGAAGCAATGCAAAAGTGCTGGGAATATAAAATATAATTGTCGTCATACAACACAAACCTGCTGAGTTTTAAAGATGTCAACTGTATTTGCATGTTATCCAACACAGCTGGCATTCCCACTTCATTCTTCTTGTCTACCAACTTAAAGTCATTGGAAAGCTGCAAGAGTCCCAAATCTGCCACTAATGCATTATTGGATTTGGAACCTTGAGGAATAACAATGATAGGAGCCTTTAATTTGATGTCTAGCATCACTCTTGGTGCCTTCTCATACAAGTTTTGTGCTGCCTCTTTGGCTTGCTCCATAGCTGCTACACTGGCCTCTGCCATCTTTTCCTTGGCTGCCTGGAAACTGTCTAGAAATTTCTGGAAGAAGGTAAACATTCGAAGATTACTTTGATATTTGAGGCAGTCCAATATTCTAAAACACAAAAAAATGATAGGGAATCAATTCTTTGAGTTCCTATTTTTGGTTTCAAAAGAAACAAAAAATAAAAAAATACCAATAATGAAAAGAAAAAATTGAGATTGCTCTACTGAATAAATTCAACAGGTGCCATTAAAATAAAGACATGGTGAATATGTGAAATCATATTTATTTGTGATTCTTCAGCTCCCTTCATTCTGCTTACCAGAAGATCATTGACATATCTCATGAGAAACACTGTTTTCACACAGCCAAGAGTGACACCTATCTTTGTGTCCACACAACTCATGTCTGCATAACCCTCTCCCTCAGTGGCATTGTTGAATGCAACTATGTTCAGCTTCAGCACTTCAGTGTCTGTTGTTGATAAAATCTGGAAACATTGGTTGAAGCTAGTTGGTAATCTGACAACAAAATAATGCCCATCTTGTTGTTTTTTTTTATTTCATGAAATAGGAATACTTGTATCAAACCATAAAGACGTTTTATCATTAAGTTTCATATAATAGTAAGATTTCAATATACTACCATATTACCTTAGGGTAAAAAGCATCTTTCATTGGATCAAAGACAATTAAATCTTTCAGAGATGCCTGAATTGCAGTCTGGTGTTTCTGTACTGTTACTCCTGCCTCAAGACCTAAGATGTATAACAGACCAATAAGAAATAAAATATGAAAAAAATTTACCAAATTGGCATAGTTTGCAGGTAGTTTTGACTTGACTCAAAAATACTCAATTCTCATATCTGTTTAATACAACACAATTACCTATCTAATATAAAAAAATTGTTATTCTGATAGATATTATCAAAATATCCTTGTAACTTTCACATCACAAAATATCAATCAGAAATTATTGAATATTTCATAAATTTAAACATATTAGTTCACCTGGTCTCACACTCATTAGACTTTGTGTGACCCTGACCTTGCATATGGCCTTTACCTACCTTTAACCTTGACCTCGGTAAGGATCCTTTCATCTGTACATATTCCCAGTGAGATGACATCCATCAAAGCATTCACCTGAACATCTATGACATCATACACTTTACGACGTCTAATGGGCACTGAAAAGAATTCCACAAAATTATTGTGAGTCAACACATTTGAAAAGTTAAGATGAGATATGATGTAAATCCAAAAAAACTATACAAAAATACCCTCTGATATGTGTCCAAAATATTGATGAACATACCAAAACTTACAACAAACATAATGAATATACATACCGACAGTCTTTTGCTCTTCTTTTTGGTCTTGTTTTTCTTCTTCTTTCTTTTCCGGTTCAGGGACAGTCTTTGGTCCTGTGTCCAAGTCAAGCCCCTGTGCAAACTCCATAAGCTGCAGAAGTGCCGTCTCGTGGAGAAGCACTTCTAATGCTGTGAAATTCACACTGATCTTCTGCTCTGTGTTGTTATATGTGGTCTTAAACTCTGGTCCAGTTTTGTCAGCCTGTAAAACATGAAAATTGTCAAAAAAATTAACCGCGTTTAAAGTTTTAAAAAGATTCTGATTTGACAAATTCTGTCTTGACTGTAAGTTTATTTTGAAAGGTTTTCAGGGACAGATGGGTCTTCCAGAAGACGGTCAGAATTTTTCAAATTTACATATTGAGGGGCAACAAATTTATCTGTCAGAAGATGGTCAAAAATCGAAGATGGATCAACAAAGATAACAAGTTGCATACCTTCACATACTCTACAGCCAGCAAGTTGAAGGCACTCTCCCCTGAGCCTGGTGTGTTTATGATGTTGATCAAAGGGCCCTGTTCTAAAGCTACCATAAAAAGAAAAAGATATGATTATGGAGTCATCTGTACATAAAAGACACAATATTGATTACTAAAACTTCATTTGAAAAATAGAATAAATAAAATAAATATTCTTATCTGCATACATTTTATATTGTAACCTCTTTCTTGTTCATCTATGCCACAGCAACCAATGTATCTTGAATTTAGCTAACTGCATTATGTATGTGCACATCCAGTGCTTTCTATATAATAAAACCACTGTGAATGTAAATTTTCACTGCTGATAAATACTTGGAAATCAAAGACAGCTAAATTCATTTAGATGTTTCTATGTTGGTATGGTACCATCTATAAGACAATTAAGTAATATTTAAAACTGTATAACAAAGGTAAATATTTAAAAAATACCTTCATAAAAATCTTTTCAATGACCCAACAACTTGATATCATTAACTCCTACCATCCCATCATCAACCATTACAGTGTCTTTGTGTTTGTGTGTGCATGTGTTTGAGAGTATATACATGTTACTACCAGCCTTACCTTTAAACTTCCAACATTTCTAATATCCACAACTAAATTTACATTTTTTTTTTAACTTACCACCATTCATACACCTATCTTTTGCAAAATTGATGTTTAGTATAAATCTTAAGCTTAATAATCCTGGATCAAGCATCTCCAAGATAATTAACAATTTCACGAATGAGACCATTCAACAGCCAAACATACTTCAAACAAAACTGCAATCATGAACAGTAAGAAAGGGATACCATTAATTTCAAGGAACACCATAACATTCAATGTTTTAACATTGCAGCTTTATAAGTGTCCAGCTCAGGAAAAAAAAAAACAAATGAACCAGTAAAAAGCACAGCGATATGAACGAGAAATGATTTAATACAGTCTTAATTTTTGGGTTTAATAATGCTTGGTTACATCTTCTCATACATGCACTCTTAAAAACGTGACCAAATAAAATTCAACATTCATAAAATAAAAGCAAATGACATTGTTTTACCTGAGAAAATATCATTAAAAAACACTGACAAATTCAGGGAGTTAGAGGAGGAGATGAGATGGTTTAATCAAATGAAATTATCTACACTACCTTTGACAACTAGTTTATACAGAATAAAATAAAGATTCAGAGTTATTAAAGGTACATCTGTAACAGCCTTGTGACCAGATACCCATATGGCATTTAACATTCAATAACATAATAACCACTGAGGCATCTACATAATACTACAGGCATTAAACAAGTATACCAATTTTGCCTAATATTTTAGTAGCATACCAAGCTCCTCTGTTTCATCATGATGTTCCTGGCTTGGGACTCTGTTTAGCACAGCGTCAGATACTGTGAAATGTTAAGTCATGCAAAATAGAAATAAGTCTTCAACAAATTCAAGAGCACCAGTGCAGATATATATTTCCACAAAGTCATATATCCAAAGCAATTGCATTTCTATAAAGATTAACTTAAAGAAAAAAGACTTCATGACATCACAAGCTGACTATCAGATTACAATCACTCCAAGGAGTTTGAAATCCTATTTTATTTGCAATTTGATAAATAATGTTGACAATCACTTTTTAGCTTTAACTAATTCTTATATGAACAAAGCTTTTCATAGAAACAATTTTGTAAATGCTGAACTTTGTGGAAATATACAAATAAATGCCCTTTATGTACATGTAGATCAGAACTATAAAATGAAATATGCTTTTAGTAAAAGAAAATTGTTTAACTAGGTTGTATGAAGACAACTAAATTGACTATTTAAATTACAGAAAAGTTACTTTTTAACTTAGGATATGTGACTTACTAAATTAAAACGAACTAAAAATTGCATTAAAGAGGAAATATGTGATAATTTAATAAATTAAAACAAAATGAAAAACTCAAATTTAGGAATAAAAAAGTAATCAAAATAAATAATATTTTAAGAGGTCAAAGAGTAAATGAAAAGCAATTCAAGCAGAGAGGACAAAGAAGAGATATTATGAATAAGAGATTATAAAAATATAAAATAATTATTTAAAAAACATTCCTAGTAGTGTGAACTTTTCTCAGCTGATACAGTAGAAATTAAAAAGAAATCATGAAAAAACTTCAGATAATTTAACTAGTTCAGTGAAAAGGTTAACTGTTAGGGTTAAAATAATATTCACAACTGCAACCGTGATTATATTTAAAAAAAACCATTAGCCCATGGCATACAGTGTATCATGGTTCTCTTCTACATGATTAAGATCACCTTGATGAAATAAGAGGATACAGGCCCGTACCCAGCAATATCAGAGGGGGGATTTGTTTTCTGAAAAAAGTGGACCTTTTACCATAAAATCCTCAAGTACATAGATCAAATTTTACCCAGAGTGGACCTTTTCCCAGCAAAAAGGGTGGTTCTTTCGAATCCCCCAAACCCCCCTGGCTACGGGCCTGGGATAAAACTGGAAAGTACCAAGAGGTTCTCAATTCATGCACAGTGCATGTGTTAAAAGCAGGGTTATCTGTCATAGCAAAGCCTAAGATTCATTAATTACAGTAGCTTTGTCTGAAAAGACTAAACTGTGGCATCTGACCTCTACACGTGGTTCATGCTGTATAATTATATATACTGTGGGTGAAAAAGCATCTATATATATATATATATGTGATATATGTATATAAGCTCCTATAAAGTACATAGAATAACAGAGCATTCTCATATTAGCAAGAACACTTTGAAGCAAGGCAGTTCTCAAAGAACAAAACTGACACAAGATTGGACTTGAATGCAAAAGAACGGGATTAACCAAATCTAGCTTTAATCCAAACTAGATCTTCATCATTCTTTAAGCACACAAACTTTTTGTTTCCAAATATTTCAATTTTTAGTTTTGACAGAAAACAATATTTGTTTTCCTTGAAACTTTTTTTGGTTTAAATATCTTTATGAATTAATTTATTTTCTGTGGCTGCACTATAGATATTTCTTATTTCCAATTCAAGTTCATTTTTTAAAGCTAAAATGTAGAATTTTAGAATGTCGTTTAGGTTAATTCCCATTAGTGCATAAATGTCCAAATATTTTGCGGTGCTTTATTGTTGCATCATTTGATGCATTACCTTTGAGTTGCAGGTGCTGGACATAGACAGCTCCCAGATAAGCATTGACCATCATATCAAATGACCGCAATTTGACCTCTGTCCCAATTCTCTTGACCATCAGTTTCATTAGTGGGACATTTTCATCCCCTTTCCTCTGGTATACCTTGAGAGCTATCTAGAACAGAAACAAACATAACACTTAACATTATGCCATTATGACAAAATGATCAAAACAGAGCATAAATATCTTCTTCACACAGACATTTCACAGTCAGACATTTTATGTTCATAATTTATTTTAGAAGTATAACCCTAAATGACATAAAACACAGAATCAATATGTAATACACTAGGCCAAAATCATACAATGTAGCTCTAATTTGTATATCAGCTGATTTTATTTTGCCTTGATTTCTTAAAATGCACAGCATCTTGGGGCTGTGGAACCTCAGAGTTGGGAACTTTTTTTCCCCACTGTATATGTAAATATATATTCTATTGGATATATATAAATAAAAAAAGTTCAATTCACCTCTTTAATTTCAAATGTGAGTTCCAGATCAGTCATGTTGACATACTCCTGACTTGTGGTGGATGTCTGTGTAGAGGGTTTTACCTTCTCCTCAGAACCCACTGGGATATCCTTTAGGGAGACCGACTGTTCAAATGGCAGTGGGGCACCAGACTCCTAGAATGATACATATTATCAATAGAAGTCCCAGCATGCATTTGTGTGTTCGTCATGTTTTATCGCCCCCTATTAATTAACATTTATACTTCTTTGGCGCATTATTTAATTTCTTTGATTCTTTTTCACTGCCATTCAGTTAGAAGGGATACATACTTATCACACCTTTTTCTTCTTCCCTTATCTTCCTAATTAACATATTCAGATGTTTTCTTCTCCATCCATCTCATTCTTCTTCAAAACGTGTTCACTCACAAACTTATCTATTTTCAATCACTTATTCATAACACAACACTCACAAGAACAAGTACATAAATGTATTACAAAAAACAATCCATTAACCTTCCTACCCACCGATCCACTCACCTGCACCTTGGAAACTCACACACGCACCCACTCACCAAGAATTCCTCTGGTTCCTCCAGGGCAGGCGGGGACTCAGGCAGTGGAATGCTGGTAGCAAGCCGCACTATCTGCTGCAGGCGGTAGTCAGACATATTCAGGCTCAATATAGGCAGCTCCCCTTTCACTTTCATTCTGAGAAAAGAAATGTAGCATAAAATATGTAGCCAATTTTTTTTCCCTTAAACCGGAGTTTTATGCTTTTGCTTTTATATTTATAGGTGGCATGACATTTGATTTTTGCAATTTTTTTTTGTTAAATTTTTTCAATAAAATTTTTTTTCCAACATTACTTTTTAAGCAACATCAAACTGATTCAATTTTTTTTCCAATTCTCCTGTCGCACACTTACTTCGGCATTCGAACATCATCTACCATACTCTTGTACAGTGCGACATTCAGACCCATTGGCTTAAGTATATGTAATCCACTTGTTTTCAGTTTCCTTGCTGCATTCCAATCTTCGCCTAATTAAAAAAAAATGTCATTAAGCTCTCATCATGAATGGAAATGATGAATAACAGATATCAAAATATATCCTTGTCAATCTCCATACAAAAAAATATTAAAGAAAAAGAATAGATATTTCTTGTCAAGTAGGTGGAATACAGACTTTAATCCGTTCTACATGAAATAAAAATGAAAATATCAAATTATGTATAATGCACAGAAATTGAATAACATTCATTCTCTCTACTGTCAAGTGAAAACAAAAACGTTTAAGATCAACTATTTTTGGATAAAGAATTTTTTTCTAAATAGATATAGTCAACTTACCTGGCTCAGCAAACAGGAGCTGTACACTTTCCAGTGAGATATTGAATTGATCGTAAGCTTTATTCATCATTTCCTCCATTGAGGATGTCTAAAACAATAGGTGAAAATGCTAAAATAATCTTGGTTAGTTTTAAACTTGGAACCATTAGTAGGCCCAAGCTTTTAACAAAGCATACTTGATAATGATAAATATGAATAATTCTTACATTTAGCAACTGACCGACACTGCAGTCTCAACCTGAGATCTTTCATTAGGTAAATGTCCTGGATGGACTGCTCACCTGATCTTATGCAAGTTCCAGTATCAGAGTTATTCATATTTATCATTCTTATTCTACTGGATGACTAACAATATTTAAAAATCAGTCAAAAATTAAATATCTTCAAGAGTGGCTCAAATTCATATTCATATTTATCATTCTTAGTCTACTGGATGACTACCATTATTTAAAAATCAGTTACCTGACCAAAAATTAAATATCTTCAAGAGTGGCCCATATACAAGCTATAGTTTATATAAAAGTAGAGATGTATATGCTGCCACTGTCTTACCTTAGCTACGAGTGTTTCTGTCTGCTTTTCACTGGCAATCTTCAAGTGCCCCATGTCAAGCACCAGCAAGTGGGCATCACTGAAAAACACAAGTCTAATTTATCCTATTTTTCAATGCAATGTGATAATAATAATGATAATAATAATAATAATTATTATTATTATTATTATTATTATTATTATTATTATTATTTTGAGCACAGAAATGTTTTACATTTAAAGGCTCTTTAACTACTACAAGTAAAGAAAAAAATATATCTATAGTGTAATATACCAAACACTATAAGAAGATACCGGTATAGAATATAACACTATAAATATATTATAAGACCCTTTATATAAAATATAGCATTCATAGCTCAACTGAAGAAAAATAAATACAGTCAGAGACACAAGACTAAATATTTCTAAAGGTTGAAAAAAATTCAAAGAATATACTGGTCTTAGGTCTACAAGTTAAAATTTCTAACATTTTAACAACAATGTACATTTAAAAAAATGTGTTCTAAAAGTGACATTGCAGATGTTTCCTTTTAAATAACTCATATGCACTTTGAAGCAAATTCTTCAGAAAGTTGTAATAATGTAGTAAAATTTTAAGTGAAAAAAAAGCACATGCCCCACCTTGTATATACCCCTTTCTCAGGTACAATTACATGTGTAGGTTTGATATCAATGTTGATATCAGTGAACTTCCTCTGCTCCATGGCATGCTGCAATCCTGCAGCTGATTGCTCTTTTAAGTCTTCAAATTGTTTCATAGCTGCAGCAGTCAGTCTGATAATGTAACAAAGCAAATCAGGCAGAGCATACCAAATAATGCAAATAAAATTATATACAAAAAGTGCCTGTCTTAAAAAATAAAATTTTTTGATTTCATTTATTAATGGTATCAAATTTTTTTAAAAAGTCAAGTAAAATTTACTGCCCAACACTTCATCTATTAATTATTTAGACAAGGTCATGGAACCAGGCGTCTAGTAAACAAAATACAAATAAAACTAACTGGTCGATATTAATTTACACCACACATAAATCTTGATTAACTCAATGTTATGAATTTTAATTTAAAAATATTCGAAAATTAAGATTAATACACAAAACTTACTGTTTCAACTGTACAGACTCAGGAGGTTTAAAGAAATCTACTATTTGGTTGATTGTATTCTGAAATGCACACAATTCTAATGTTATCTCTATCATAACTAAAGACTGCAAAGGGCAAACAAAAGTGCCACATTATACTTATTCATGCATTATAATGTCTGATATGACTTTATATGAACTTATGAATCTGAATTTAATTATTTCCCACCTATCATAAAATATTCTTATTTAAATACCAAAGTACCACCACAAAGACACACTGCTAAGTTGTGAAAAAATTAAGACATAGGAAACAGGGGAAGAAGAAAAGGCTGTACCGCATCATATACAACTTCAAGTGGCCTTGACCTAACAACAACCCTTGTGTCACATTGGCCATCCAGAGGGTTGGTCTCTATGGTGCTGTCCAACAGTGGCATCATCTTGTCAGCCTCCAGATTCAGACTCGTCACCATTTTAGGTGCAGTGCCATTCACAGGGCATCCAAACACACCAAATGAGTCCAACTTGGCTTCTATCCTGTTCAACAAAACAAAAACCCAGTTAGAAATCTATACAAATTCATGTTTATCAGTTATTTCCATTTGCATTTAGAATACAGGACTCATATTCACAAATCACTTCAAGATCTTGGGCTCTATAGAGAACTTGTTCTTCCAAACTATGAATCTAATGCCAACTATGGCGTGTTTTGGGTATTTTTTTTCTTTCTCAATAGTTCAGGGCTACTACTACTATCTCAATTTGATGCCCTATCATCCTCAGAGCTATCTGAACTGTTTTTGCACATTCCACTTAGAATATTACTCAGAAAAGTATCCATGTTAGGAGACCAATGACATTTCAAATGACACTAAGTCAACAGAAACTGAGATACTTCACTATGATTTTGCAGTCACCACAAGTATAAAGTTGTTCTGAAATGCAGCAAAAAAATGACAAAATGTCTTTGTCAAAACTCACTTGACAGCACTGGCCGAAGGTCTCTGTCCAATTGCAGTGACCAAGTCTTTCAGTTGTAGATTCAACAGTTGAGGATTGCTGTAACACAAAAGAATTAAATGACAACTCAAATGGTAAAGACTGGCATATAAGTTCTTTAGCTAATGAGCCTAACAATAATCATGAAAACTTTTAGCTATGAAATAATACATGTATGACAAACAAAGTTAATTTTCCATATACTAGAGAATCTTTATATGTTGTACAAAATCTCAAACTTATCATTAAATTCAAAATTGAACTTTTAGAATATGAAACTATATTTTTTTTAAATTTAACCTCCAATATCCTACTTACGTCTTTGTGGTATCACATAAACCCACTGTTAGATTGTTCAAAGCAAAATGCATCTTCACTGCCACAAACTAAGAAATGATATAAAATACTCTACATTTCTTTTTACAAAAATCAAGATTTGCATTCAAAGTCATTTCCAATGATAAAATATATCTTACCTAAAATATGGCAATATCATCTGTTATAATAAATTAATATTATGATGAATCAAATTTTATTTTATAAGTGTATGTTTCCACAAAAAAACAAAGAAAAACATAGATTTTTAATGTAAAAAAAAGAAAATTCTTTCTAACACTCATAAAAAACTTACATCTTTTGGCAGTGTAGAATCTACTGCATTTTCCTGGTAGTCTATAGCCTCATACAGCTTGGCCTTTTCTTCTGGAGTCATCAATTCATAGAATTTTTCCTCTGAAGAAAATATACTGCATTTATGTTTCCTCTTTCTCCAAAGGACTTTACGGTAAGATTATAATGGATCAAACACAATTTGAATAGATTAAAATGCAATGAAACAAAGATGATGTGTACATGTTAAAACTTGATCCTTCCTATGTAGCTATTTATTTCAAAGAGAATTCTACACACTAAACCCTGTAATCCAAATTAAGATCAAAGGTGGACAACAAAAATGCTATCACAAATTATCATCTTCAATACTAATCAAAAGTAAATTGATATGTTCCAGAACTCAAGGCACACTTGCAAATCTGAAAGAAGGAACTGTAACAGAGTCCTAAACAGCATATATGAAATCTTAATGCAATGGAAAATGTTGAGAATCAGTTTGATACATGTTAGCACAAATAATATCATGACACGTTTCTACAAATAATGGCATTTCACTTATCCACCTAGTTATCCTAGCATGTGTGTTGTGTTCAGCATTGTTAATCCTACATAGTCAACTACATTCTCAGTTAATAAAATTTAATTATTTTATAAATGCAAAGGGTCTCTGTATATGTACTTAGTGAATCTATCTATATCTAACAAACAAAATGAATATGTTTTTAAATCACAAAATGTTAGAAATGAACTAATTTTTTACCAATGGTACATTAAAAAAAAAATTAGTATTCATTTGACTTTCACAATAATATTCTTCTCAGCTAGACCACATCAACATACCTGCCTCTTCCTCACTTAAAGCAGAACTGTTGTCTAAATCAGTAATGATAACATATTACAGGGGGGGTTTAAACTGTTATATGTGAATGTAAGTTAGTGAATTAATGTGCACAGGACAAAACTACATAAGGTATCACCTATGGTGAGCATGGTTTAATTAATTTTTAATAATTAAAAATTTTTTAACACATCTTTAAAAAATTAGTAGATTTCAGGTAGCAATATGAAGGGTTACCTATTCATAATAAAAGAAAGGGATAAATCCATATTCTACTGTATAAATACAAATAAATGTGACTTTAACCAATTTTTGACTATTTTGGAGAGACATGTTTTGAAACTATAAACACGTGCATGATTAATAATCTCCACTACATCAGTGTATTTGCAGACAGGGCAAGTGTAACAGGATGGTCTAAATAATAAAGGTAGTTTACGAACCTAACCTAATATAAGGTTAGTCAGGAAACATATGATTACATTCATAAATAATTCACATATATAAGATGAACTTTTATGAACTGTGACTTGCATGTCTTTATAAATGACAAAAAATAACTTCCATCTTTTTTTCAAGACAACTTTTAAAAACAAAATGAGAAATACAACTTGCGAGACATTGGTCTCCTTCATTGCAGTTATTGATATCATTATCTTTCCAATAACAAACAAAAAGTATGATTTGCAAGACTATTAATTACCATATCATACATAAATCCATGGAATATCTGAAGATAAATGATACAAATTTCTTTCACTTCACCAAAAATAAAGCCAAAGATCCTGTGTGCTAACTACTGTGACACTCACCCACTCCTTTCTCGTCTTTATTCTTCTTCTTACTGCTGCCCCCAAACCAACCACCAAACCAGCCCCCTTGCTTGGCTTCCGCAGCCTTTTTGGCTCCTGCCATCTGGACCTATGTTTAATATGACTCTTAATTAAATGTGCTGGTACTAAAATTGTATTGAAAAAAAAACAGTGTTTGTTCTTTAAAAATATACAAAGTGCTACCCTCTTTTTACAAATCTGAACAACTTAAGTTCATGTTAGAAAATTAAGACACAAACAAGGGATATCTTCTGTTTTTGTAAAAAAATAAATAAATAAATAAATGTTAGAATAAAAGAATCTCACTGCCTTTGTCAAAATAGTTAACAAGTCTTTCAATATTTTTGATAAATTAACAATCCCTAATGGGATAGTTTAAGTTCACAAAGTAACAAACTGTGGTCAGAAAAACTGTAATTATGTAAATTCTGAAAAACAGTAATGTGAATGTGCCCATGCTTTGTTGCTCATATAACTTTCTAAAATGAAATAAAAAATATTTGAAATCTTTAACTTATAAAATGGTAGTATACAGTTTTATTGATGATTTCACATTTTTACCGTTTCACCATATTCAAAGAAATTATAATTCTTGGACAGATGGCACACATCAAGCAAAGCTGCATCTTCATTTCAGCTATGACAAAGCTAAATAACAAAGTGTAAACTGCTTTTTAAGATTTGTTGAAGGAAAAAAAAACTCAGTCAAAATACCCTGCCTTTTGTTGACCTATTTCATAAAAATAATAGAAATAAACAATAATCCCAATAGTGTACATAAGTATTAGAAATATAAAACTGAACTAAATGAAATACACAAAAGTCTAATTAAAACAGAACATGTTAGGCAACCTATGAATAAATGCACCCCTCCTCTTACCTCTTCTTCATCCTCATTATCATCTTCCAATAATCCAAAATGTCTGGCCTTACCAAATATGGGGGAGGAATTTTTATTATAAGAGACACAACAGTATGCATGCAGAGAGAATGAGTCTTCAAAGAGAATAGTCCTGTTTTTTTTTTCTATTAACCAAATCTATAAGAATGAGAATTATCAGGGGGCAAAATGAATGGACATTGGGGCCAGTTAACATGGTATAAAAAAGACCACAAAAACACCAAAAGTCTAAGAATTAGCCAGAAAAAATTGCACCCTCATTTTATGATAAATATTGGCATCACTTATGGGTCTGAGAAATAACTGTTTATCGCTAATATTTAACTACATACTCCGAGCAGCAAAGTTTGGGTTGAGTCAAAGCCAGAGCCACACCAAAGCTACTGCCAGCACAAGGATCTTACAGAAGGAAGCTTTTGCACATACCTGTATGCACCAACCATGCAAGTTTATATATCAGATTATGGAATGAAGTTCAGTGACCTTTAAAGTTCAATTACCACATCAAGTGCGGTTACCTTGTGAAGTTCAGTAAATTCATGAAGCACAGCAGCAACATTAGGCTTGGTAACCTTATAAAAATTACTAATTTCACAAATCAAGCTCAGTGCCCTTACCTCCAGTTCTGCCTGCTGCCTCATAAGAGTCAGGTTGAACACATCCAGCTCTCTCTCACATGCCTGAAATACACAGAGTGAACAAAGAAATGGTAAAACGGGGAGAAATCGAATATAAAATGCTCACACAAATACGACAACAGATTGATGCTATTGCATCTTAAGTTTATGCTTATACAGTACTTGAATGATGATCATTTTACGTTGAGATATCAATAGCATAATATAATTACCTGGATACATACAGATTTATAGATAAAATGATATTAAAGATTTATCACACAGTACAATTGTGTGCTAAAGATGCCAACTAAACATTTATTTCTCATATCAGGGACAAAATATATGAATTTTGATTCACTGACTGAATCTGAGCTGGGTACATCAATTATACATAAATCCTACTTTATAATTCCTTTTTGTTACCTCTAGTGTCTGTTTGAGTTCCCCACTAATTTTCTTACTGGTGAGTTTCTTTTTATAAGCATCTTTATATGTCCTGAGCATCTGACGATGGGACTTGATGTGTCTCCAGGACCACATGCGTCTCCTGCGTCTCACTGTCTCTTCAAGGATGCATTTGTATGCAAAGTGCCACCTGGTGAGTAAAAATTAAAACTTCAATCTCTTAAGTAGTTGTAGCCCTGTCTTAAATTCAACTTAAAATTTGCTTTGAAGGTCTGCTGACAACAGATTCACTTTTAGGTGAAATGCCTGAAAAATGTCTCAAACTGTAAACTGAGCCATTGCATGCCATGTTCTCCAGAGAGCAACCAAGTCTGGATTATTTTGGCTTGAAAGCCTTTATGCCTAGATCTAGTTAATAACAATGTACACCTAATTTCAGTAATTTGGCAATCATATCTGAAAACATCAAGTGAATAATATCTATGCATATGCATGCTTTCATTGTTAATACATGAACCAGGGAGGAACCATTCTTGTTTTCCAGTGTGACCTCAATTGTCAGTTTTATTGTCTGACAAATCCTTTCATTTTAACATTAAACATTACTGGGGTGCCAGTTTACTGACCAAATCTTGACATTTCCCTTGATTCCTGTGACAGCAGGGTGGTACTTTCTGTACATGTCACTGAGCACCATCCTCTCAAATGACTCCAGCATCTCCAGCACGCCATCATACTGAAACAATGATCACATTACATTACATAACAACAGTTCTTGGATGATGTTTTTCTGAAAAACCTCGATTAAATCTGGTGAACACATCAAAATCTTTTTCAATTTGAATGCACTTTAAACTATTTTGAAAGGACAGACAAAACAAAATTTAAAAATTATATATTCTTTTTTTTTCCAAAGTGAGAGTTATAAATTCTTAAATGTTGACAGAATCTTCATCTAATTTCACAAAATCATTTTTCACTTACTTTTCTACTTCAAAAGAAAATAGCCTACCCTACCTGAGATTTTGCCAGAGCAATTCCTATTTCCTCCATGACCACACTCAACATGATTTTAGGAATGCTGAAGTTGACGCGGTCTGGATGAGTGTGAATACGCAGTTTTGCAGTGGAACAGATTGGCTTGAGCACTAGAAAACAAACACAAGTCATAATATTTAAGAATGCATCAGACTAACTCTATTTTGGAGTGGAAATCAGTCTAACTTGTGTCAGCAAATGACCATGTTGCAGATCAGGGGCGGATTTAGGCCGTCTTCTGGGTCTTCCGGAAGACGGTCAGATTTTCAAGTTTACATTGACAGGTATCTATTTTTTTCTGTTGGAAGACGGTCAAAATTCGAGGATGGATCAACAAAGATAATTTGGAAGACTGTCAGAAAATAGCTCTGGATCTGCCCCTGCAGATAGACCTCTTTTCTTTTTAATCTGCTCATCATGCAATTTAGACAATAAAATTGTGTTAGCTTTAGTAAATACAATTATAACATGCTTAACTTTGATTCTGTAACAGTCATTCCAAGTTTTATTGGCTAGTCAGTTGTGTTCCTTTAAAAAATCATATTGACAAATGCTTTGAAATGCTCACTCACAATATTGAAAGTCTGTCTTGTGCTTTGTGGTGGCAATACCTCCCATCATGGCTTTCTGTGGACACAGAACAACATGGTTTAGTTGACATAAATGTAATAACATTTATGGTTTAGTTGACATAAATGTAATAACATTTTACAGTTAAGCTAAAATTTGATATTCAGAAAATTGTCACATCATTTCAAAATTAATCATATCATCCTAAGTATCTGAAAAAAAAAATCTACCTCAAACACAATTCACCATTAAGAATATTTGATAAAAAATCGGGAATTAGGAACAAAACTGTGATAAGAGGCCTGTATCACGATCAATCTTACCACAATCTCCTGCCTGTCTGAGAAGTCCATGTACATCTTGGAGCCAGCATTCCAGTACACAGCCAGTGACTCCAGCTTCACAAGCTACAGAAATAGTGTATTACAATTGTTATATTAGGCAGTTTTTATCTAGAATCATAATACTTTTCACATTTTATATTTTATTTTTCTTGATAAATATGTCCATAAGTGCTTGTCTCTTTTATGTGTAAACTCTACTGAATATTTTAAAATGGATTTTAGACTTGAAATAAATATATTATTATCATTACTGAATAATATCAAATGTTCTTAATGAAATTAATCTGGTTGAATAAGATGCCATTTCATAATGTATTATTAAGTTTGAAAACTTAAAATTATTTTGTATATTTTTTGAAAAGAAATAAATGGAAAAAATATTCAAACTGAACATCAAACATTAGATGAACAGGTAAGGAACATTGTGAAAAATGGCCACAATCAGACTCTTAAAAATGGAGAATTCCAAGGAGGGAATGATAACCTATTAAGAAGAGATCTAGAACTCTGAGTTTACCTTGTAAATTTCTTGTACAGACTCCTTAATAATACATGGTTTCCAGTTCTGGTCAGTAGTCTGAAAACAAAACTTAGTGAACTAGTGATTTCAAAAGCAAAAACACAACATTAACTAATGTTTGGACAACAATTATGCATTGGTCTCTCTTTGTACTATTTTTTTTAAATCTTTTTTTTCTTTTTACTAAACTATGTTGGCAATGTTGTGTGTGTGTGTTTAAAAGATCAAAAGTCAAAGATCTGTGTTCCTTGGCAGCATAAAAATGGAAAGGTATCCCATGCTGTGAAGTTTATAATGTAAAACATAACAAAGTTACAGCAAATGTATGTAGATTCCAAAGAGCTCTATCCATACAAGTTCTCTCTAATTCTCCAAAAGCCAAGTTGTAGGCACACAAGTTCTCAACATACTGCCCATCCAAATATAGAAATCAGGCCATTTTGCTGAGAAGTCTTAGGAATATTTACTAAGTTTTATTTTCCTCTGAACTCACCTTGAAGTCCAGATTCCTGAGGGTGACTCCAATGGAGAAAGGATTCTTTGGGTTGCTGATTTTGTCCTCATAACGGACATGAATGTTGGAAACCTGGACTTGGAGATTTTTGATCACTTGAGTGGCCAGCTTCTCAGCAAATGAGTCCTTTTTGTCTTTCTTTGGTTTATCTAAGAGAAAACTTCTATTTCTATAAAAGACTTTTTCTCACTTTAATTTTCTTTAGGTGCATTTTGAATAATAACAAATTAACTTTGTATTTACTCAACAACTATTCTTATTTCATAATATAAAAAACAAAATAAATATGCTCTTTTCCATTTACCTTTTTCTTTCTCTGCCTCCTTAGCATCTTCAATTCTCTGAAGCTCCTTCTGCTTCTTCTCTTGTTTGGCTTTTTCTTCTTTTTCTGCATTGTACTTGATGCCTGAAAAGAGAGAAGACGACTTTCTTAAGACAGAATAAGAATGTGCATGTACTAAGACCTATATTATGGAAAGCTGAAAACAAATGTTTACAGGGCATATTTAGCCTTTACACCCACAAGTGAGGGTACTTTCAAAGAAGTGACTAAATAGATTGAATAATTTTAGGTCGAAATTTCATGAATTTCAAAGTATGTGGTTACTGCACACACTTCTTTTAAGACTGAGAAAGCCATGGAAGCAGTGTGGAATGCAAAAAAGAGTTAACTTCTTGATGTTAAAAGTAAAATGTTAAACAGTTAAACCTAGCCCCCTTTTTTCAGCATTTCATTTGAATGCAGTAAACCTGCAATATGATTTCAAAAACACTAAGAAAGATGAGAAGTCATTATGGACATGTCTAAAAAAAATTAATGGTAGATTAAAAGCATGACAAGTATGTGGTTTAGAATGGGACAATGCTAATATCATGCAATCATGATAACTGCAATGAAATAAAGGTAGCTCACAAGCACCATCCATCAAAAAACAAGATGGAACCTTCTGTCCCTGAAAAAAAAAGGTGAAAAGACTTCAAAATTTATTGGCCCTACCTCCAACCACATTCAACAATTCATATGTTACCAATTCAAACTCACTCACCAATAGAGGAAATAACTCACAACCTGTTTGTTTAAACATAAGACACAATATTGAAGGGAAAACAGATAGGAAAGTCGACAAATAGTATTTATATGTCCTCCATCTGGTGAAGTCCAACAGAAGGTTCTGAAAAAACATTTACATAATGGCTTCACAGGATATCTTGATATTTCTGGAAATTCAGCCAAACGGAGAGTTGCACTTGAAGGATTTAGAATACTGTTTTCCTGCTGAACCAATTAACCTATAGGTTACGATCAATACTTTTGCTTTGTAATCTCTGTGTGCCTGAGTTAGTTGCTGGCATCCAAATCTCATCTGCTAGTGTTTTCAGTTTAGTAAGTAAATTTACCAGAAATGAAGTAACAGTTTTTCAACTTTTGCATTCACATTTCCCTGCTTTTACATATATCATTAGTTTTGGGCCTAATGAGCAAGAAATTGATATAAGGCAGATGTGAAATTATCACTGTGTAAAACAGGGGCGTAACCAGGCATACGCACGGATGCACTGTGCGTACTATTTTTTGAGCCAACCATGATATTATTCTCCATAAATTCAGTGTATTTTTCACAGAATATAATCGTATCTGTGAATTTTCAAAATCTGTGCGTACAATTTTAAAAGGTCTGGTTACGCCCCTGTAAAATATCATCACTATATAGAGATATGTAGTTTGGTTATCATCCGTTAACAGGTATAAGTAAATGGTATCAGGCAGATCTGAAATCACAACTGTATAATGATAGTCTGTTTATACATGAATGGCCAGCAAAGTCACCAGTATTCATGAATACCTAGTTATTTATAGTGACATCAAATGCCCAGACGTCTGACAGCTGGAGTAACCTTGGAAAAAACCTAAATACTGATACCAAGTAGAGTTCTTAATAACTAATATCTTCAGGAAATCTGGCAACTATCCACAACTCCCCCTTGCATTTTATATAAGGGCTTAAAAATAGACATTCCAATTATATATAGCAGGGTTATGAACTCTGTTATCATTCTGTCCACTTAAGCGATAATTAAATTCCTTTTACAGATAGGTCTTCTTCTACTGTCATACACATAACAGAGCAGGCAAAAGATCTACTTCACAATCTCACTACAATATTAAAACCCAAGATCAAACCTTACATGTTGATGCATATGTTATTTGAATACTAACAGCAAATTTGTTATTAAGGAACCTAACAAAAGGCAATTTCCTCTATGTTGCATTAGTCAAGTCATGAACAAATTGCCCAGTCCACACTTTTCAGCTAAGTCCTCCATACCACAACCCAAGTTTCAGAGTACTATATAAACAGTATTGTATATATATATATATATATATATATATATATATATATATATATATATATATATATATATATATATATATATATATATATATATGTCAGGCCCATAGCCAGTAATTCCAAAGGGCGTGTCTTTTTCTGAGAAAGTAGACCTTTTATCATAAAAACTTCATGTACCAAGATCAAATTTTACCAAGAGCGGACCTTCTCCCAATAAAAGGGGCGGTTCTTTCACCACCACCCCCCCAAACCCCCTGGCTATTGGCCTGTGTGTCAATAACAGCTACATATATACAACTCACTTGTATTGGGAACGGCCACTGCATACACCCCATCTACAGTGGCAATGACGGGCTCTGTGTACAAGTTCTTCCATGGAATCTTCAATACCAATTTACCTGAATGATTATAAAAAATTGATAGAGAAATGGCCTTTAAATAGTCAAAACATCCACATAATGAAAGGTATTGCTTAAAACATGTTTGAAAGGTATTGCTAAAAATATGTTTTGCCCAGAAAATATTTTGTATGTGATGTGCCATAAAATATGAAGTGGGAAAATCTGCTTCACCATGAGTGATGTCTGCTAAAATAAAACTGGGTTATCTCCTTAAGTGAAGCAGGCATATATCATCAGATGAAAGACAAAAAAAAAACCCTATAAAAAAAATGACTGATGTGCCCTCATTAAAATAACTGATAGCACTGCTAAAATTGAAAATACCACTGATCTTACTTAAAAACACCACAGACACAATGTTTCAGATGGATAAAAACCAAGCTATTGAAATAAATTACTTGGGGATTACTTATACTGCACATTATATTTCTATGGGCAATTACATGAATTTTTAACAAAAAATAAAATAGAAAATAAAATAAAATAAATATATATACATACACATACACTACATATATGTACTAAAATAAAAATCTAAACAAGCACAACATTATCATCATATCAAATAAAAACCTTACATGGATGACTCACTTGATAGTATGTCACATGCAAGAACCTAATAAAGACTCCACCTTAATTTTTGATGCTTTCTAAATAACCAGTTACAGATAAGACATTTTCTCAGCCATCTATTTAGTATGTTTAAGTAATCAAACATGACATCAACCACAAACTGAGAACTATCAATTTTTGTATTATCGCTGCATATCTTATAGTTTAACATGTACGCTCAAGTTCTATCATACACACTTTCTGAGGGAACTTGGCACATATTCTACAGCATAAAAAGCCTTGGTAATGGAAAGGTCAACATGGTGGCTTTAAGAGAGGCAATTCAGACACTAATTCTCTTTCTGAAAGGGAAAGCTAACTATACCTCGTGTTTTCAGTGAGATTAAATAGCTGCTCAATAAGATGATTTCAAATTGCAGATTAGAGAGAGATATGTATTGGGACATACACAGATAGGCAGAAACCTATAAATGTACAGTAATAATGGATGAAAATGGAATCATAATATTGCTGGAGAAATGAAACTCTGCAAATAATACTAGGCATCAATCTAATGGTGATAGAAATTTCTGATAAACAAATTACTTGTAGGTTGTACATTGTTGAACTGTGTTAATAGATCTCCTGGACCTGGATATTGTGCTTTCGACATTCTATACCAAACCATATTCTGTATGAAGTCAAGTTCAGATCGATTTCAATCAAAAATTAATTGTCCATAACTTCAGGTAGTAGACATTTGTTTGCAACCCCTTCTTAGAAAGTCTTTCTTTTATTCCTGGATTACATAGGGTGCTTTCCCAGAGATTTAGATCGATCTAGAGATTAAGATTTAGATCGACCTAACTCCCTGGGGGTTCACGCTAAATTGCAGTCAGCCGAGCGGGCACCATAGTTAATTACCCCCTTACAGCTTTTAGTAGGCGGGACAGACGCTTAAGCCGGCCAAGCTGACAGTAATCAAGTGAGACTCCCCACAGGGATAGATCGATCTAAAAATCTATGGAAATGGGGTGATAGTCAACACTAAAGAGTAGAAGATATTAAGAGGGGATGCAATAAAGGAAGTTTGCAATCAAGCATCTGCCTCTGGTAGTTTGGCTTTGAGTGCATTAAGAAAAGTGGACAAACAGATTCATGGATCAAACATGGTGATCCACTAAAAAAGCTTGTCACTTAATTCACAATTGGACACTGATTAGATTCTCTGTGAGGATTACCTGACAAGCATTCAAGTAGGTCGGCCATATTTGATCCACGGATCAGTTGGTCCACTGTTCTGAATGCACTCTTTGCTTTACACTTCTCCTAAAAGATCATTTGAACCCTGTAATCTTCGGAATATTGAACCCTCAGAACAATAAACCTTCTTAATATAAGGGGTTCCCCTTTGAGTCCAGGGTACTTCTATTACAGCCAGATGATGATGTTACAGCAATGGCATTTGCTCTGAATATTACGTCTGTCATTAGCACCTTATTAAATTGTAGGACTACACCAGTCACTGGAAACCTGCCATCAGATAATAAGGCTGTGTTCAGAATGGAAGTTATTGTAATCCATCCTCGTGCAAATCAACATGAATCATATTTACTAGTAACCACAAAGTTTTCCCAAATTCACCCAAGTGCTTCATTGGGGGGATGGGGGGTGTGTGCCAAAAAATTAAGCTGATTACATTGACTGCGCCTTAGCAAGAATCCCCGCTGAGATAGATCGATCCTGCTGGTACGATAACTCCTGTTCTGAACACAGCCTACGTAGGAGTTAGCCAACACAGTCTCCACCTCTTATGCAAGCACATAACACAGACAAGTCAAGCAGGACCTTACACCATATATTGCATCTAGCTATTATGACCAGTCAATGTGGAACATAAATCATACATAATATATTAAACATGGTTTATACTTGCCTATGTGACCCGATATAACTCGTATTGGAAGATCAAGGTCATCCTGAAATGTTAAAAAACCACCGTAAGGTTACAAATGAGACATTTTTTTTCATTTATTCCAAGATATAGGAGTTATAACAAAATTTAAGTCACCTCACATCCCCCCCCCCCCCCAATCTATCAAATCAATCACAAACATTGCTGAACACCAGTAGTTTTTAAAATATATATTATTGCTGATTGTTTTACTCCAGCATAAGAGCCACTATCCACTAAATAGACAGTTAGGTGGCATGCCATTATATCAATTCAGTTCTAATAAACAGGTGATTTATAGGGAAATAACAGCAGAAATTAATCTCTTCTATGATGACAATGGTTAAAAATGACTGATGAAACAAAACATTAAATGACTTACTGTAAGTTATACTACATGTACCATGCATTCACTTACCAAAGCACTTTCTTTCAAGTCCAAATTATCCAGAACAACATCGCCTGAAAAATAATATAATGTGCCATAATCAGTCCAAATTTATATGAAAATATCTACTAACAGCTATAATATATCATATTCAAAGTAGGTGGTTGTTTGGATACATGGGCTTTTTTTTTTTTTTTTTAACGTTTAAAGGAACAGTCACACAGATATTACTTTTCGTCTTTATTTCCACACAAATGATGTCAAATATTCATTCAATGCACACTCCTAAGAAGTAACTTGTTACAAATCAATCATGTAATGTCATTTGCCTGAAAAGAGTTAGCCTTAGAGGGCCAAAGTTTTCCAATAATATTCCCTGAGAACTAACAAATGATTTATTTAGCAAGAAAGGACCAGAATACTGAAGACATCGATAACAGGTTAGAATGCTGATAATTTCACAGACAAATGGGCTTTGGGGGCCATGTTCATGTAGATGCTAGTATTTATTGCAAGGATAATATTATCCCATAAACTAAAAGCTACTAGTAAATCACTGTGTGGCTATTCCTCTCGATTCTTCTTTATTGATTGTAACACTGATACCATCTACGCAGGATTTCATCCATATTGGAGATTTTAATTTTTTGACTTGGTAATAAAGTTTCTATTTTAAATGATTTAGCAGACATACACCTGTAAAAAGAGAGACTTTTTTAAAATTCTAATCCTGAAAATATAAACGATTTAAACATTCATATTCCTGGTGGCATTTTAAAATGACAGTCATATACATGTATATACACCAGTTCTCACACATGCAAGTACACAACTTTATATTTTACAACCAGGGATGTCTACAGCTGAGATTACTGTGGTTAAATGAGCAAAACTACCAGCTGTTGCTAACATCATTACTGACAGCAGAGGAAACCTCTTAAGCACAGTCATGGGACTGTTAGCTATGCATAAGACCTTGTTTTGTACAGGAAAAATTAACACAGAGCTTATGATACCATTGGTAACCCCCCAGGTTGGAGTGCTAAAGGACTCATAATTTTTTAACATCTGGAATTGCCAGTGTACAATCTCTTTTATATGTGATCTTTAAGGAGCAAATTGCAAAATACAATTTTTCAGAACAAATCAACATTGATGTATCAGATGTATGTGATGGCAGAGCAAGCAATATTCAGATAGTGAAATCAGGTCACTGAAGCCTTCTTCTAGAATTGATCTATTGATAATCATTCAGTTTAATTAAACAATCAAAAATAAAATGTTCCAACATGCATATGATTATGACACAAAACCTATTCATATTTAATTATCTTTAATCAATAAAAATTACTAAATAAATTATACACAGAAAGAGAGACCAGTTTTCAAACATTGTACATTTTATAAAATCAAAAAGAAAACATTTAACATGGCGAGAAATTTATATACGGATTCCCAGACTGTTAACCCTAAAAGGCCAAAGGAAATAATCATGATGATTTAGTATATATAGGGCTGTCATGCTGATTCACTTCCCCTGTAGCAAAGTCAGTGCTCTACACTATTTCTAGCAAAGTTGTGATTACATAACTTACTATGCACTGTCTTAGTAAACCATGTCAGTAGGTACTATTTCTACCTCGGTTCTATCTGGTTAGGAATTATACGTTAGCCCATCACAATTTCACTAAAATTCTAAAATTCATACCTATGTCCCCACTTAAGTATCTATAGAAAATCACACCAGGTATAAAGTGAAAGTGCTATTACATCTAAATACATCACCACAACGATGACTAAGTGCAATCAGAACTACAGGTAATGCTAGAAAGTAAAGTACAAGTATGTTTAAATGTACAATGACTCACAAAGTAAAACTGCTAATTCTTTAAGCTGTTGCACAAAACAATCCTTGGTCACTGAGACTGTGTGCAGATATTAAGGATGAATGTTGCAGCTATGAAAAAAAAACTTTACGATTTTACTTTTTTGTATAATGGTACTCAAGCAATACAAGTTTCAAAACAATGTCAATGACAATGAAGAGATTTTATACCAATTGTAAAATTCTTTTTTTACTTCAAAGGACTTCAATTCATAGCAAGCAATTAAACAGGAAAAAAAATGAATCAAATTTTTGAGTTTGCAACAATAGTGCAAATCTAGATAATTTTCATTTTAAAGTGTGGTTTTGCAAGTTGTGTTCTGTCACAGAGGTCCAGTTCATAAGACATGGTATTATACATGAAGATATTATTCCATCAAAAACCATTAAAATAAAATAAGTCATGTGCTTGTCTGCAAACTATCATATAATTACATATAAGGGGTGTATATCAATATGAGTTTTTTTGTGTGTGTGGGTGTGTGCATCTCATTAACATGCAACTATTTCGTTCATCTGAAACCTATGGCCTTTGTAACGGACAAAGTGGTTGGCTCATCTAAAAACTTATAACTGCTGGGTCATTCAAAACTGAGAAACAAAATTCCTCCAACACCCAGAGTTTCAGAGTCTACTGGAAACTTCCGGAAATTCACCTCTACCCCAGTATATGGTTAGCACAGTTATGCCTCTTCCATGATATAGCCAAATATATATATATATATAAAACACATGTCTTGATAATAAAGTCAATCAAATCTAGAGGCTGGAAAAAACGAATGATGAGTATCTAGTCGAGTCACTGAAAAATACTCTGAAACCCAGGGTTGCCTCCCACTACCAGTACATTCTTTACAAAATGGCAACAAGCAAATTTACCTATATTTTTTTTTTCAAATTCACCCCACCCTGTAAATTAATGCAATAAGCTGTTCACTGTTTGGGATAATTCATGCACAACCACAGTGTCTTTTCCAAGCAAACTTATTGCAAATATAACTGACCCAGACAAGAGTTAAGTCATAGGTCTATGTGATTGGCAGGTCAGAATGAGCATGTTTATTCCAATAATTTAGGTCAAGGAAAAACCAGTTAGCTGGGTCACGTGTGACTCATAAACATGTGACCATTATCCTGGACGTCCATGTACACAATGTAAAGCAATAAAATGTATGAATAATTCAATTTTTAAAAGTTATCAGTCATAAAAACCAATATAAATATTTGACACTACGCTAATACTTCTGCTAAGAAACACAAAGCTAAAGAAAAAAAACCCTGAAACAGTTGTAGATATCATACTTACTTACGTAATTTTTAAATAATTTTTCAGAGTACATAGAGACCATAAAATATTGCCAAATGACCTGTTACTCTTACGAACCCACCTGATGGTCAAAGATTACCATCTTAAAATAACCACTTTTGTCCTTAGGGATTTCAGGGTAAGGAATTTTCCCACAGGCAATAAACTATTTATGCCTTCTAGTATATCTTTGGAATATCAGTTCTATATCTTGAATACAAATTTGTATTATGATGGTACATGTATACAGTGTCATATTTGACAAATGCCTTGTATAAATTATAATAAGATGATATATCTCTCACCCTAGTTTTCAAAGGTAAGATTAGTCTTGTGACTAACATCACATGCAAAATGAAGGGTAATATTGCAGTAATATGATATTTCTTTTTATATTCTTATAGTCATAGGCATCCTATTTGTCATCATTAGCTCATCACATGCTTTTCACATGACATTGTTATCTTTTCTATAATGTTTTTACAATTGTAAAAATTGTGCATTTCCTTAACCACGACAACTTGTTTACTCCTTATAACTTAATTCCATGCACAGGTCACTGCTTTACTTAAATTAGAAAAGTTCTAATAAATATAAATGTTCTTGTGAATTGCAGCAATCATTAAAATGTAGTTGAAATCCTCATTAAATTCTCATTAAATTAAATTGTCAATAAGAGGATCCTCTTTAGCAAATGCCAATAGCCTACATGTAATATTTATGAAAATTGCAGATTTGTTGACTTCCCTCCCTAGAATATAATTTCAGGGTAAAATTTACATGGCACCCAGAGAGGAATACTGGGTCATCTTAAATAATGACTGCTTAGAGGACAGAATACATCTATAGACAAATGGCTAAAACAAAATAAAAGTAAAGAGATAAAGATCCATTCAGTGTACTATACATGTGTGTGTGTGTGCATGCTTATTCATGTTCCAAGTTCAAGTACGTTATACAGGATATGCATATGGGGAATAGCACTGTAATTACTTTTAATAGAGTAATATTGATCCCTTGTATGTATAATATCAAGAGTGCAATAGCGCTTATGGCTGGTTTTGCCTGACGCTTATACAGCTTTCGGACCCAAGGGATTCCAAGTGGGAACATCATGGGAATTCTATCAGAAGTAATGCTCTTTGATTGTTATACGGGTACAAATAATGCACTTGATGATAAGCCACTACTAATGCATTTCTGCCCTGACAATGACAATGACAATGACAGTGTTTTAATAGGTGCTCCCTATGACTTTTGTTCAGTTTAGCTCATGGGGTTTCTTAAGTGTACATGTACAATCATCATCTCTGTACATCTACATCATCCACAGACATGCATAAACTCTGATGAACTATACAAAACTGAGATCTATACTTAATACCCAAACACTTTATCACTCCATAGTCCGTTACTAAGGCTAGAGCAGAGACCCATCAGCAACAATCGTACATGTACATTTACCGGGGTTCATTAGACCTTGGATGTCAAAGAACAATGCTGGAGAATAAGTGTATTTGTATTTATTCAAGTTGACAATATAATGACCTGTTTACAAGCACTGCAGTCATGCTCAATATCACAATTACTACATCTGAGAGATGTCCACACACGCATTCTCCACGCCTCCACCCACCGGTACTTACAGTATCTGCAACCAACAAATATAATCTCCGCCTCTTGCAGCCCCCCCACCCTCCAACCTCAACCCCAGTAAAAAATCGATAATTCCAACGAGTCAATATTAATTATAAACATCTGTACACAAATGACATTCAAGACCACGTTTTAAACAACGCTAGAGAAATACTTCAGAATACACTCATCAACACTACCAAAAAGCTGCGCTTACCTCCCCATATGCCGATTTTCAACTGCGACTTATCCAAATTCTGCACGTAGTCGCCCAGGTATTTGTTAACTAAATCAGCAACTAATGATTCGAAAACCATCTTGCACTTTAGTTACAATATCATACAAATGTTGTAATTGCGGAAATCAACGTAGAGCTCCTTGCAGCCTCAAGTCAATACTCGTCCATATTTGTTGCCCTACACATGACCTTGACATTGTTCCTCCTGGGTCATATTACTCTGAGCCCAATCATGGATATTGACAACAGAAAGTGAACAAGATGTGTATTGTGCTCAAAGGAGAACACATTCAAGGCAGTGAAACGATATTTCCTTTTCATTCTTTTTCTATTTTTATACTCTCTTAAGACCACCGTAGGCCTACTCGGACTATTTTCTGATTTTTTTTCTTGAAATATTGCCTTCACAATTTTAGAAAATTAATTTCAAGTTATGGTGGTCTTATCGTTCTCGACATAATATCTAGATATTGGCCTGTGGGCTGTATTGGTGTTCATACATGAATTGAAAAGAAGCCTGTGCTTTTTAACACTTTTTTCGCAACCGGTATTCCATGTATCCCCCCCCCCCCCCCAAATATCTGGCTAGTTTCATTTTGCACGTTGTGTTAGAGAAGACACGATTGTTGTGCAGTATTAGTGTGCCTTCTGAACATTTCAAATCCCTCTTGTTGCAAGTCTCTCTAAAAACTTGTTGCAAGTCTCTCTCAAAAAGACACAAAGTGTTGGTAGGGCATAGGAATGTGGATTCATGGAAAAATCAAAATTGTGCTGTTTTTGGAAAATGATAGTCTTAAAATATCTTTAAGGCTCTCAAAGGCACATGTTAGCATAGACTACGTCTCTTCCATACGGTTTATGTAGAATTAAATATTGCGGTTTTTCGAAGGAATAAGTTCTATATTTGATATTTTGTGATTATATTGGAAATGCATGTTGTTATACGTGGTTTCATTTAAATGTTTATAATATTTATATATCTATCTTAAGTAGCCTATTAACAATGCCAGTGAATCTAGTAAGTTAAGGCGTCTACTTGTCTTACTTGATCACAGACGTAAAGAGAAGTCAGTTTATCCATTAAAGCATATATCTACGCCACTGTATCATATATTGACCCTATCTATTGCTGCCATATCCTGGGTTTTAAGGGTTGTATAATATTTACAGAATGTAACCTGGAATAAAAATAAAGTAAACCTGATGTCCAACAAAACTGAAAAAAGACAAAATATTTGACTTACCTATTGGTTACAAAACCATTCGGCATAAAATTGTCCGAATGATATTGCTGTCTGCAATTGAAGTGCCACAGCCTTTGCAACGCATGCATTCACTCATTTCATTGTTTTCGAAGGGCAACTCTGGTTCCTGAAGGTGCAGCCACAGATCTTGCTTTTGGAAATGTCATTCCCTGCCTTAAATATGTCATTCTCAAGGCTATAGCCAATCCAATTTTTTTGCACGAGTTCCCCTTGCAACTGTGTGCCTAAAATTCTGCCAAACTTTGGCAATGTTCTAAACATAGGCACTTCTGTTGAGAATGAGAGACAAAAAAGCAAATAAAAAAACTACAGAAGTCAGTGTGACGACTGTGAAAATAGATATAAAAAGTCATAGTCCTGCCTAGCAAATTCAATGTTTCCGTCCATCCCGTACAGTGCCTCTTTATCTATCCTGTATTCTTTTCTTAATTCTGTAAAAGCTAAACTGCGTTCTACTTGTCGCAAGGTCCCTTTTGATAATCCTAATAATGTGAATTTAGTGCTTAGATAATTTTTCATGCCACCCTTTATTCCGCAGAGAATATTCCATCGTAAAAGAAGTAATTTAGGGAGTAATGAGAAGCGAGTTCAGATATATATTTCTTGAGTTCAGGACAGGGAAGTCAAACAGTTCAGGATGGATGAGATGGCATGGGTATTTAGGACCGACGGTGTAAAACCGGTCGGCGAAGCACTGGCTGTTCTCTAGCACGTAGACGTCTGGCAGGATGGCGAAACTGTGGGCAGGATGGTGCTGGCTNTGTTGCCCGATGGTTGCGCTCTGCCGAGTCACTGGCCTGGCTTGTGCTGATGCACTCGCAAAAGCAGGTGCTGGTGTCGTGGTTCTCATGGGTGGCAGAAATGATGGAGTGAGGGCACCTGCGGCTGGTGGTGTCGGTGAGCCTTGTCTGCCGTTTGGACTACGCAGAGCGGTTGCTGCCTCTGGCTGGTGAGGTGTGGTAGTCAGGCGTGACAGAGAGTGTGGTGTCTGGCCGTTGACGGAGCCAGGCCTAGTGAATACCGACTCTTGCCGTACAGGTCTTGGCGTCAGGGGTCTGAGGGGCGGCAGTAATGATGGCGGAAGGGCACCTGAGGCTCTTGGCAAGTCCTGTCTCAGATTTAGACTATGCAGAGGGGCCATTGCCTCTGGCTGGCGAGGTACTGCAGCCAGGCGTGGCAGAGAGAGTGGTGTCTGCCCGCTAACGGTACCACCCCTAGCGGATACTGCCTCTAAACTTGCTACTGCTGGTGTCGATGGTCTAAGGTGTGGCAGATATAGTGGTCTCTCTCCGTGGCATGGTCTCCACTGACTTGTGGCCGTTTCTTGCAGAGGAGCTGAAGTCTGCTGTGGTGGAAACTGTAGGGTCAGCATGCGATCATGAGTACTCTCAGTGTGCACTCTGATTTTAGGGGGTGGGGATGGGACCAGACTTGGCATAGCCTGTGCTGCAAGGCCACTTGGGGGAGTCCGTATACCAGTCTTTTCATCTTCCTGTGGAGTGTCAGACTCCGGCAGATGCTGCAATTGTTGCTCGGCATCTGGGTTTAACTCGGCCACTCTGAACGCTGCGCGTGCCCTTCGTATGGAGGCGAGTGTTTTTATACATGTCAGATATTTGGGACATGGTCTTTGCTGAATTGGGGCAGGCTCCGAGGGTGGACAAGGAAGTTTGGTGTCGCTGCTTCTGCAGACCTGCTTGTGAGCAAGGTTAGGCGGTGCGGGAGCCGCTGAAGTGGATGATAGAGCCATTGCCCGATGTACTGCCCTGGAGTATATTTCTGACCTGAGGCTGAATCTAGTGGGAGTATCTTGTACCGAGTTGGGGATCTTAGCTGTTCTTGGTCTGGAGCTTGATCCGTTACAAGCTGACGACGGTAGAGGCGCCTGTGTCCGCCTAGGGATCCTTGAAGGTATTGCTGCCGACTTGGCATTATTTTGTGCTGGGCTGGTGACCCTGGATGCTGTGCGGCTTGAACCAGCAGCACTTGGCGGGCCGGTAGCAATATGTGTCGGCGCGGGAATCCTCGATGGTCTGAGACCATGCCCAGTAGCACCCTTCGGCTGAGGCTCAATAACAACAGAGGCCAGCCCTGGAGTACTTGATGGTCTGCGTGGCCCGTCAAAGCCAGGTGCTAGAAGAGCGTCTTCTTCTTTCTCATCGGGCACATTACCCAATGCGTATACCCAGAACTTCGCCGTCTTTAATTTCTTGTCAAGCTTGCGAATATAAAGAGGCAACGGCTGTGTATGTATCTTTTTTCTTTTGTCTGGAAAAGTAAAAACATTGTTTTTGTTTATAGACAAACTGTTGCCACTGGCCTTTCTCTGTACAAAATTTGAGTTTATAACAGTGTATAGGCCATTTGGGTATCTACGTACGTATATTGCGTGCTAAATGCGAAAGCGTGCAATAATGAGTGTGCCCTACGCGTGCACACGAGTGTCTGTTCTAAGATATGTAATGAAGCAAAATTCCATTCAGGTATATATATATATATATATATATATATATATATATATGTCAATTAAATGTTTATATTTGCCAGTATAAGCAAACAATAATGTTTGCGCAATGTGAAAGCAATATTCAGCCTGATATGTATACCCTTTTTTTTAACGTTTGTTAAAAAAATCAAGATGCACTCATCTTTAAAGGGATAATAACTCTTCGTATGAGATCTATATTTCACAATAAAAACATTGTGAACAACTCATGGAAATATATTATATTCTGTTGCACAAAAAAAACGGCAGTTATAGCTATTATTCTGATATCTTAGCTTGTCTTCAGAGTCAGACCACGTGACCTCCATTGATGGCTATACTCTGTTATAATCTCTTAAGAGATTTTAACAAAAAACCAAACTTTTTTAGAAAAAAAAACCAGGGACTAACTTTGAATGTAAAAATGGATTCATTAACCATTGGTAAGTATGGGAAAATTGTTGTTTACTCCAGGAAAATTCATTTATTGGCCAAAACGAAGAGTTATTATCCCTTTAATTTTATTTCATTTATCTGTTTCATTTGACATGACATTTAAACACTAGCAATACTTACATGTGGACAAATCTTCACACGATAATTCGAACAATAAAAACCAGAAGTTTTCAAACTCCCTAAAAAAAAAATAGAAGACATTATATAAAAGTGGTCAGGTACAACAACTGAGTGACAGCGACTGAACAATAATAAGCAATTATTATCTGTTTAGTGATGTCATTTGACAAGAGCAAGCACGAAGGCTCCTTTCAAAATACCCACAAAATACAGTCAATTTGTTCAGATGGTGACCCAACTCTTGTCAATCTATATATCTTTAGGCAAATGTTATTCTTGCGTTCAATGCATATGCGTTTTACCAATTCTAAGACAATTCCCCCCAAAGAAAAACCCCCGCTTTCCAGGAAAGAAAATACACTGCTATTGATCTATTTGAGGCATTTATAAATGTGTTAAATATTTACAGAAAAGAGATAGGAGACAGAAAATGAAGTAAGAGCATTATATTTGCTATTAATTACAAGATTCAAGAAGTAAGAGCATCATATTAGCTATTACAAGACCTTAGAAATGACCTTAAATTATTAGAATTATGAAAAAATGACTTCAAGAAGATACCTGGTTGTTGCAAACCTGTTGCAAATATAACGTTCTTAAAGGGAGAACTTCGATGTGTTTTAAATCAACTAACCTCCCTGAAAGTCCTTCTGGATATTTCTTGAGAAACTTGAGAATGAAGTTTGCACAGGCGTGGTACCAATACTCCCCTCGATTTTTATCTGAAAAACAAACATCTTGACATGGTTAAACGAATTTGTAAGAAACAGAATTTTTATCAGTGTACATGTTATAATTATCGCTTACATTTTGTTAGGTTAATGTGTTTATGGTACTGAATATAAAATTGTTTTGGGTTTAAT